TATTTTTATATCGGGAAAAGGTATATTTTTAACACTTTAGCTTGTTTTTCACTAAGATTTAAAATTTACATACAAAATTCCCCTCTTAATAGATGATACATTCCTAAATAAATTATCCGAATCATATCCAAACATTTCATTAAAAAAAACTACCTATATTTTTAATTATTTTATTGTCTCGTAAATATGTATCACATTCGTCAAAATAAATAAATAAATAAATAAATATACAAAAACTGGTTATTGCTTATCCAATTTAAAAAATAGCTATTTATAAATTTAATAAACAGATTACCAATTAATAATTTAGAAACACACAAATTATGACTAAGATAATAATATAAAGGTAAAAAAAGTTATGTAAGAATTTAAATACCTATAAAGATTCAGTTTTGGGGGCAATAGATATTAAAATTAAAAACATTTTTTGTAAATTTTATAAAGATAAATCCTTTGAGTTGATAATTCTTTTATTAATTATTTTCGAATGTATCTGCATCTTCCGTGAACGAAAACGTACCCATCAAAGCATTTAACATTAAAAACATTTCTCATATTTATTTCAAATTCAGTGGTTGTTTCGGGTTGATTGAATTGATTTCTTGATTTCAATCGTTCCATTCTCTCTAAAAAATACAATTTAATAATGTAAGATCATAATTTTATTCGTATTAATTATACAAAGACAAAAGTAACAATAGAAATAAACACAAAAGATCACAGAATTTATAACATACAGTGTGTGCCATAAAACTTAAAATAGTCCATATCAAAGTTGGTTAATGACATTATAAATATCTGTCAAATCCGCATTTAAAAAAAAGGCAATTTTTTAACGATTTTTAATTAAATAAATTTGATATGTGCAATTTTAAGTTTAAAAATTAATGGAGGTGAATTCCCTACAACGTTCTTTTTCCATCAGTGACGGTTTGCCCGTAAGAGCACTTGGGCACGTGCCCTAGTATAATAAACAATCAGATACGAATGTACGCAGCGGCATCTTTACCAGCTCCCTCACAAAGGCGATGCCGGTTTCGGCTTAAGGTGCGCGTTTGATGGACCATGATAATAATTTATTTACGAAAAAACGTTAGTTGGACCATTGGAATAGTTAAGAAATAAAACTACAAAGAAAAATAACTTTTTTTTATAAAGCAATCAAAAATATGATGACAAAAAATTAATAATATTTATAAATGGGACAAAATTTTAATTTTTCTTTTGGTTTTGTCTGACTTTTTCGAGGATTTCAAATCTCTGTTTGCATATTTAAGAGTATACAAAATTCTGAGTCTTATAAATAATTTAATAGTGTACATTTTCGCAAATTGTTGGCAAAGATAACCAAATTCTATTTTTGCTCATCTCAAAAAGCTATTCGTTGGAAATTCCAGGCTTAGTTGACAAACTATCAAATAGAGATATAAATATTTTTTGGGGAGATTTTAAATTGCCAAACACCTTTTCTTCAGAGTCGTATGCTTTAAAATGCTCCTACACGATGGAATTTTACATCGAAGTGTATTTAAGTTTATAAAGAGGATTTGATTAAATGTCTAGAAGAAAGTATGAAGACAGAATTCGATAAAAAAACTATTAATCAGACTAAAGGGTTGATAAATTTTGAAAGACAGATTTTATTTTCTGGTTATTTTTCTTCAGCAAAATAATGTCAAATTGCAATATACTTTTTGGTCAACTGCAGAGTAGACAGATTGATGCTCTTAAGATAAACATCAAATTTTGCAGCAGCTATTCAAAATATTAGAAATAATATAGACACGCTAATTCATGAAGAATGGCAATCACAACAAGACCCACAAGAACTAAACTTAACCCAATCAGGTCCAAGTACAAGCAAGAAGAGACTGTTTATTGAAAAGGAGGACCCCATTCCTAATTTAAGGATATGTAAGGAAATTTGTGATACAATAGTAGTACAGGTAAATGAACGTTTTAGTTTTACTACCCACCTAAAAATTGCAAGTTTATTTAATAATGAAAAATTCAAAGACTACCGAGGTTGTTTTCCAAATGAGGACGTTAAAACTGTGTGTAGTTTATTTCCAAACGTAAACAGCTTAAAATTCAAAAACGAACTGTCCATACTTTACACCCGAGATGACTTTGTGCAACACAATGGGGCCCCACTGCCGCCACTGTATATAGGTAGGTACATTTTAAGATACGTCACCAAAATAATGAATATTGTTTTTTTATCGCAATAATTAGATTAGATGAATTAAAAAGAGATTTAAACAATTAATAATTGGAAATATTACAAAAAAAAAGGTTATTAAAAATGTTGCATGTAGGTACTTCTTTTGGCCTTTACATCTAAATTTTTACTATGGATTTAATTACCAAGCATTTATTTTAATAATAATAAAATTAAAAATTTTAAAATAAACGTTGGCGTGACTTATTATAAAAAAAAAATACAAAATGTACTTACTTAAAAGTGCCTCAAACTCATCTGGACTCCAAATTTTCGAATTACTATTACTTTTGACGACACTCAACAAAATAAAAACCACCAATAAGGAATACACTACCTTTAGAAACATATTTAAAAAGAATTTTTAAATTTTATTATTAAATTAAATTCAAATTGATAAATACAACTTCAAGAAACCAAAACAAAAGTAGCTATATCATGTGGATCTCAATGCATGAAGACTATTGAAACTGGTTTGGGTTTTAATTAGCTCTTCAAAATTAATCAAAAGGTGATAATCTGTGATTCAATGAAAAATTGAAAGTAACCGTACGAGTTGTATGAATCATCGATTAATCGGAATCAAATCTCAATTTTGAAAGATATGATAAATAAAATACTATTTTTAAATAATTTTAATTTGATTCGATATGTATCTTCTTCAGAAAGTAATACATACAATAAAAATAGATTTGTGAATATACAATTTTTAAATTTAGATTGAGAGGTCAGCATCAATATTATGGAATGAGGACACACAGATATTTCATGTTGTCTTAACGTTTTTTTGTATGTATTAGAAACTACTAAATTGTAAAATGCTTCTCAGTATTTTGAGTGTTTTTTTTTTATTTTCACTCCCAACTAAATAATAATAAAAATAATAATAATATCCCTATTTTTAACCCTAGAAACAGAGCTTGTGAAGGGTAGGTATTAATATTATTTACCTGCTGTTTCCATTTTGTCTGCTCGATCATCTGTTAAAATAATAATAAGTATAATAACGAGAAATTAGTATTGTAGGTAGACACTGTATTAAAATTATTGATGCAATTATTACTTGGGGATTTTTGTAAATATTTCATAATGAAATTAATAATTTTAGTAATTATATTTAATAATATACCTCCAGGTATATGTACATTTGTGATTCGTTTAAATAAGTTATTACAATATGTAAATCAAAAGTTTTTTTTATTGAAATGGGCAATTAAATCTCAGAAAAACCATTTTCATTAGGTAATCCATAAACAGAAATAAATCAGGTATTTCTGTCTTGATTTTTGTGTCTGTATTAACTACAAACTATTTGATATTTAACTTAAGATAATGCCTTTTTTGTTTTTGTACTTATATATTTTTTTCTCTTTTTTATTAACCTTATTTTTAAGGATGAGTAAATGCATTTAGTTGTAAGTTTATTTGTTTAAAGAGAACATTACAAAACCTGTTTGTTTTCTATTAAATTCATAAATAAATAAATTCTGAGAAACAACGTCACACCATCAATTTTGCTCTTAAACGTGCAATCTTGGTTGTCTATATTCTGGCGAGGGGATCGTCTTGCGGAAGGAAGTTTAGTTTTTAATATATCAATATGATGGGGAATGATCAAAGATTTTATTTCTACTTTAGAAATATCCAAAATAACTCTCTCTTAGATATACCTACAGGTGTATGAAACATAATTAAGAAGCTATTTCAATTTAATTTCTTGTCAAAAAGTTACTAAATTAGATAATAAAAATTTACCACAGGAATCTTGAATTGACGAGTATTTTGGGGGGATTTTAGTGCATGGCCAGGGTAGTTTTATGCTATTGAATATACAAAAATTGTTGCTTCACAAAAGTTTCGCGTCTTCTCAAAACGTGAACATGCTTGTCCACTGTGTAGTTATTAATTCGTCGCAATATTTTTTTTTATGTATGTTCAGCAATAATTCTTTAACACGGTGTCCGATTTCAATGATTCTTTTTTTGTTAGAAAGGGGGTACTTCAGGAGTGGTCGTCCCATATAAATTTGGTCAAAATCGAATAATTGTGTCCATGAGAAAATCCTCAAACTTTTCATTTTTTATGTATGTTTAGCGATAATGCTTTACCACCTTGTTCGATTTATATGATTCTTTTTTTGTTAGTAAGAAGTGTGGTGCCATATAAATTTGGTTAGGATGTGGTGATGGCATCTACACGTTTTTGAAGTCGGTTTTTTTTTAATTTTTAATTTCTAATACTTGTTATAGACGTTATCACTTTATACTTGAGGTTATTAGTTAGGATATAGTTTATGATTTTGATAGATGATTATTGTCAGATTAAATATGAATGTAATTAAATGATTTAAAAAGGAAAATAACAGACTTTTCTCTAAAGACAAGAAAGAAACACTTAAATATTTCATGTACATGTTCCGTGAACGCTTTGGAACCTATAAGAACGTGTAAGAAACTAGAACGTTTAGGAACGTATAAGAACGCACAAGAAAGTCTACGAAAGTATAAGAGCGCATTAATGCGTCTAAAATAACGCAAAACCGCATAAGAAAGTATAGGAATGTATTAGAGATAGTTTCGGTTTCAACAGACCGTTATTGGCTTTGTTAGAATTCAAAATAAATCAGTAGAAAGACATTTTCGAATTTCCTACTCCATTTTTCAATAGCTGATTCAAGTATCCTCGTTTCTAATTTTTTAATTCCTTATCCACGACTTGATTTGTGGTTGTTTTCGTCTTAAATTTCAAGAAAAGGTACTCAAATAAAATAAAACAAAATTTCTTTCATCACATATATTTTTTATACATTGACATTGATCGTAGTATCATTTAATAAAACAAAATATTAAAAAGTCTGCGAAATATAATAATAATATTATTACAAATAACAAATAGACCCAAAAGTTTGTGTTTACGAAAACCAAATTTTAAAAATTCTATGAAATATAATAATATTATTATTACAAATAACAAATAGAATTAAAAGTGTACGTTAAATAAATATAAGATAATAACCGCTAGGCTTATCTTTCATTTTATTTAACAAATAAAGCGCGCCTCCAGTCATTTATTTCACAGAAGAGGAATATTTCGCAAAGATTGCTCAGTGACACATACAGCCAGGGTTTTACAGGACATGACAGTGGATTTGAAAGTGATGTAGATTATATTATATCAAAACATATTTGCCGGTCTATTTGGTTTCATAAACTGTCGTTTAAAGAAAAAGCACCTCTAGAACTCAAAGAGAGGAAACACCTCAAAAAAAAACGAATAAGGAACTGAAGAAAATCAACAAATAAAAAAAATATAGAGAACGGACTTCACTTTTTTGTAGTAGATATCTATAAAATACATCAAAAGAATTTACAATTCGAATCATTGTAAAAAACGATATTAATAGATTGAATTTTTGAAGGATACTCAAAAGCAATTGGATCTATGGCGAATGGAGAACCGTGACCAGAATGAATGGAAGGTGAATGAGTGTACAGACAGCTCATAATTCTGTGGCAACAATCACTCCTACTATATGCCACAGAATTACTTTATCAACGAGGTGTTAGAAAAGAGACAGGGATTGCCCATCACTTTGGCCATTATGTTTAAAGGTGTCGCCAGGAGGTTGGGATTAAGATGTGAGCCAATCAGTTTCCCCGCTCATTTTCTTTTAAGGTAATCGGATGAGATTCATATTTTTTGTCGGCAGGTTTTGTGAAAAACTGGGGAACAAATCCCAAGAAAACTAGAGGTAATGCCTAAAAAACGAAAAATGAACTGAAGAGTCGGCAAAAATTAGGGTAAACTGTCCCATAGTGAACCACGGTACACAGTGAATCATTCGTCATAATGGCGAACGTATCAGTTTTAAAAATGAACGCAATGGGGCATTTGAAGCCATATGTTGTTAGCTTTCATTTGACCAGTCAGTCGGGAGCGTGCAGTTGTTTATGTAGGTTGTGCTGATAATCGAAGAAATACAGGTACGTAAGAGTTCAATCGGATAAACGTTCAAAAATACTTTGAAAACCTTGAAAATGTTTTGAAACGACACTCAAGTTTTGCAGATGGTACTCGAGTATACAACTTGGGTGAAACGGCGACGACGACTGTACAAAAACCCCAAAAAGTGATTGCACTCAAAGGTATAGGATGAGATAAAGAAGACTCGTGTTCTTAAACAATTAAAGTGTTAAATAAAAGAAAAGCTAGTCGACGTAAGTAATTTTATGTAATGTTGAGTTTAATTTAAGTTTCTAATAATTATTATGACTATATCTTAGAAAACAAATGGCGCCCAACGTGGGGCTACGTGACAGCAGTTGCGTGCTTATTAAAATATAGTGTAGTGATAGAATTATACAGAGTGTGCAGAATATACAAATTTCATATATAAAGTGAATAGTGAAACCCTGCAGCTAGCCTTGCCTAAACAAAAAGTGAATCACTGTGGGACAGTTTACCCTACTCGAGAATAAAGCTCGAGAGGAAACCTCGAATAAGGAAATAAAAATAATTAGCAAAAAAAAATGGTGTAGTTTTTTTTTTGGTCTCCCTCATCGAGATAGAAACAAACTCCTTGAGGACGCTACTGACCAGAAGATAACACTTTTCGTGTCAAGATCAAACAACGAGAAGGTAGAGAAAAAAGAACAAGAAATCTTTTTATGAAATCGATCTCTAAAATGTAATTAGAATTGTAAATTCGTAGGTTCATTCACAGAACCCGACCCAAAAGAGATTATTCTTGGTAAGGAGCGTTTCCATAGTAATTGGCGCCGAACGTAGGACGAGAAACGACTAGAAGAGCATCACAAGGTGAAAAATTTTAATTTCATTTTTAACTGTTAAATTTGACAGCTTGTGAAATTGAATAAAAGTTGTCAGTGTAAATTAAAATATCATTTTTAAATAGTATTATGTGATTTTGTATTCTGTGTAAGTGGGAACGGATTCATTCGAATCAGTTGAAGTAGTATAGAACAGTAGAAGGTAGAAAACCTTTTTTGAGATTGACTCTCAGATTAAAATGAATATAAATCGGCAAATGTTTTGGATTGTTAATTTTGGCGTTATCGCTAACCAAAATAATCTAAACTAAAAGGGAAACATTTATATAAACATCAATTTTATATTTACAATGTTTAAGTAGTCATGTTTCAGGGTTTTGCACTTTCTTAAAACACTATTCCCAAATCGGAAATTAGAAAACAAAAATAAAAACCAATAATACTTTTATATATAAGAATGTTTAACCACGGCGCTTTGGTTGGATCGATAGCTATAACGCTTTTATCCATCCAGATTGATTATATTACAGCTCGAAATTGCTGTGATGCAATCAAATTGTTAAATTAAAATTAAAAAAAAAACTTATCCATACTTTTTATAAATAATCAACAAAAATATAATATCAAATCTACACGTCTACCAGTCATCGTTACAGATTAATACTTTCCAATTTCTTTTGGTGATGGAACCAGTGTCGGATTTTCTTGTCAGCTGGATATTCTTTTTCCTTCTCGGCATTCGGCACGTAATGTGTCTCGAAATAGTGGGAAAAATGTCGACCGACATCCTCGTTCAAGTAAATTTCCTCTCTGTCCGAGGTAGGAGTCAAGTTTTCTGAAAAAAAATATATATAGTAAACATTCGAGTCTCAAGGAAACTAGAGGAAACCCTAAAACAAAATAGAAAAAAGGACTCTCAGCAACAAAAGATTGTAGAGAGAATCTCTAAGAAAAAACGACTTGAGAAGTCAAGAGAGTTCCTCAGCTGGGGCTGCAACAAGAACTCCCTTCAGTGAAGAAAGTTGTTCCTGTAGGACAAATCAAAAATGGTGGTAACAGACCAAGGCCTTTGAGCTATGGCGTCAACAGTCCTATTGACAGATATTTGTCTATGTTGAATAATCTTAATTTATATATTTTTAATATGGAATTAGCCAAATTTAAAACCAATTGTAAAAATGTGATACATGTTCCTTAACTTATCTTTAACTTATATTTAACGTATATTTAAATTCACCTTAATTAATTACTGTAAAAACTCACTTTTGTACTTTGTTTTTTGTTTTGTTTTAGTAATGTTATAATAATAGTATTTTTCTACCTGCCTTTTTATATTTTCATATTGCAAATTGTATAAATTTCTTTAATGGGGTTATCCCGTATAATAAATAAATAAATGAAAAGATGTATCTCACCTTGAGCAACGTATCTATGAGAACCGTCCTCGACCAAAACGTTGTAGAACGGTTGTTCGTCTTTGAGCTGCAACTTGTCGACGTTGTTCTGCGCCTGCCACTCGGCGGCCGCCAAACAAACCGGATCCCAATCGTATATCACGCACTTGTAGTTCAACGTTAAGTGTTTCATCACCATGCCGACGGCGTAATGCAGATTCGGGCTACGCGGTGCCGCCTCCACTTGACTGAACAGTCCGAGATCGTTGCGGGCGTGATGGGCCTCGTAGTCACGCAGCATGTGAACCACCCTTCAAGTATTATTAAAAGTATTAGAGCATTTAAAGGTAAAATTGAAAAAAATCCTTGAGGAAAAAAGACTTGAAACAAAATCAATACTTAAAAGGTCAAAATTTCGAGTTTCAAATCGGAATTTTCACTTTAAAGTCAAACCTAAAAAATATATACATATTATGTGGCCTTTCTATGCCTTCAAAACTCAATGAAAGCATAGAAAATAACCAAATTTTTATATTACAATGTCTCTAAATCGAATTTACATTTGTAAGTGAAACTATGATAATTCCATTGCAGATTTTACCTAAATAAAGACATATTAATAATAATCATAATATTTTTACCTTTAAAATACTAATAAAATATTAGAAATTATTCACCTTTGAGCTTGTTCTGGAACTTCGAATTCCTGAGAGAGCAGGAAATTTTCTAAAGGCTTTGTATCCATATTGTGCAACATGTACAATCTGGCTAAACTAACCAACGCCGAAATGTCTCTGGGATTGACCAATTTCAGCAATTCCAAGCTCGATCTGAGTCTGGTAATTTTGCCATTCGGGTGAGCATGCTGCCTGGCTGATACTTCCAAATTGTTAGCCATACGTTCAATCACCTAAAGATGAATATTAACAATATATAATCTCTTACGGAAAAAAATTCAGATGGAGGGTGACATAACAAGTCACAAAATCATTTTAATTGGAAGAAAAGGCATCAAAAATCGTATCCAGATAAATAAAAAATAATTACAAACCTGTACTGCTGTAGCTACAGGGAACAAATCCCTTGAACCGGAAAATCTGCTATGTGGACAAGCGCCTTTTCTGACTATCTGTCCTCCATTGAAAACGTCAATGTAATACCAATCCGATTCGGGATCCAAACTTTCACAAAACCTGTCGAAAATAAATATGAATCTCACAATGCTGACTAGACCAAGTCAAAAATAATTACCTCAAAAGAAAGTGAGCAGGGAAACTGATTGGCTCACATCTCAACCCCAACCTTCTGGCGACACCTTCAAACACAATCGCCAAAGTGATGGGCAATCCCTGTCTCTTTTCCAACACCTCATTGATGAAGGAATTCTGTGGCATGTAATAGGAGTGATTGTTGCCGCAGAATTTCATCTGTTGGAATAGGACAGCTCTCATTACTGTTATAAGCTGTCGGCACTCATTCACCTTCCATTCATTCTGGTCGCGGTTCTCCATTCGCCACAGATCCAATTGCTGTTGGGTAGCCTTCAAAAATTTCGTTTTTATATATATTTTTTTTTAATTTGGTGTCATTGGCGTCGACTACTACGGCCAATTGTTTGTTACAATGATTCAGATTGTATATTTTACAGACATTTACCACAAATATTTAATTTTACAATTATAAAATATTCAATCAATCCAATTCTGCATTTTAAATTCATGACAATAACTGCATGCACATTCAATGGTAGCAGGCAGTTAAAAAAAGGGTTTTACCTTAAACAGTGGATGTTCTGGATAGAAACTTCTTAAAGCTGCTTTAACTTCATCTGCAATATTGTCCAATTTCTTGCCAATATCTTCGACTGAAACTTCCACATTTGGTTGACACCATTGAGCTACAAACACAGCACCTACTTCTAAGATCTGCCTCGATTGAGGCAATGATATGTATTCTTTCCAAACTTTGGACAAATGTAGCTGTCTAATATATCTAAGAACTTTATTGGCGTAGTATTGGAATGTTTTGTTACCTGGAGTACTGTAAAATAAATCAGTTTATTTGTTTAATAATAGAAATAGTTATAGTTTTATTTCACTCTTTTCTATGGAAATGACATGTGTTGTGAACCAGTTTTGTTAAACCATTTGTATAATGCTCACAACAGCAACCATGTGTGAAGTCAAGTCAAGTTCATATTACAACCATTTTAACTGTCAAAAATTTTTGTTGTTTTGGAATGCCTATTTCCTATTATTATTATTATTTTTAGCCAACTGATATCAATTTTGTCACATGGGATATTAACTATACAGTTAACAAAATCAGGAAGAATGAATGAAATTAAACAAAAATCAATTAAAAACATTTTGTAGTAGTTAGTTAGTTTGTATTATCAGTGTGCACTGTAATCTAAGAATAACAGCAGCAAATTAAAATTTTAATTAAAAACATCCAACTTATTGAAATAAAATTTATTGGTACGCCTTATAGGCACCTTTAATAAGTAATTATGAGTAAGAGAAACTTACAAAATAGATAGACAACAAATATAAAAATGCATAAATACATTTGGCAAATTTAGCCATTTTAACATAAAAAAAACACCCTATAGTCAAGAGAATTTCTCATTAAATTTATTGTGATATTAAACAGATCTATACTGACTTTTTATAGAAGTTTATAACATTGAATTAACATATCTAGTGGAGATGCATAAGTAGAGTTTGCAGCAAAGAATCATCTATTAACTGTTTTCAAATTAATTTTGTCAAGCGAATTTCTCATTAAATTTATTGTGATATTAAACAGATCTATACTGACTTTTTATAGAAGTTTATAACATTGAATTAACATATCTAGTGGAGATGCATAAGTAGAGTTTGCAGCAAAGAATCATCTATTAACTGTTTTCAAATTAATTTTGTCAAGCGAATTTCTCATTAAATTTATTGTGATATTAAACAGATCTATTCTGACTTTTTATAGAAGTTTATAACATTGAATTAACATATCTAGTGGAGATGCATAAGTAGAGTTTGCAGCAAAGAATCATCTATTAACTGTTTTCAAATTAATTTTGTCAAGCGAATTTCTCATTAAATTTATTGTGATATTAAACAGATCTATACTGACTTTTTATAGAAGTTTATAACATTGAATTAACATATCTAGTGGAGATGCATAAGTAGAGTTTGCAGCAAAGAATCATCTATTAACTGTTTTCAAAATAATTTTGTCAAGAGAATTTCTCATTAAATTTATTGTGATATTAAACAGATCTATACTGACTTTTTATAGAAGTTTATAACATTGAATTAACATATCTAGTGGAGATGCATAAGTAGAGTTTGCAGCAAAGAATCATCTATTAACTGTTTTCAAATTAATTTTGTCAAGCGAATTTCTCATTAAATTTATTGTGATATTAAACAGATCTATACTGACTTTTTATAGAAGTTTATAACATTGAATTAACATATCTAGTGGAGATGCATAAGTAGAGTTTGCAGCAAAGAATCATCTATTAACTGTTTTCAAAATAATTTTGTCAAGAGAATTTCTCATTAAATTTATTGTGATATTAAACAGATCTATACTGACTTTTTATAGAAGTTTATAACATTGAATTAACATATCTAGTGGAGATGCATAAGTAGAGTTTGCAGCAAAGAATCATCTATTAACTGTTTTCAAATTAATTTTGTCAAGCGAATTTCTCATTAAATTTATTGTGATATTAAACAGATCTATACTGACTTTTTATAGAAGTTTATAACATTGAATTAACATATCTAGTGGAGATGCATAAGTAGAGTTTGCAGCAAAGAATCATCTATTAACTGTTTTCAAAATAATTTTGTCAAGAGAATTTCTCATTAAATTTATTGTGATATTAAACAGATCTATACTGACTTTTTATAGAAGTTTATAACATTGAATTAACATATCTAGTGGAGATGCATAAGTAGAGTTTGCAGCAAAGAATCATCTATTAACTGTTTTCAAATTAATTTTGTCAAGCGAATTTCTCATTAAATTTATTGTGATATTAAACAGATCTATACTGACTTTTTATAGAAGTTTATAACATTGAATTAACATATCTAGTGGAGATGCATAAGTAGAGTTTGCAGCAAAGAATCATCTATTAACTGTTTTCAAATTAACTTTGTGGACATTAAGATTTGTAAAATTTATCAGTTCACAATCTATAAATATGAATACCTAAAAACATCTTGTACTGCTATTTTTAAAGGTATTTAAATCAAAACGTGCTATTCTTAGGACACTAATAATGAGAATGTGGAATAGGCATTAAATTTTGCAAAGCAATGTAAATACATCATTTCTAATAATAAATAAAGTACTTACGTCAAAGGAACAACTTCTATACTGTTAATAGGTACATCAGTATTAACAACTTCCATTAAATCAAGAACAAGGTAATTATAAACCTCTTCTCTTTCATGTAAAATATTGTTCCACTCATGTAAATCCGAATCGGATATTTCGTACCTCTTATAAAACTTGGCTGGCATCTTTTCGAGCAAATTGCGAGTTCTTTTCTTAAGTTCGTAGATATATCTGACTTCATGTTGGAATATAATCTGTTTGTTCTCCAATAAAGTCTTAACTTGTGGCCACCTGCACAAATAAATCAGCTGGAACGTAACAAATATTTACAATAATAAATCGTGTCTTACTTTTGAAATAATTTCGTCTTCCAAATCTTGTTACTGTTCGTAACAATTTGGTAAAAATGATGGCAACTCAATGAAAAATGTACAACATCTTGAACAGATAATCTGACGTTAGTTAAAATTTTCTCAAGAACTTCAACCGGTAGCTTCTCCATTGTATTAAAATGGATGCGGGATTCAATTCTTGGTCATTATAATACTAATCTAACGTAAAAACAATTTTAAACTATTCAAAAAAAACCTATAGTTTACCAATTATTAGTAATATTGGAATATCAGCAGTGTTGCCAGAGTACCCTGAAGGAATGTAATAGATGAACTCTCAAAATTGTAATAAATTTCAAGAAAATGTAATAGAAATTTTAGTCAACTTAAAATGAACTATACATAAAAAATACGATTCTATTGCTGCGTTTGAGAATTCACATCGGATTCATCTGAGATGTAGTAAATCTTTAATCACGTGATTTAGTATACGTAAATGTAATAGGACAGATGTGTCCGATGTAGATAAAAAAACACTCGAGATGTAAAAAATGCATCCGATGTGGATTCTCAAACGCGGCAATTGTATTGATTTTTGTCGCATTTGAAAATCCACATCCGATGCATTTTTTTACATCTCGAGCGTTTGTTTATCCACATCGGACACATCTACATCTGCGTTTGTTTATCCGAGATGTACCTATCCAGATTACATTTTTTACATCTCGATTTAAAATGAGATGTGAATGAGGTGGTCGTTCCATGCCGGAAAGTAAGTTTTCTGTGAAGCCAAGTTTGTCAATTTATCCTTTGTTTATGCTAGCGTGAATATAAAAGTAATTAGTTTGTTTAGATTTCAAATTTAGGTTGATCTCAAAATTCAAATTTAAAAAGTATAAACTTCTAACTTGTCGCAGATAAATTCAGAACGGTTCTGTACTGGGGTTGAAACAAATCTTTTGTAAAGAAAACGAAGAAAAAAGAAATTCTGTCTCCAATGCAAGGTCCAATGATATAAGAAACTTTTTAAGCGCTTTGGGCATGTTCAAGAAAATATGTTTGGGATAAACAACCAAATAAACCTGTTTAAGATGGTATTAGTTGTATGAAATAATAAACAATATATTAGGAACATAGAAAATCAAGGGTTAGGTTCAAGTTTATCAATCGTGAAAATGTAATAGATTTATTGGACATGTAATAATGTAATAAACCCTTCAAAAATGTAATAGATTTGTTACAATTGTAACAAACTGGCAACACTGAATATCAGTTGTTTTGACACTTATGACATTTGACATTTACGTTTTACAGTAGGTTCGTTCTGGTTCTCAAAATGAAAACTGTTTTGAAACTGCGCCGTACCGTATGCGTAAAGGCAAAAAATCCCCGACTGTTTGAAATTCTTGGAAAACCAGAACACGTCATGAAGGTGTTTTGTTTATTGTTTATTATAATAATGAAGTTCCTTTTGAAAGCTCAGCTTCAAATAACATTTGCATGTATATGTTTATCATTATCATCACATTTCAATGGAATAAATAAAAACAGAATATTAAAAAATTAATAATTCTAAAATTGCTTTAATTTACAAATAAAACAAGAACAAGAGACATTCGTCCACATATAAATAAACAATTTGGGATTGTATACGTTTCGTATGGTCTAAAAAGCCAATACAATATTCATAACACTTCAAAAACGCATGCGCGGTCAAAACAGTCCGAGTCGATCCACACTCCCAAGCATGAACACTTTTTGACTGTTTACAACAATCACGGATTATTTCGGATACGAAACCAGAACACTGGACTGAGAGATCCGAAGTAGTCCCAGAAAAACCAGAACACTTTTTATCTACTGCGCATGAGCCCGACAGTTGTGGATCGTTATTTCTCAAAACCAGAACAGACCTAGTGTTGTCAGTTATTTAAAATTAAAAAATCGATAATTTATGGCGTGTACTGGAAAGGAGAACTATTCAATTACTATTATTAATTATTATGGTAGCTATTCTTGAATTCGAGGGAGTAGAAAATCGGTTTTTACCTCAAGGCATAAGCTTATGTTTATTTTGAAAAACATGGATGATCAATCTGTATAACTATCTATATCATTGACCCTGTCAAATCACCAAGCTCACATGGTTGCCATTTTGTCTGGAATGCATAGTTTGGCGACCTATTAATAGATGGTGTCCATGATGTGTCCACATTTTGACGTTGACGTATGATTTGTTGACAGTATTCGAATTTCGAATTTATTTTTTAAACATTTTTGATAAAAGAATTTATTCGATATTCTATTAGAATTGCAGGTTTTCAATAATGGGCGAAGGTGATTACGAACACGTTGAAGTATCCAAAAAAGGAAGGCATAGAAAGAAACAGTTGTACAATTCAATTCTAAAACTGATGGAATTTTACTTTAGCGATTCTAACCTAGCTAAAGACAGATTTTTGTCCCAACTTATAAACGAGGATCCTTGTAAGTACTTTTACTTCTTATTTGTAGGATTTTATTAATTTGTGTTTTTATAGATATCGATTTGAGTACATTTTTAAAATTCAACAGAATTAAAAAACTAAATTGCGACTTAGAAGACATACGCAAAGCAATAAGTAAATCAGACCTAATAGAATTATCGGATGATAGGGAAAAAGTTAAAAGAAAATTACCAATTAAATTGAACCAAAACGTAGACAATTGCACGGTATATGTAGAAAATATCAAAGCAGATGCTGATCATGAGTGGGTTTCACAATTTTTCTTAGAATTCGGAAATGTAGTGTATGTATCCATTCCAAAATACAAACACAACAAAACCAACAAAGGTTTCGCTTTTGTTGAATTTGAAAATGAAGAAGGTGCTAAAAATGCCTTGACTTATTTCGAAACCATTGGATGTAAAATGCCATCAGAAACCAGTCCAGAAAATTTAAAAAGTATACAAACCTTTGAAGAAAAAAGTGATATGGATGTTACAGAGGAGAAATGTGAAGAGAAAATTGATGAAAAAAGTAATGTTAATGTAAAAGAAGAGATTTCAGAAAAGAAAGAATTGTCTGATACAGAAAAATCTTCCAAGAGGAAGCTAGAAGAAGAAGATTCTGTAGTAAGTAAGAAAATAAAAGTAGAACATGTTGAAAGTGAACCAAAACTTGAAGAACACAATCAAATAATGGAAGCAGAAGATGCAGACAGCAAGAAAAAGAAGAAACACAAGAAAGATAAGAAAAAAAATGTCATTAAAGAGTTGGGAATTCAAGTACTATCCAAGTAAGTTCTTCATTTAGAAACATCAAAATAGCACCGTTTTGACATGAAATGTAATAAAAATATTTGATATTAAATATGTAAATGCCCTTGTAAAAAAACTAGCTCAGAAAAATGAAATATAAAATTTACTCTCAGAACTTGGGTTCAAACACTTTAATCTTATTGTCAATGATTTTGATCAGGCAGGAAAAAGAAAACTTACCAATTTTACATTTTTTTACCTTTAAAATTTGTATTCTTTTTCAATCTTATTTAAAAAAAATTACTGTTACAACAATTTCCAAAATTAAATCATTAATCTTTTTGTAATTTCCTGCAATCTAGTTTTTTTACTTATAAGTATTTTATTCTAAAGTTTATTAGAATTTGACTTTCCTTTTGTTTTAATAAATTATTGTTTTTTTTTTCTGACTAAAACTGTGAATCATGTACACTCTTCAATCACAAATATGTCAAACATTCTAGTGGTTACAAAATAGATGTATTTAATGCATTAATCTCAATTTGGTGTCCAACTGGTGTAGAAAAACTTCTTTACAAATTTAATTTTTTGTATTATTAATGCTTTCTCGGACAAACTAATAAGTAACAGATTCTGTGGAGCAGTCTTTCAAATAGTCTTGTTATAGAAATAGAATTTATTCATCTTTGAAAATTATACACTATACAAAGACACTAGGTACATAATGTAAAATCCTATCAGACTAGTCAAAAAAGTGTTAAGTAAAATACATTAAAAAATAAAATATATATATATAATAGACAATTCATGTTAAGATTAGTTTAAAAGTTCAAAAAATCTTCTATACTATAAAATACATTATTTACAAGAAAATCATTAAGATGTTTTCTTAAATCATTACAACTAATTTGATGATAACCTGTAGTATCTTCTAATATGTTATTGAACTTATTGTAACACTTAATCCCAATATATTTTGGTGAATGCTGGCTTATTTGTAGTCGTGAAAAAGGTTGATGGATGTTAAATTTTAATCTAGTATCATATGATTGCAGGTCTTTATTTTTCTTAAATATATGCTCATTATCTTTTATGTATAAAATTAGTTGAAAAATAAAAAGGGAAGGTAGTGTTAAAATTTGCTTTTTTTTGAAAAGTTCTTTACATGATGTTGGTGTCACCTTATACATGGCTCTCAGAACCTTCTTTTGAGATACAAAAGTTCTTTCAAAGTATGGTGAAGAACCCCAAAATATTAACCCATATTGTAGAGTTGAATGAACCAAACCAAAATAGCATAGTTTTAAAGTATCAAAAGATAATGTCTCCCTTAAATTTTTGATGATATAACAACAAGTACTTAATTTTGAAGTTACCATTTTTATATGAGCTTCCCAATTTAATTTAGGATCTAATATTATTCCTAAAAATTTTATGTCATCAATGCTTTGAATAGTTTTTCCGTCAACGTGCAAGTAGGGTTTGTAATCTGGTAATATGTTTTTGGGTAGAAATTGCATGAAGTTTGTTTTTGTTACATTTAATGCCAGACCGTTATCTTTACAATACTGGTTAAACTCACGAGATGCCTCGTTGCAGTCCCAAAATATGTTTTTTATCATTGAGTGCTTGATATATAAACTCTATGCAAGCTGCAATTGCAGTAGATGTTGACTTATTTTTTCTAAATCAATTTTGAGTATCTAGCAACATATTAAAACTTTCAAGGTAATTAGTAAGTCATATCATTTAAATATTGTATTTTTAATTGAGTTAATATATTTTTATTTCATTTTTTTTTTCTTGCTAATCTTCACTAGCTGCAAATAAACAAGTCCAACCCGTGCACAACCATTGGTTTTTACGGGCTCAGCATTGTTTATTTACATCTAAAATTATTTTGTAATAATTTGTATTTTTTGTTTCTTGTAAATAAACATTATTATTAATGGAGTATGCTGACTCAAATATTTTAGTTATTTGACTAGATATACAGATTAAAGGATAATTTTCTGTATTAGATGCAGATCCCTTATTTTCATAAACAGGAATCCCCTTAGATTCCTTCATATTTGGGAATAATCCCCAAACAAAGAATTCATTAATCAAATGTGATATGGGTTCAGCAATACCTTCAGTGGGTTTAGAAGTAGTTTTTTTGATTATAGTGATGATTTCACTAAGAGTTGTTGGCAAAAGAAAAAAACTTTATGATGTTTATTAATAGTCATAGTTAGGTACAATATTATTTTTTTTTTACATTAATAAAATAGTCATTGATATAATTTACTTTTTCTAAGGGTGTTAATTTGTCATCATTTGTAAGTTTAATAGGATTCAATAAGTTGTTTTTTCTTTTTCCCCTACTCTCGTTTATTTTATTGCAGGATTCTTTCATTACGTTATTAATTTTTAAAATATGATCATTATTTTTTCTTCTCAAATATTGTTTTGTTATTTTTTGATACTCTTTTTTTAAATTATTGTAACATTCTGTATAATATGTAGAATTTATTTCTTTCCTTAACCTGTTCATTTAACATAATAGATTATGTAACTTTTTAATATGAGGTGGAAACTGATTTTTTAATTTTTGTGGTTTTATCGCTTTCTTTGTTTTCGTAAATACAATATTTTAGTGGTATAGGAATGATTCATAAAAGATAGAAAATTTATCATTAAAATTAGTAGCCAATTTTCAACTGTTAAAATATTTATAAAAGTTATTGCATTAGGATCACTTAAATCTCGTTTATATCTATTTAAATTCGTTATTTTCAAAATTAGGTAGTTTAATCGAACATAATAAGTAGTTATGATCAGACAAAAAAGTATCATATACATACACCCACCTTATCTACATCAAAATTGGTAAAAAAATTATCTAAACAAGTTGAGGTTGTACTTATTGTTCTCGTTGCAACATTTATATGATGTTTAATATTAAATTCCTTCAATAAGTCAATTAAAACAGTTTTTTGATTACCTTCAATCAAAAAATCTACATTAATATCACCACAGATAAAATAGTGATTGTCTTTTTAATAAATATTATGAATTAATAGCTCTAGCTGATTTATAAAAGTCCTAAACTTAGTACAAGGTGGCTTATACATTATACACAGTAATAATAAATAAAAAAAGTTTAGAATCGATCTTTATTTTTCCACCACATACTTCAAATGCACTTTTTATCACCAAGGGACCTCAAGGACTACTTGAGGTCCCTATTTTATCAGGTTTGAAGTAGAGGCTAGGTTTGAAAAATGTTCTTCACTCTTATGCGATCTCTGGTTTTGTGAATCGCTGACCTTGTTTAAAGTTGAATCGGGAATAAATTATATTTTTCGGCCAAAAATCTGATTTATATACTTGAGGATCTATTCCCACTAGAAAAGCTTGATTATTCTGTCTTACAAAATATGTGTCTAGTTTCTTCACATAAATGTCTTCTGCGTTTGTGCGTTTATAAATTTTATTCACTCAAAATGATGACACAACAGATAATAAAACATATTAATTAATATAAATTTATAAACATATAATCCTTATCAGCAATTATTACTAAAAGTAGAGTAAACAAATGGTAACCCACAAAGGTATGACCTGTCCGTGGGTGATTCCATTTTTGCTCGTCTCCAATTTTTAATGTATTAAAATTAAAATATTATACAAAATATCAATAATATTTAACACACAAACATATATAAATAATTTAGTATAAATTATGTAAACACTAAGGCGTAATTAAATTATGAATCACTTTTCTATCACAATTTAATACAAAAGTTTTAGCTTTCTTTTTAAAAATACTTTTTGATTTACAACTTCGAATATTGAGAGGAAGGAAATTGTATAGCCTTTTTGAAATATAATTATAACCTCTTTGACCAATGGTTTTTGAAGCTGATACTGTTTTTAATAACTTATTTGTTTTTTGTCTAGTCTCATAGTTATGTTGAATATGACTGTTTGTTTCTATTTCAATAGAGGTAACTATTTTATAAAAATAAATCTGTCTAATATCAAGGTTATTTGATTCTTGATACAATGTATCAGAGGGATAGAGAAATGGTTTATTTAATATTATTTTTAGGAATCTCTTTTGTAATACTTCTAGTTTCTTTAAGTGATTATCCGCCAAACCTCCCCATCCCACAATTCCGTATGATATACGCGATTCTACTAAAGCAGAATATAGTATTTTTAACTGACTTTGATCTAATATATTTTTTAAATATTTAAATCTGTATAGTAAGCTACGTAAAGTTGAAGTAACCCTATCAACATGTAAATTCCATCTAAGGTGCCTATCCACAGTTATTCCTAAATATTTTATGTTTTCTTTTCATAGATTTGTTTATAAATGTATTGATCATATTTATTTAAAAAATGTACCTGATGGAGGTATTGGGCAAAGATATTTTACTTCAAACCACAAAATTGTTGTCAATGTTCACCACATTACTGTGGTTTCAAGATGGTCCGACATCTATTTGTACCTTGTATTGCTTAGTCATTTTGTTGATAGGGTTATATTAAAATATTGCTCTTATTATGCCTTTTTATACTATTAATATTGGTTTTTTTTTATTATTTCAAACAGTTTTAAGGATATTTTTAATAATTTTTGATAAATTATATATTTTTGTTTTAAATATTAGGCCAGAATGGAAGAAGATGCGAAACAGATATTTGGACCTTCAGAAAAAGAAAATGAAAGAGTTCAAGCAGTATTTAAACAGACAAAGATTCGCCCCGAGGGGTTACGACAAAAATTTAAGAAAGATAAACGTTGAAATACCACAAATCAAAGACGAACCCAAAGAAAAATTGGAATTTGTTTCCGGTGTTATAGTTAAAGTCAAGTTACCGGAGCCAATCATAGATGCCAAAAAAATTAAGGTAAGCAATGGGAGGGAAAATATCGGAAGTCAGTGCTAGTGCGTACGCCACTGTTAAAGCTGAATTTTTTTTGTATTGAAAAATATGCACTTTCATGAACTGCCACTGCTTACTAAATATCACTAAAACTTTAGCTCCCTGTATTTTCGTAATGGAACATTTTTCGACCATAGTTTATAAAGCAAATTATCTTCAATTTTTCATGTAGATTCACACACTTAAATATTCGGATATCATTAAGGAACAAAAGAAAGTACTTAATAATAATTAACATTAAAACGATTTTAAAAAATTTATTTAATTTGAATAAAAAACTTAACCTGCAGGATTACCTAAAATATCAAAGGAATTTTTATGTTAAGTTGCCTCTTTTGTTGCTATTATTTCCTCCATATTGTATTCATTTAGGTCTGTATCATTCACTACTGCTTTCTCTTCTATTTTGTTTTCCTGTCGTTTAGATTTAACAGCTTTTCAATATAATATTTGGTTCTTTGCTTGGTAACCTCTTTTTTCCATCCTAATGCCTTAATATCAAAGGGATTTTTAATTATTAAGGCTTTTTGATCCAGAACGAAATAAAGGTTTTATCCAGCGACATCAAATACGTGGACATTCCGTTGCCGGCAGGCAGTGAAGAAATTTTCGTGCGATTTTCGAACAACAAAGACGCCAAAGACTTTTGTTCCAAAGGGTCGGTCGGAGAAAAAACAGTTTTAGAAGGAGACGAGGAACAAACGTATTGGGAGAAAATCCAAGCTGATAGGGACAGTAAATTTTCAAAAAACGTTAAAAAACAGAGGGGGAGAGATAAATTGTTGAAGAAAGCTGAGAAGGAGAGAGCGAAGCATATTAAGTTTGAAGAGGGAGAATAAACATTAGTAATAAGTAGTATTAATGTTAATGGTTTTAATAATAATCGTTTCTAAGCATGAGATTTTTTTTTTATTTCTCTTAACCAAAATTTTAATAATAATTATTTTTTTTGTAAATAAAATTCTTCTACACACTCACTACGCGGTCTTCAACTCCAGATTTCTTATACCCACTAAAAAGTTTTTAGTTCTAAAGTATTTTCCTTCTATTGTTATAAACAGTTAGTCCAGAACCTTTACAACTTATTAGTTTCTGCCTTGAGCGCCAGCGAATTTTTGATTGTATATTCACAAACTAAAAAACAAATTCGTTAAAATCGTGGCCCTTCTACGCTTCCGAGATTCTGGGAATGTGGTGGGGAATTTTTATTTATTATTATTATACGGGATAACCCCATTAAAGAAATTTATACAATTTACAATATAAAAAGGCAAGTAGAAAAATACTATTACTATAAGATTACTAAAACAAAACAAAAAACAAAGTACAAAAGAGAGTTTTTACAGTAATTAATTAAGGTGAATTTAAATATACGTTAAATATAAGTTAAGGAACATGTATCACATTTTTACAATTGGTTTTAAATTTGGCTTATCCCATATTAAAAATATCTAAATTAAGATTATTCAACATAGACAAATATCTGTCAATAGGACTGTTGACGCCATAGCTCGTTCTATGAAACGGTATATTAAATGTTAATGGATATCTCAGTCCAAAGTAATAAGGAACATTTAGGCTAATCCCGCTCAAAAGAGAAGGACAGTCTATAATTTCATTTAACATTTTGAATAAAAATACTAAGCCAAATATGTCTCGTCTTTCCCTTAAAGGAGGCAAATTTAATTAACTTTCTACAGCACTATAATCATGATCTGAAATTCTGACATTACTTTTAACTGCACATACTCTCAAAAATTTGTGTTGTACCCTTTCCAAGGTATCAAAATGAATTTGAAAAAATGGTGACCACACAATTGAGCCATACTCAAGCACGGATCTAACTAACGAGCAGTAGACCATTCTGGTGGCATCAGTGGAGAAGTACTTAAAATTTCTTATAACAAATCCTAACATTATTGATCCATTAATAGAGAATGAGTTTATATGTTCAACAAATGCTAGTTTTTCATCAAAAATGACACCCAGATCTTTTACTGTTGATTTGTATTCAAGTTGGTGATCATTAATAAAATAGTTTGTTGCTATCCTAACAGCTTTACGGGAAAAACTTATATAGCAACATTTATTTTCAATTTGTTTTTATTACACCACTCTACTAAGCGATTCAAATCCTCCTGAAGGAGTTCTTGATCACAAATGTTCTCTACTGTTCTTCAAAACTTGAGCACGTCAGCAAACTTAGCACATTGGCTGTACACAAAACAACCAACAATATTCACAAAAATGTTAAAAAGAAGAGGTGAGCTATGGCCCCTTTGAGGTACACCAGATGTAACATTAATTGTATCTGAGTAGTAACAACCTATTTTTACCCTTTGAATACGATCAGTCAATGAGCTTTCCCACCAAAAAACAAAGCCTAAGTTGAAGCCAACTGAAAGCAACTTATTTAACAAAATATGATCTACTCGATCGAATGCTTTTGAAAAGTCTGTGTAGATCGAGTCGGTTTGTTTTTTGTCTTCCATGTTTTGAAGAACATTTAATTGATAGGTTGTTAAGTTTGAAACAGTTGATCTGTTCTGGGAAAAACCATGTTGTTCCTGACAAATTAAGCCTTTACATTGCCAAGTCAGTTGTTTGCTAACTAGGCAATCAAATAATTTTGGTATTCGCTCCGTGCGCGACAGCAGCGCCAATTCGTTTTGATACTAATGGAGGATTTCGGCGTATACTGACAAATGCAACTTTTAATAGAATTCGTAATTAAAAAGTATACATGTTAGTTTTAATAAAAGTATATGGATTTGTAAAACAAGTAAAACATTAATTTATTATTATTATATATTTTTATCGCTTAAATTAAAGAAAATTATGTATAATTGATAAAAATCCATAATAAAATATAGGCAGGCAACAGTATTTACAGGAAAATGTATGAGAAGTTGCCTAAGTCTAATAAGTTTTCATTGAAGAATTAGTCTATTCTGTCAAAATACAAAAATACCATTTAATAATAGCGTGAAGTTAAAATGTATAAAAAAGGATCATTACTTATATATTCATTTTTGTTCGAAAGAAAACATAGAATGAATGATTAAAACTGATTTCCTATCAGTAATTTACAAAATTGCGTTCCAACCACATATAATAATCAAAGGCAGAAATCTTGAAATCTAGTCCTTGCTGAATGAACATTTAAGAATAAGGGATATTAAAGAACATCGTAAAATGATAATCTATTGTTGATTTAAAACCTTTCAAGTTTCTGATGTCTACTATTTGCAGCATTACGGTTATTATTACAAAAATAAAGGTAATTTTCCTTCTTATTGTATATCTATCCATTCATTTCTTTAATTTAATTTCCACTTTGCTACTGAAATTTTTTATATAAGTTTCACTGTTTTTATTGCTAGTATTTGTACAATTTTCAACACAGTAACTCCGGTTGCTTATTGTATTGTTTTTACCTACTTTTTTTGAAAAAAAGTAAAATGTATACGTGTATTTGATATGCCAAAATTACAAAATATCCCCCTAAAATGCACGAATTATCCGCAGCTAGCGCTAGTATCGCTTTTGCTTCCCTTTCCATGACTTCGCACGGAGCGAATAGCAGATACTACGGTAATTCTCGATGTTGTTCTTTCCCCCATTTTTGAAAATAGGAACAATATTGCTTACTTTCCAGATCTCAGGAAAAATAGAACATTCCAACGATTTGTTAAATAGCAAAAATAAGGGTAAAACAATTAACACATTTCTTTAATAAAAAGTTAGGAACATCATCTGGACCTGATGTTAACTTATTTGGAATATATTTAAAATTTCATTGAAGATGTCCGATTTTGATATTACATTACTCTTTATATTGTTGCTTAGGCTCTCGTCTCTAGTTGCTTTTCTATTTGCTAAAGAAGCCTTGGCTTTCTTGGGGAATATAAAAATTATCAAAAAACTGTTTCTTCCAAAAATTTTCAAAATAACTTTTAGAACCTACATATGTATATAAAAGTATATGTAAGGCGTAGAAAATTTAATTTAAAAAAAAATGAATTTAAACGTTAAGGGTGTTTAGTTATATTTTCCAAAATTGCGTCAAAGTTACGAAATTAGATAAACTATCACACAAAAACTTAGAATGAAGGATATTTTGATGGGATTGGTCCATTTGGCAGTTTTAGTGAGTTAGAACGGCGCTTAAAACATATTTCGGAAAATATTTTCGTTTATTTCATAAAACCAATACAGAGACAATAAAATTACAATACATTTCACTCGGAATAAACAGCGTTAACGGACTGTGTTGTACATACTGGTTCATGCCTTTGTTGACTTTCTAAATCCTGTTCAGAAACAATTTCTTCGCGTTTCTTTAATGCCAACTTAATTTTCTTTCGTCTAGGTTTTTTAATCTCGAAATTTTCGAGTTTATATGCTCCGGTTGATGTTTTCTTTAATATTCCCAGCTGCCATGCTCTGTTTAAGTAAAACGGCACGATAGGCAGGAGTTGTCGCGCTGGTTTTCGACATTTTTGCAGGATGCACTGCTTGATGCTTTTGATGTTTGCTTGTAAGCCCAACCTTTGGAGAAGCGCCACTGAACTTATGACCGATGTAGCGGCTCTTATATTGGATTTCAAATCGTTCTTAGATTTCTTTCTCGATTTCCTAGATCTCTTGTAAGTGTCCTTCTTCGTAATTATCATTTTTACGAAAAATTTTTAGAATGTGGAATTTCAAACTTGTGATTAAAATATATGCGCTATTGACACTGTCAGTTTTTCATAGCCGTTGTGGATTAATGTTAAGGCTCCGAGAGCGCTATCTTGATGAGAGATATTTTTAATTTTTGACAACACACCTAACAGAAAAGCAATGGTGTATACAAAATATAATAACTACACAGTGGACAAGCATTTTCACGTTTTGAGAAGACGTGAAACTTTTGTGAAGCAACAATTTTTGTTTATTCAATTGCATAAAACTACCCTGGCCATGCACTAAAATCCCCCCCAAAATACTCGTCAATTCAAGATTCTTGTGGTAAATTTTTATTATCTAATTTCGTAACTTTTGGGCCATTTTGACATGAAATTAAATTGAAATAGCTTCCTAATTATGTTTTATACACCTGTAGGTATATCTAAGAAAGTTATTTTGGATATTTCTAAAGCAGAAATAAAATCTTTGGTCATTCCCCATCATATTGATATATTAAAAACTAAACTTCCTCCCGCAGGACGATCCCCTCGCCAGAATATAGGCAACCAAGATTGCACGTTTCTGTTAAACAAGTTGCTTTTAGTCAGAAATGGTTATTCATTTCTATTATTTCGTTTTTTAATAAGTTTTTTTTCACAAATAAAATATAGGAACTGTTTATCCCCACTTTTTAAGTTAATTTTTTTTATTTTGGTCAAAGAAAAAAGATTTTATGCATTCCAATAACCTGTCAAAATACTTCCCGTTGATTATGATATGGCAACCCTGTTATCTTTGACAGGTTGCATTGATATATGTATATATTTAAGGCGATTTTAAATCAGTTACTAGAAATGTGACCAAGTCAAGTGTGGTCAAGGTTCTTACGTCATTATAATGACGTTCTAATAATCTGATTTAAAAATGTTTGGTTTATATTGACACTAACTTCACAATGGGTATAACATTGACAGATATCATGAATTTTTGTTTGTGTGTTATGTAATAGTAGTAGGATTTGTTTTTGAATTTGTAGGGATAAAAAATAAATATTTGTTTTGTTTACTGATCATGGATGAAGAGAAAATTGGTATTATAGTTACTTTGGCCTCTGATTTTTATCAAAACTTTAGCCATGTTCATTAATAAATCCTACCTTGAAAATAAATTGGCTTTTCATTTGCAGAAACCTTAAATGCGTCCATATCTAGGTACTCAGCCAGGGTTGCCAGACGTCGCGCTTTAGGCGTAATTGTCCTGCTTTTTAACTTGCTGGCACGCGTTATGCCAAAGTACAAAAATGCTCCGCATTTTATCTTATTGCTACGTTTTTTAAATTCAAAGTTATATATAATGATATTTTTGACAATGTTTGACCTGTTTTTGAGAAGCTCAGAAAAAGGAATCTAATGGTTTAAATAAATATAAGCGGAGGACTTTTTTTTAGATCTCTACAAAAAAGGAGCTTATTTTAAAAAAATACCTGTTTTTTAAACCTGTACCCTATCGTCACCATTGTCCCACTTTTCCCTTTCGTAAATCTTTCTTTCTATTTTACAAATAACACAACCAAACAATGATTTAATAATTAAAAAGTAAAAGTTTTACATTTGTCATTTCATTTGACATTTCATACCTGTGATGACCACGTTTTTACTGTAGTCATGTTAAACTTGACTATTTCAAGACAATATTCAATATGACGTCATTGTTTTTGATTTATATCAGTGTAGTCAATCATATTCAAGACATAGTATCTGATTTAAAATCGTCTATAGATTGCTCAAAGCGGGTCGTTTTGCGAGCTGCCATATTGCCTAAAGACTCAAAAATGTGTTTCAAAACCAATTTTCAGCTTTCGAATATAGTAATAACTCCCTACTCTAACCAATGCTATTTAAATTAGGCATTCCAATTGAAAGTATGCAAATAAATATTAACAAAACTTACAAAATAGGGAGTATTTTTAGTTTTTTGAATTAATAAAAATTAATGGGAAAATGGAGTAAATAGCGGTGCTAAGTGGGTAAAATTACGTTAATATTGACCTTTTTACTTTCCTGCCTGGATACAGATAAGAAAAGCATTGGGTCCACTGAATCCGTTTTGACTATTTTAGCGATGTCTGTCTATTTAAATTTAAGCTTTAATCCATCCTGCGGTGAGCCGTTTATATTTTGGAGGGTACTTTTGTCTATTTTATAGAATAAATTTTATTTACGCTTTGAGAAGAAAATTCTCCAAATAAAGTTGCTTGTGATGTTATTCTCTATACATAATTTTCCTAAAATGACCCGTGTTCGAGAAATTTGACAAAAAGTGTAAAATATTAATTTTTCAGTATTTTCCTTGGCAATATATATAAAAAAAATGTCTAAACATTTACGGGGGTATTACAGTAGGATATACAAAATAACCGAAAAAGGCCTATAATAACTGATATAGGCAAGTCATGTATTGGACAATTTTTTTTAATAAAATTTTGTCAAGGCAAGATAAATGAATGTCATTTTTTTTTCAAAATTAATAATATTTTTTGTTACAATAGATGAAACTAGATAATTAGTTTTCTTGAGGTTTTAGCAATAAATACGATCTTAGCTCAAATTTGGGTGAATTTTTATTTTACAATTATTATTCTACATTCAATTTTTTATTTGATATCCACGTTCTTAAGGTTGATAAAGACATGATGACTGGAATCATAATTGGCAAAAACAGAGGAATATATACAGCATACCTATAAAAAACAATTATTTATTAAAAAAAATATTTGCATTTTTAATAAGTTTATATCTTACTTTTGATCTTCTGGAAAATATAACAAGGACAACAATGAAGGGTCACTAAAAGCTTCTTCAGAACTCTTAAAAGCAACTTTGGCAATTTCTAATCCCTTATCAACATCACCATTTTTCAAAAATTCTTCTGCCTCATCAGCACTTTCCACAGCAATACTTATTTTCTCTCCCACTTCTTCACTAATGACAATAGATTTAATCTCAGACAGAAGCTCAGCTAGTGATCTAAGAGTCCTTCTTGTCGAATCTATCATTTCTGTGCTTTTCCTCATTTTTAACTCATAAATATTGTCAGGATCTAAAATGTTATCGATTTTGAATAATTTTTGGATTTGGGTTATAAATGTTGAAATGATAGATTGCATATTTGGTTTAAAAACTCCATTTTCACACGACTGTTTATCAGGGTTGATTATATAAATACCGCCCCATCTAGAACTTAAAAAAGCATTACTTGCTACTCTTTCGTTTTTTTCATCAAAAATATACAAAGGCAAATCATTGCAACATTGAAAATATATCAATAAATTTATTGTAGGTCTAGGTGACATGTGAGACCACAATTTAGCTTCTAAAGGTGTAATTATGTGAGGTAATTGATCTTTCTTTAGACAATAATGATCCTCATTTTTTGTAGGAGATACTCCTAGGTCTAGAAGATACAACCATTGTGATTTTACTATAAACTCAGATATAGGCGATATTTTATCTAAATACGGTCGTAAATGCTCTTCAATATCTTCTCCTTTTATTAGAATCTTGGGATTAAGAGGATCTGGGTGCACAAAAGTTATTAAAATATCATATTCCAAACTTAAAGGCGTTCCAAATTCTTTATCTGTGTAATTATTTAAATTAGCATCTTCCATTTGTCCTATTGGTAAGGTTGCTCTGTATACTCTCGTTGTGTACCACCATATTGGTAATCCTACTACAATTAATACCACAAAATAGGAAAGTATACTGTATATTCTGAAATTAACCTCTTCATCAACTAAAAAATTGACAAAATAAAACTAAAATATATGTATAAAATGAAAAAAAAACATTACTTTCTTCCTGTTTAGAAAGGTCTTTATTTGATTCTTTTAATTTTAAAGTGCACATTGTAATATTTATTAAAATTTTGGCGAATTCAGGCACAAATACCAAAAAATACAGATTGTTTATTTACTTTTTACAACCTAAAATCTGTCATTTTAGTGTCAACCAAATGATTTCTTCTTTTTATATATTATTAATACCTATTATACAAACAGCGCTGGTACCAGTGGTACCTTGTAATGTATATTATATTTATTAAAATTCTGATATTTTTTAATATTCTTATTATTTTCAAATTTTTTGTGTATGTGGTCAGTGCTTAATGACAGGTTATGATATGGCAACCATGCGGGCATGTTGTCTTTGACAGGGTCAATGATATATAGTAATGTAGACTGCTCAAAGCGGGTAATTTTGCAAGCGACAATATTTGTCTTGCAAGTGCCCATTAATCAGAATTGGCTTAGCAGAAATGTGTTTTAAAACCAATTTTCAGTATTTGAATGTAGTAAAAAAAATAATTACAACCACATTTTACTTCAAGGCATAAGGGGTCTATTCTGTAACACATCCGTTAAAATTTAAGGGCGCTAAAATCAAATATAGTGGGGTCTATTCTGTAACAATTCCTTTATATTTAACGGCCTTTAAAAATATTGACGGCCTATAAAAATATGTTCGTATTCGTTAATTTACTTCTGTCATTATTTAAACAGATTTCTTTAAGGTAGTCCTCTAATGTATTTTAAAGATCCGTTTAAATAATGACAGAAGAAAATTAACGAATGCAAATATACTTTTAAAGGCCGCCAATATTTTTAAAGGCCGCCAATATTTTTAAAGGCCGTTAAATATAAAGGAATTGTTACAGAATAGACCCCTAAGTATATGTTTATTCTGAAACCAAGGATGATCAATATATATAACATTAAACCTGTCATATCAGCAGGCCCACAGGGTTCTTTCAAAAACCTGTCATTACCACCGAACTATTGCTGCGTTTGAGAATCCACATCGGATGCATTTTTTACATCTCGAGCGTTTTTTTATCCACATCGGACACATCTGTCCCATTACATTTACGTATACTGAATCACGTGATTAAAGATTTTTTACATCTCAGATGCATCCGATGTGGATTCTCAAACGCAGCATATATATTAAACTGGAACCGTCTTTCATCGTGGTTTTGACAGATTATGATATGGCAAAATTATGGCAAACCTGTAGGCCTGGTGATTTGACACGGTCAATGAAATAGATAGTTACGATCATCCATATTCTTCAAAATAAACATAAGTTTATGCCTTGAAGTAAAAATGTAAGCAATTATTATTTTTTAAATATCTAAAGGCTAAAAATTGGTTTTAAAACACATTTTTGCCAAACCGATTCTATTAATAAATATTTGCCAAGCAATATGGCCGCTCGCAAAACGACCAGCTGTGAGCAATCTATATAACTATATATGTATCATTGACCCTGTTAATGACAACATAATAACAGGGTTGCCATATCTAAACTGTCAGTCCCCACTGGTGTCTGCAATGATACATCCAGCACTCACTTTGGTTATGGGACTAAAAAGAACCAATTAGAACGGGATACGTCACGACTGTGGGCGGGATCGATTGACAATTAACACGTAGCAGTTAGATTTTTTAACCTAACATTTTTGTTTGTTAGTTTGTGCCAGTTTTTGTTTTGGTTTTGCTCACGGCCAAATATTTACAGTAATAATCCTTCCTCCATGATTTACAGTTATAGTGTGTGTACATACAATCCATGTACAATCGTGGTTTTGATGTTTGCTTTTACCATAGTTGCTTACCGAAATAATGGATATCGCGCCACTACCCTCTTTGAATGATGAATTTAATGTAAGTACAACATTTTTGTACCTTGTTTCTCTAAGACGAAAATTAAGCCTTTCAAGTAAAAGTTCATATTTGTTTTCTTTTGTATAACTACTAATTAAATATTTTTGCTGAGAAAATTGGTACCTACATGTATGTTCATAAACATAAAGTACAAACAAACTGCTAGGATTTTTGTGTAATTAAATCTTTATTTTTCAGTCAGTTTTTCCACCTGGTTGGGGAACAACAATTATTGGTAAAAAAATAGTAGAGGGTGAAGATAAGTTCCCGAATGTAGAATTGCATTTTTTCATCAATTGCACCAATGAAGAGGAGTTTGGAAAGTGGTTGATGGAGTTTGAAAATTCAACAAGTTCATCATACGTTATCGCCTGTACAGACGTTGAGAATGGAGCTAAATTGAAACTGAAAAGAAGACTAAGGTAATAAAGGTTTTATTATTAATAAAACCTTTGGAAAACACAGATTTTACAGGTTACAAAAATTAGGTAGTAAATTAATGTAATAAATATCACATTTGTTTATGCTCTTATTTATAATGTAGGTTATATTATTTGTTACATGTAGGTTTATTACAGTTTATTATTATGTTACCTGGAAAATTTAATTTTAGGTGTCATCATTCTACACGGTGCACTAAAACCTACAACCCGTCCTTAAAAAACAAAACTAGAAACACCAATTGTCCTTCGAAAATAACTGTAAAGATACATGTTATTAGAAAAAAGTATAGGGGCAAGAAAGAAAATTTCCAACTCTTACAAGAGGCGCCTTGTGAGGTTAAACTTATTTTAACACACAACCATATGACCAATACTGCAGATTCTTTACGGTTTCGTAAAGTTTCTAAGAATGTAAGAGAAGAGTTACTAAGTCTTTATAAGAATGGCCATACAGCAGGAACAGCTTTGGAGATGATTAAATGTAACATTCAGCTTACCAGGGATGATTATGTGACAGCTTTGGCAGACCGTAATATATGTCCAACCTATAAATACTGTTATGATCTATATATGAAAGAGTTTAAAGAAAATTATGGACCTATGAAATTTGATACAGAGGCGAAAATGTTTTTAGAAAATAATCTTACACTGTACAATGCTGAAAAAAGAGAAACAATAACAAACATTCTAGAAATGTTTATGGTATGTTATAAACTTAATTAAATGGGTTTGGTTCGGTTTTGGTATTTTATTTGGTGGTTATAATATGTATTTTTTTATTTATCGTTTGTATGTTTAGAAATAATTTAACTTGACAGCAGATATTGTTGAAATTGTATTAGTTCAATTTAATGAACTAGGTATACTATAATGTAAACCTTCCTATTTAGATTTGTAAAATATACCACTAATTAATTATTTTTTGTGTCCCAATTCAATTTATAAATTGGCAACACAAATAATTGAAATTAAATTTGTATAGATTTCTTTAAGGATGTGCACAACTTTATTTTCTAAAGCTTTTGTTAAATTATTTCATTGACTAGAATTATTATCATTTTTAGGAAGTGGCCAAAATCGAAGAGGACGAAAAATTCCTATACAAAGTACTGCTGTAGCTAGAAGAAAAATTAAGAAAAAATCATCAAGACAACTAAAACGATTACGTAATAATACATATGATACAAGTAGATGCGTAATGCCTACTAAATAAAAAATGTTATTAGTTAAATAAACTATTTTTTTAAATTAAACTGCTTATTTTTAAAATTCCTAATGAAATATTTAAATTTAAAAACCGTTTAGGTAATGTAGCTGTAGCATAAAAAGTAATTATCGTAACTGAGGAGTTGGCGGGAAAAACGATCAAATTCGGGGTGGATGGTGCCATCTAAAGATTTTTGTATATAATATATGCCTGGTAAACAGTTGCTGCAAAACGATTAAGATCTCTATAATACACCTAACAGTTATTTATGCAACTAGTGCGAAAAGCACTCTTTTCACACTGTTACATACAATATTTTTCGTAAAATAAATGATAGTAAAATTCTAAAACAAAAGTATTTTCCTTTACACCTTGTAGAAATACCGGCAGTTTTGTTGGAAATTTCCTGTCATAACCGCATCGAATTTTTGTTTTTAATTGTTTGAATTGTCAAGATGATCATTTGTTGGTAATTTTTAGGTGAATTTGTTCGTTGAAAGCTTATTAAACGTAATCAAACGCTTTTAAAATCTGATTTTTATTTTTAGAAAAATGCCTTTAAAAGTGTAGTAATTATTCATCTAATTTAGTTATGTCAAATATTAGTAATTGTGTAATTAATATTTATAATAAATGTTGTGTATTATTTGCGCTTCCTATGAGACAACGCTCGGAAGTAAAAAAAAAACGATTTTCTCAGTTTCAGCATAGGCACACCTTCATCGTTTTCCTCGCCACCTCCCCAGTTACTTTCAAAACGAGCGCGCTTTTATGCCCCGCCTATAATTTGGCGTTCGCGCGCTGTTATTGGCTCTTCCACGTCTCATAGCGGAACTGTGGGCTCGATGTAGTATTGCCTGGTGTCTGAGTCTGGTAGCCATTTGGACAGGTCGTTGGAACATAGAAAAACTAATTGGAATGCCTAATAGAATAAAATTACCCCTTCATGTCTACATTTTGGATATAAATATATCGTAAATAATAGAATATTACTTTTTACTTTCCTTTATACAGATAAGGAAAGTATAGGAATCATGATTTTTTGCAAACTCGATTTATCGAGGGATTTTTATGTTTTGGGGGTCCCTGAATCTGTTTTGACCATTTTCGCGATGATGTCAGTCTATATATTCGATAACTCATAAACCGATAAACATAAAAACACCAAATTTTAAAATTAAGCTTTAGTCCATAGGTGAGATGATTAGATTTTGGGCATAGTCGGAACATCTGGGAAGGGGGGAGGGTAGTTTATAGTGTCGTTTTATTAGTTTAACGAATATTTCTGTCATTTACGATACATGATTTGAGGAACAGTGTGAAATTTAAATTGTTCAGTATTTTCGTAAGTATAATGATTAAAAATATATAAAAAAATGTTTCGAATAAGATGTGTGAAAAATGTACAACGTATTTAGTTCATTTTACAAATATTTACAGGGGTGATACATTGTTATAACACAAAATAACTGGAAAAAGCCTATATAATAACTATACAGGAAAGTAACGCGTTGAACAAATCAATTTTTTTTCTTTTCTTGGAAACTATATATCGATGAATTGCTTTTTAATTTATATAAAAAATGTAAAACAGAACAGATAGATTAGAGGGAAAGTAATTTAAAAAAACCTAGCTGGTGTATCTGCTTCTCTCTCTTTGATACATCTTTAGAAATGATTCTCAATATTATCTATGTTAAAGAACTAGTCTAAATGTTAAAAAAATATATATATTTACATTTTCACTAATAACTCGAAAATGGCTAGAGATATCAAAGAACTCATTTCCCAGTTTCAACCAAATCGAAATCCAAAAATCCTCAAGGAAAAATGCAGGTACGTAGTACAAAAAGAAACGAGAGCAATGTCGGAGTGTAGCCTGTTGATTTCTATCTAAAACAGTTTAATTTTTCATTCAACAAAACCAAATCTGCATATTTTGCCAAGTAAGCTTGTCTTAAATAAACTTGACTTTTTCTTCAAAATTGTGACTTCATCCCTTGTAAATTGAATTCTTTAATTCCCATTTTTTTTATTTAAAAATAAGAGAAAATTTTGGAAGAAAAATGTCGAAGTTTTGGTAAATTCAAGAAAATGAAATTTTATAATTTTGAGTAGAAAGTAAAGATAAATACATCCCAATTTGTATCCCCTCCCATGTCTACTATTCTTTTCTTAAATAAAATTAATTTGAACCTTAAAATACTGATACTCTTCTACTTTTCCTTATTGTATTATCATTCTCACTCAGAAAAAATAAAAAACGGTAAAAAAAAATAAAATTTGTTGAACTCAAAATATTTTATTACAGAAAAAGGAAAATCAGTACAACTTCTGATGACATTTGGTCGTTAGTACTTCCACACAGCCAATGACACATTAGTCACGAATCAAAACTTTTATAATACTCAGTATAAAAATCAAAGTAAATATTTACAAATTAAGGAATGAGATGGCCAGAGAACATATTATAACACATGCTCATTAAAGAAAAACTATTCCAAAATTTAATCAACTTCTTCCATTCGGGAAGCATCTTCACCATCACCAGCTTCAGCGGCCGGCGCATCACCAGCTGGAGTTTCTTCAGTAAGCATAGATTCTTCCTCATCAATTCCCAAACCCAACTTAATCATCCTGTAGATCCTGCAAGCGTGCACTTGAGGCTCATCCAATGTGAAGCCAGAACTAAGCAGAGCAGTTTCAAAGAGCAGGATGACCAAATCTTTAACAGCTTTGTCGTTTTTGTCGACCTCTGTTTTCTGTCTTAGATTTTCAATGATAGAATGGTCAGGGTTGATTTCTAAGTGTTTCTTGGCTGCCATGTAACCCATGGTTGAGGTATCGCGAAGAGCCTGGGCTTTCATGATACGTTCCATGTTTGCTGTCCAACCATATTGAGATGTTACAATACAGCATGGGGATTCTACGAGACGATTGGAAACTACAACCTGGAAAAAAGAAAGAGAAACTGTTAATGACTTCAAGACTTCTTTATATTGAAGATTTTCTTTCAAAAAAACAGGACATATCACAAAATATATACAAAAATACTTGAATAATAAAATTTGACAATAGTCATAATGTTATTTTGAATGGTAAATTAAAAAAAAAAAAAACAAAATATACAGAAGGATTCATTTAAAAAATCAAATTTAAAAGCATTTCCAGTAAAACTGTGTTTTTAAAAATTAGTTGAAAAGAAAATTTACTTTAAAAATTATAAAAATTATTATTTTCAAAAAACAAAATCAAATTGAATGGCATTTCCAGTAAAATTGTGTTTAAAAACTTAATAAAAGATGAAATTCTTACCTTTTCAACTTTGTTGTCAAGGATGCTCTTCATGACTTTGCAAAGCCCCTCATACTTAGCCTTGTCTTCCTCACGTTTCTTCTTTTCTTCCTCATCTTCAGGCAATTCCAAACCTTCCTTAGTGACTGAAACCAGAGTCTTGCCATCATATTCTTTAAGTTGTTGGACAACATATTCATCAATAGGTTCAGTCATGTAGATGACTTCAAAACCACGCTTCTTAACACGTTCAACAAAAGCAGAATGAGCTACTTGTTCTTTATTTTCACCAGTAATGTAGTAAATGTGTTTCTGTGTCTCCTTCATGCGACTAACATATTCCTTCATAGAGCAAGCTTCATCTCCACTAGCAGAGGTGTGGTATCTCAACAAATCTGCCAATTTGGCTCTGTTTTGAGAATCTTCATGAATGCCCAATTTGATGTTCTTTGAAAATTGTTCATAGAATTTCTTGAAACCATCTTTATCTTCAGTAAGTTCTTCAAATAATTCCAAACATTTCTTAACCAAATTCTTACGGATCACCTTAAGAATTTTATTTTGTTGAAGCATTTCTCTGGAAATGTTCAATGGCAAATCTTCAGAGTCTACCACTCCCTTGATGAAGTTGAGATATTCTGGAATGAGGTCTTCACAGTTGTCCATGATGAACACTCTCCTGACATACAATTTGATGTTGTTCTTCTTCTTTTTGTTCTCAAATAGATCAAATGGTACTCGACGCGGAACAAAGAGGAGGGCTCTGAATTCAAGTTGACCTTCAACACTGAAATGTTTAACTGCTAAATGATCTTCCCAATCATTTGTGAGGGATTTGTAGAATTCACCATATTCTTCTTGGGTGATATCATCAGCATTTCTAGTCCAAATTGGCTTAGTTTTATTTAATTCCTCATCTTCAGTGTATTTCTCTTTGATTGTTTTCTTCTTTTTCTTTTTTTCATCTTTTTTATCTTCGTCTTCATCTTCTCCAACATCTTCAATTTTTGGTTTGTCTTTGTCTTCCTCTTCACCTTCTTTTTTTTCTTCTTCAGCTTCATCCTCACTCAATTCCTTTTCTCTTTCTTTCACAACAAGCAATTTGATTGGGTAACCAATGAATTGAGAATGCTTCTTTACAATTTCTTTGATTTTATTTTCTTCTACAAATTCAGTTTGATCTTCTTTGATGTGCAGAACGATTTTGGTACCACGGCCTAAAGGTTCACCAGTATCAGGGCGAATAGTGAAGCTGCCTCCAGCAGAAGACTCCCAGATGTATTGCTCATCATCATTGTTCTTAGAGACGACAGTTACTCTATCAGCAACCAAATATGCTGAATAGAAACCAACACCAAACTGACCAATCATGCTAATGTCAGCTCCAGCTTGGAGGGCCTCCATGAATGCTTTAGTACCAGACTTGGCAATGGTACCCAAGTTGTTGACAAGATCAGCTTTGGTCATACCAATACCAGTATCTATAATGGTTAAAGTACCTTCACTTTCATTGGGAATGATTTTGATGTGCAAATCTTTTCCAGAGTCAAGACATGATGGATTTGTGAGTGATTGATAACGGATCTTATCCAATGCATCTGAGGAGTTTGAGATCAACTCTCTGAGGAAGATTTCCTTGTTTGAGTAGAAGGTGTTGATAATCAGACTCATCAATTGAGCGATTTCGGCCTGAAAGGCGAAGGTCTCAACCTCAGCGGTTTGTGTTTCTTCAGGCATCTGTAACAGAAATAAAAATTATTACATGAACAAAGTTAACTAAAGAATTAATTGATCTCTGCTTACAATATATTTAATAGTGGTAAATTTTTCAATTTGTTTAAAATGATTTGAATTTTTATATAAAATTAAAAATTGTCAGGAACCGGTAAACACGTGTAGTGGATCAAGTTTCATCAATTTAAATTACTTACTTAAATTGGTCACAATTAATTAAAATTTTAATAAAAAAACTTACCTTTGATGAGTTTTCTCAAAAATATCACCAATAAAACACGATTCACTGAAAAATCGCTTTGAAAATGCTTTGGAAAGTCACTCTGAAGCTTCGCTTCTCGTACTCGCAGTTGAATTAACTTTGACGCGTTTTCAAATTGTCGGTCGCTTTTATAGCCTACTGCGATCTGGAACAATCTAGAAACTTCGAGAAGGTTTTGGAAACAGATGGAAGTGTAAAATTGTTCGATAACTTGAGAGAGAAATATCTTCTATCTTAGTTTATTTCCGCTTACGGTGGCGGTAAATTTGAATTTTTAAAATGGGTTTGGTAACTAGGAATGTATTGATTCATGGTCTTTTCCAGAAAGTTCGAGAATAAAAATAAATTGCTTCCTTTTTTGCGGTTTTTAAATGAAAACAATAGTGATATGACATGGATAAAATTTATTTTAAAAATAAAAGTTATGTGATAATAAAAATAGAAATAGGAAATCAGTTTCCTTAGTTAAAAACGAATAAAGTAGGTAACATATAGGTCTAGCAAAATTCTAGATGCGTGAAGTAAAAGTAAAGCGTCCACCTAATGCAATTGTGTGGTGGGATGTAAACTGAGCTGAAAAAGAAAATAAATTACAATTTTTATGTTCAGTAATTTTTTTTGTATAAAATAGGTATCTAATCTAAAGTCATTTAAGATTCGGGACTCTGAATATAATCATAGTGTGATTGTATTTAGTATTCGCCGTAGACATTAATTTTTTTAAATGATTCAATGATTGTTCTTTGTTTTTCTTATATATAAATGATGATGGGTGTCCTAATTTCCAAGAAATCAATAATGAATAATCGAACAGCTTAATTGGCGCGAAATTGCCAAATCATCTCCGCCATTTTATGTCCATATTATTTTGGACAATAACAGAAATCTACTTTTGGCAACTAGTCGATAAATGGCGGCTCTAATGCGTTTCACAGAATTCTACTTGTTTGGAAAGTCGCCGAAATATACAGAAACTACTCTTTTGACGGATTGCAGGTAGATGGCGTTCGCGCCGGTAGGCATTCAACAAAATGGTTGCAAGTCAATGAACTGGAGTGGGGTAGAATGCTTGTCAATAGGATTGAGATGTGATTCTATGGGCGAAGACAGGAAAATATCGTTCCATCCATACAATTTGTATAAATGGAACGATACACGGGCAACCATTTTGTTTGGAATGCCTAATAAATTTAATTCAAATAAAATCTGGTACATTTTTTAGACAAATCTAGTACGAACTAGTTCATACCAAAAAAAAAAATATTCTGGCAACAATGCGGTCAACGTCAAACGTCAAGTCATTAGTTGTCATTTCTATAATCAGGAAATTTTTTATTTCCACAGAAGCCGGCGTCTTTTTTGTATACATTGAATAATTTTAATACAAAATTTAATTAATTTAAATAATACTGTTTGTAACATATCTAACTTTAAGGTTGAAACATGAATGTCCCTCTAAAAGAAGCTGTGGCGACCTCCAAAGTATTGGTTGTTGGATCCGGAGGAATTGGTTGCGAAGTTTTGAAGAATTTGGCTCTTTCCGGGTTCAAGGATATAGAAATTGTATGATTTGTCGTTTTATTATAATATCTATACCTACGATTTATTACTTCTTTTCTTTTTAGATTGATCTGGACACAATAGATGTGAGTAATCTAAACAGACAGTTCTTATTTCGCAAAGAGCACGTTGGAAAACCCAAGGCAGTTGTAGCACGTGAAAGTATCTTAAGTTACAACCCCGATATTAATATTAAGGCTTATCATGACAGTATTACAAGGTAATTAATTTTTTTTTATTATTAAAGAGATCAGGCAAGTGGCATAGCCAATGAAGCTGAACTTAAGCTACTATTACAATAATTAGTACAGGAAATTTACATGTTTTGTCATAAACGTTAGTGCACAATTCTAGATTTTACTTCTCTATCAATTCTTGCCTTAAATTGATTAACATTAGCAGCTGTTACAGTCTTCCTGTAATTGGTTTTGTGTCTAATGTATACACCACTCTATATTTGTTGAAAAGTGTTTTCTTTGTAACCTGCTACACCATTGATTCTTTGTGTGGCCCTGTAGATGTCTGGGTGTGTTTGATTTAAAGATTTTTTCACTTTTTTGCATGAATAATATTTCGTTTGGATTTGGGAAAAGTAAATGAAACATGTATCAACCAACTAAGGATCATGAAATATATAATGTTAATCTCAATATATCAATGAGACTGAATTACTAAAACAACTAAAGGACCAAACAGGGTTAGCAAGCACAGGTTTCTTTATTTTTTTTTTTTAAACTCTGCAGAAAGGATGCAAAAATTTGTGTAACTATATAAAAACATCCAAATATTTTATCAAAGATTATCACTGTAACTTCTTGATATTGATATTATTGATAGGGCCAATTAAAAAAATACCATTTTTTGAGTTTTTTCTTGTTTACAGAATGTAATTTTTTTAATACAATAAAATTCTGTTTTTCTTGTATTTTTTTGTTCAACTTATTAATAATAATGTTTGACATATATGAGCTACAACCCTTAAAAACCCAAATAACCTAAAAACCTACTTGTATATTTTATATTCTTAGTCTTTTTCCAACCATTAAGGTCAATTATGTTAATTTTCAACCTAGAGAAATATTTTAGTGATACTATTTTTTTTGTTACAGTCAAGATTATGGATTGAACTTCTTCAAAAGATTCAATATTGTTTTAAATGCTCTTGATAACAGAGCTGCTAGAAACCATGTTAATAGAATGTGTCTAGCTGCTGATGTTCCTCTAATAGAGTCTGGCACATCCGGTTACTCAGGACAGGTTGAATTGATTAAAAAAGGAGTAACTCAGTGTTATGAATGCCAGCCTAAACCACCACAGAAAACTTTCCCTGGATGCACCATTAGAAATACACCATCTGAACCAGTACATTGTATTGTTTGGGCAAAACATTTATTTAAGTAAGTAGAATAACATTATTATGTGTAGTTTATTATTGGACAAATAGAAAAATTTATTCCTTCTAAAATAAAGAACTTTTTCAACACTCATTTAATAATAGAAAAAAAATTAATACTGTTAATTATGTTGGATTTTATATATTTTTTGGAAACACAGCATTTCTGCTTGTTAAAAAGTTAATTTAGCTTGCCATAAACCTATTGATGCAAAAGTATTAAAATTCGTTTTTGTTTGTAGATAAGGTACCTGTTTTTAAGAGCGCAGAATACACATAATTACAAATTCCTCTAGACTAAAATATATTTTTTGCTAATACTGTAGCATAGGCAACCAGTATCACACATGTGTGTATATCATGTTGCCTATATTTTAATTATTAGAGTTAGCTGTATGCTCAGGTCAGGGCTACTGCAATAGCTGTCCTTCCGTGTTCATGTCATGCGGTCTCGCTGCTGTGTTAGTATCGCTTGTACTTAATAAATAAATAGTGAACCTACGTTAAATACTAAATACCTACCTTTCCACAACGAACACGTTATATGGCGCAGTCAAATTAAAATTAATCAGGGAAAGGTATTAAATAGTATAAATTACTATTTGATAGCAAGCGATACTAACACAGCAGCGAGACCGCATGGCATGACCTGGACATGAACACCAAAGGATAGCCATTGCAGTAGCGCCGACTTTCGCATACAGCTAACTCTAATAATTAAGATATAGGCAACATGATATACACACATGTGTGATACTGGTTGCCTATGCTACAAATACTATACTTATAAACTTATATTTTTACCTAATATGCTACTGAATTTATTGAAGCATTCAATTATAATTTATTTAGATGAATGTTGGGCTATTTTTAGAGAAAGGTGTGTAATTTTAAGTATGTTCATTTTCTTGAACAATATTAATTGATAGATAAAAAAGCATGGTAGAGCTAGATAATATCAGATTTTTCCAAAATTGGTTTGAATGATGATGACAAATGCTTTGTTGATCTGAGATGATCCATCTCAACATTTTAGGCCATACTGAAGAGTAGACTGCACCAATCTATAATAAAGAAGCTTCAATACATCAAAAGTTTCTGATAACATAGCAACAGGAGCTAATGTTTTATTAGTTTTGCCAAACAAACAACCATACATATCTGAATTAAGTATTCTTTAGTTTTTCACAATATATATTCTTTCTGTTAATTACTTATTTAAGTAAGCAGATGTTTTTCAAATATTTTGTATTTTCTGAAATCTATGTATATAATTTTGATTAAAACTTAATGAACATAGTGTTTATTGTTAAGTTACAACTTAAAGAGTTAATAATCACAAAACTGTTAATTTTATTTTCATTAACAGTATTTTTTAAATAATTTTATTTTTATAATGCATAATAAATATTGTTTAGCCAATTATTTGGAGAGGATGATCCAGATCAAGACGTTTCGCCTGATACAGAAGATCCAGAAGCAAAAATTGAGGGTCAAGAGCATACTGAAACTGAATCTGGAAACATCAAAAGAGCGTCAACACGTCAGTGGACCCAGGAAATAAAATATGATCCTGCACAATTATTCAACAAGTTTTTCAAGAATGATATTGAGTATCTGTTGAAAATGGGTAAGGCATTTTCGAGCATTTATTTTTAATTCGAAAAATTACATTTAATAAAATTCTTGAAAGAAATTTAGTTTTCATTTTTTTACAAACAAAATTGTGTATAAATTTGTTATCTTATAATCCCATTTTTCTATATAATTTTCATGGGCCATTAACCACATTTTCTATCACCTACATGAAACTTCTTTAAAATCCTACCACTCTACTCAACAATTAAGTTCAAAGATCTTATGAACTTAATTAAAGTAAATAAAAATGTATAATAAAATAAATTGAATTTCAGAAAACCTTTGGAAAACTCGCAAACCTCCAGTTCCCTTGACCTGGGAACAGGCAGCTTCTCACGAAGGCGATACGGCCGAAGAAGAAAACAACGTTAAATCGCAAGACATGAAAGTTTGGTCGCTGAGCAAATGCACTAAAATTTTTGCTGATACAGTCGGCGTTCTGAAAGAAGAACTCGCCGGAAAAACTTTTCTAGTTTGGGACAAAGACGACAAACCTGCCATGGATTTCGTTACAGCCTGTGCCAATATCAGAGCCCACATTTTTACTATTTCTACAAAGTCTAGATTCGAAATTAAATGTAAGTTGTTATTTGAATTCTTTTAGGAACATAAACAGATACTTTCACTAACTATCTTTGTTTATATTTTTTGTAATAATATTATATTCTTGTATTCATTTTATTTTATTTGTTCATCTACATTTAAACACTTAATCATCAACCTAAATCATCAATCATACTATTGAACATAACATGACCTGACAAAGGCATAGAAAATAATACTGCTACTACTACTACTACTACTACTACTACTACTACTAGCTTTTTAACTCACTATTAACACAGTGTATAAAATTATAAAAAACCATTTCTTGTCAAAAATAATAGGTTCAAATTTATCTTATTTAGTTATAATGTCACCCATATTAATTTTGTTTTAAATTCATTAATTTATGAACATTGAAACTTGAAATTCGCTACCGTCGGGATATTATTGAAGTAGTTTACATGGTTATAAAATCTAGCCAATAAGATTTGAAATTCAAAAGTATGAAAATATATAGAATTCAAACGTTTTCGGTTATTTTTCTTGTAGCGATTGCCGGTAACATTATCCCAGCCATTGCCACTGCCAACGCGATGATAGCCGGTCTAGTAGTCCTTCACGCTTTTCGCGTACTTCTCCAAGACTATCAGAAATGCCCTTCGATCTATCTGCGTCAAAAATCGATTCATTCCAAATTCGTGCTGGCCGCTGATAAACAGATAGAGCAAGCCAATCCTAAATGTTATGTGTGCAGTCCTCAACCATTTGTCAACGTGTTCGTTAATACCCAGACCATGACCGTGAAGGAGTTTGAAACTGAATTGTTGAAAAAGAGTTTGAACATGGTGGCACCAGATGCCATTTTGGGTAAGTTATTTTGTTTCTCTGTCTTTTCAGTTTTGTTTTATTAAAAGATGATTATGTAGTGAACTATACAAGAAGGATTATTAAACAGTGATAAATTATTTCTACTATGTCACTATCGGTGAATATAACTAAAACGATATAAAAATCCTTAAATAAATATATAATAATAACTAGCGGACCCAACAGACGTTGTCCTGTCTTAACTATGAATATTAATTTCGGTTTCATATAATTAACTAAAAATATTTCAGAAACAAAGTGTTTATTATTCTAATGCTTCATGATATACAACATTCTTTGTTTTTTTTTTCTGGACAATAACAAACAACAAAAAAGAATTAGCGAAATCGGTCCAGCGGTTCACGCGTGATGCCGTAACTAAGGGAAATAGGGATTCATTTTTATAAGTATAGAAATTTTCCGCGCAATTTTCTTAACTTTTTCTTTCATAAGAACCTTCTCCTGATAAAAACAAACACAACAAAAAATAAATTAGCGAAATCGGCACAGCCGTTCACGCGTGATGTTGTGACTAAGGGAAATAGGGATTCATTTTTATAAGTATAGAAATTTTCTAATTTTCCGCGCAATTTTCTTAATTTTTTCTTTCATAAGAACCTTCTCCTGATAAAAACAAACAACAAAAAATAAATTAGCGAAATCGGTCCAGCCGTTAACGCGTGATGCCGTAACCAAGGGAAATAGGGATTCATTTTTATATATATATAGAAATGTTCTAATTTTCCACTCAATTTTCCTAATTTTTTCTTTTATAAGAACCTTCTCCTGGTAATAACAAACACAACAAAAAAAGAATTAGCGAAATCGGTCCAGCGATTCACGCGTGATGCCGTGACTAAGGGAAATAGGGATTCATTTTTATAAGTATAGAAATTTTCTAATTTTCCGCGCAATTTTCTTAATTTTTTCTTTCATAAGAACCTTCTCCTGATAAAAACAAACACAACAAAAAAATAATTAGCGAAATAGGTCCAGCTTTAACGCGTGATGCCGTAACCAAGGGAAATAGGGATTCATTTTTATATATATATATAGAATTTTTTTAATTTTCCGCGCAATTTTCTTAATTTTTTCTTTCATAAGAACCCTCTCCTGACAATAACAAACACAACAAAAAAAGAATTGACCTCTGATTTTTCTTCTAGATGGTAAAGGTATGGTCGTGATATCTTCTGAAGAGGGTGAAACTGAAGTAAACAATGATAAAAAACTGAATGAAATCGGCATTGTCGATGGCAGTATTTTAAAGTGTGATGATTTTCTTCAAAACTATGAACTGACGGTGGCTATTAATCATTACGAACCGCAAGAAAAAGATGATCCACTATACAAAGTTGTAGCCAATCCTGATGAATTGAAAGCCAAAGAAAGCATTAATGGTAAGTTTAATTTTATTATAGGTTATAGAAACTGAAGGAACTGATATAATACTTAATCATCTAATTGACCAATCTTGTTCCTAACTTACTATAACTGTCTTGTAGGTGAGAAAAATGGCAGTGAAGAGAAAAAAGAGGAGGAAAGTGATGAAGATGATCTCATGATAGTCAATGAACTTGAAGACCCTCAAGAAGGTTCTTCAAAAAGGAGAAAACTCAATCCGCCTGAAGACAAAGATGCAGAGGATGATGATTTATGTGTTGTCGAATCTTAAATAATAAAATATTAAGTTGATGTTTATTTTTTTTATATTTGTAAGTATATATCATTAATTTCATATTAAATACCTGCATTATTTTGAGAATGTTTTTTGAAATTGTTATACCTATTTCAAGACAGGAAATATAAATGTAAAACATGGAAGCCTGTCTCCATACATGTATGTGTTAAAATATTTTGGTAAATAGGAAGTTTTATTTGAGACAAGTTGTATAGTGGAAAAGACTTGTGATTCTTGTTCATTATTGTGCTGGATAACCAGTCTTTTAATTAGTTTTTTTAACATTTGTAATTGTAATTAACGAACATATCAAACTTAAAGAAAAAACAATTCAAAAAGTGTTCCAATTCGTGTTATTTTTACTGCTTTGTCAATATTGTTTATATTCTTGGATTAGTTTCGTTCTACATTATTTTTACATAGAAAAATAAGAAATTTCAGGAAATTAAAAAATTATAGGTTATTTTCTTTCTTCTATACTTTGGAAATTTTGTGGTATCTTTCTTTAAGCAATTTGGTATTTCTTCTTTTTTAATTTCAATTTGTAATGCCCTTAACCTCTTACAATAACTAGTCTAAAAAATTGGCGGCCAAATCCCTTTGAGAAAAAGGCCACTAATTTTCTAATTGTAAAGAAGAAGACTGACATTTGACAGCTTTTAGACTATTTAAAATTCTACAATTTTTGTTTGTAAATGCAGGTATTTCGTTCAATAAATATGTTTCACATGTATGTAACAATTTCAGATAATCTTGAATATGTAGAAGACATGTTAATGGTTTATATGGTCAATTTTGTTTCATTTTGATAATACATGAACTACAAAACTGTTTATATTAAAGGCTTTTGTTGCCAGTCTAAATTGAAATAATGTTTTTGTTAAATGTTTATTGAGTTTTGTGTATAATTAAACATTACGTTAATTTATTTAAAAAAGTATGTTTGTGTTTATGCAGTGCTGAGAAGATCAAACTTTGGGTTCCCTTTCTTTATGTTGATGTTTATATTAAAATGTACAATTTCTGTGTCATTTATGCTTTTATTATGTATTAAATTGTGTATTTTTCACAAATAAACATCGTTAATAGACTTCTTTGTTTTTATTTCCTAAATTGATTCAAATATCAATTAAAAAAGTGGATAAGAAACAGCGGGTAAAATGTAGAAGCGCCATCTATTAGCTAGTAGATAAAGCTACAATTTCAGTTATCCGCTAATAGGCAACCATGATTACGCACTGGTGTATTCTGTGTTGCCTGCCATCCAAAAAATCATAATTAGGAAAAAATACTTCTACTTGTGAATTATTGTGCTTTCATTTATACAGTCAATATAAAAGACAACAATTTTCCCGCTGTTTTAAAAATATTTTCGACACCTTGTATTCCCGTTATTCTGATGCAAATTAGAGTAAAGAAATCACGAACTATTATGGGGTGAACTTGCTTTCGATCTATAAGTATTTATTTTTATTCACAAAAAAGGTGAAGCCAGCGGATAGTTTACAATGCTCAATTCCGCTGGTCCCTATCTTGAGCCGTTTAGTAGTTATTCACACTCAGAAATACGTCAAATTCCGTTACCCTAAATTATACAATTATTTATGGAACTACATTTTCATGCAAAATACCTTGTCGCGTTTCTGCTATCCTATTAGCAAAATTTTATAGACAAAATTGGATCTTTTCGAATTTGAAACTTTGTATCAGGATAATAGAAAAGCGAGGAGATATCGAAAATTTTTATTTTTGCCACAACTTTTTTAATATTGCCGTTAGAAAAAAACTGAGTGTATTTTTGAGATCTACATGTGACCCTCTATCCCTATGCAAATTTAAATTGTTTTTTATTTTTTCAAAAAAATCGAAAGGGTATAGCCTTCCAAATTTTTTGACAAAAATTTTTTTTGTCTCCGATCTTGTTGAAAATTGGGGTACATATAAAAGAAAGCACGAGCAATTAAGGTGTGAACTCAGTTGCTCCCTAGCTATAAGGGTTAACTTTTTTTTCCTAATTCCCCAGTCAATAATGATCGAATTATTCCATAAATTCACGTAAAGGTAGAGCCGGACGGATAGTTTAAAATGCCCCTTGCCGCTTGCCTCTATCTTGAGCCGTTTAGTAGTTATTCGTATTTAAAAATAAGTCAAATACCTTGTCGCGTTTCTGCTATCCTGGTACGAAAATTTTGTAGACAAAATTGGATCTTTTCGAATTCGGAACTTTGTATTAGGATAATAGAAAAGCGAGGAGATGTCGAAAATTTTAATTTTTGCCACAACTTTTTTAATATTGTTGTTAGAAAAAAACTGAGTGTATTTTTGAGATCTACATGTGACCCTCTATCCGTATGCAAATTTAAATTGTTCTTTATTTTTTCAAAAAAATCGAAAGGGTATAGCCTTCCAAATTTTTTGGCAAAAAAATTTTTTGTCTCCGATGCTGATGAAAATTGGGGTACATATAAAGGAAAGCAAGACCAATTAGGGGGTGAATTCAGTTGCTCCCTATCTATAAGGGTTAACTTTTTTTTCTTAATTCCTCAGTTAATAATAATCGAATTATTCCATAAATTCACATGAAGGTAGAGCCGGACAGATAGTTTAAAATGCCCCTTGCCGCTTGCCTCCATCTTGAGCCGTTTAGTAGTTATTCGCATTTAAAAATAAGTCAAATACCTTATCGCGTTTCTGCTATCCTATTAGCAAAATTTTATAGACAAAATTGGATCTTTTCGAATTTGGAACTTTGCATCAGGATAATAGAAAAGCGAGGAGATATCGAAAATTTTTATTTTTGCCACAACTTTTTTAATATTGCCGTTAGAAAAAAACTGAGTGTATTTTTGAGATCTACATGTGACCCTCTATCCATATGCAAATTTAAATTGTTCTTTATTTCTTCAAAAAAATCGAAAGGGTATAGCCTTCCAAAATTTTTGACAAAAAATTTTTTTGTCTCCGATCTTGATGAAAATTGGGGTACATATAAAGGAAAGCAAGAGCAATTATGGGGTGAACTCAGTTGCTCCCTATCTATAAGGGTTAACTTTTTTTTCTTAATTCCTCAGTTAATAATGATCGAATTATTCCATAAATTCACATAAAGGTAGAGCCGGACGGATAGTTTAAAATGCTCCATGCCGCTTGTCTCTATCTTGCGCCGTTTACTAGTTATTCACATTTAAAAATATGTAAAATTCCGTTACCCTATATTATATGTTTATTTGATTATGTAACTAAATTTTCCTAAATTGCGTTGCCCCAATTTATACGATTATTTGATTATGGAACTAAATTTTCATGCCTCCTTTTAAATACCATGTCGCTTTTCTGCTATCCTGATACTAAAAGTTTATTGACAAAATTGGATCTTTTCGAATTTGGAACTTGATATCAAGATGTGGTATGGGAAATTTTTATTTTCGCTCTGATCTTCATGAATTTTTTTATTCACAAAAAAGCCTTTATAACGGATGTAGGTAAAAAGACACAAGAGTAACTTACACAAAAAATTATATTTATTATAGTAATATTTACAAAGTTAAATTCAAGTACAGTTTCTTTTAAAGACTAAATCTATCATACAAAATGTTTTTTTTTGTATTTGTAATTGTTAAAGTGTTAACTTGACTACTTTATAGACCAGTTAGATAGTATACAAAACACAAAGTAACCAATGTCTGGCTATTTTGATGGTAAATTATATTTCTACTAAAATAGCTAGATCAAATATTAGCAACTATTTGTTAATTGATTATTAATGCCAAAATTGTCTCATGAAATTGATATTAAAATTTTCGCGAGATTTAGAAGCAACCATAATAAAGTTTACGTTGCTAAGCAACAAGAAAGCGCAACTAAGAAAACACGTAACTAAAATTGCGATATCTTTTGTCAGAGGACTATTTCTATCACTTTAGTTAGTTTACAAACTATACAAGATTTATCGTTAAAGGTGGGAAGTACACACATTGGTGTTGGTGATGGTGGGTGAGGTTTTCCGGGTTTTCCTCACCTGTAAGTCAAATGGCACCATCAATCATCTTTAAGTCGCCCCGGAGCGCCACGGCAAATAATAATAATAATAATAATAGCCGTCCCTTTCCCCGCACAAGCTCAGCTTTTGGGGTTAAAATTCACTCGTAAGGGGGTGAATTAGGGAGATTATTATTATTATTACTAATTGGTGTTTTTGACTAGCTTACAATCTATCCACAGTATTTGGATAAGGTGTGAACTTAATATTCGTATAATACATAACAAACTCGTCGGTTAGTACATAAACTGACCAAGTTTCTTCGAATAATAAGTTCACACTTTATCCAAATACTGTGGATAGATTGTAAGCTAGCCAAAAACACCAATTAATGTGTGTACTTTTCTTGTGGTTTGTACTATAACGATAAATCTTGTATAGTTTGTAAACTAGCTGGATAATATACAAACCAACAAATATTTAGAGCTATTTTAGTAAAAATATGTTTTTTCAACAAAATAGCCAGACATTTGGATAGTCTATAAACCAGCCAAGTAACTACTTTAACTGTAACATATCAAAAACAAAAATAATGCCGTGAACTAATAAATTAAAATTGTAAAGGATGTTTCAATAACATTGCAAGATTTGAATTGTCTCCAGACTGGTTGTCATGATGTCAAATGAGTAAGGCATGCCAGAGGTCGATTGCCCCTGAAACAATCACTTTGCACGAATCTTTTCCTGATCGTGTGATATCCTGATTTAGCGACGTGAATTGGCCGCTACGCTCTTGCGATTAGCACCTTTAAACCAGTTAAACTTTTGGCCCTGGGGTTATCTGAACTCACAGGTTTATGTTAACAAGCACGTGACCACCGAAGCACTGAAGGAAAATAAAGGCCAACAAAGCTTTGACGGTCATTTACTAGATGTTGTTGCGTACATAATTCCCATGTCTTATAATACAATAAATATTTAAATCCTTTGTTACAAAAAAACATGTTTCATTGAACCTTCAAATCTTGCACTCTTATTGAAACACCCTTTATAATCAAAGATATTAAAATTAAATATATTTCCATAAGTCTGTAGCTAACTTTAAAAAACTTACAAAACCTATAGCCACAATTGCTCATATATCACGAAGATAATTCTTAATATTTTATGTAACGAGTCGTCAATAATACACGTATCCCATGTGATGTGATCTGGTAAAACAAGAAATTTCAAGAAAATAGCCGTACTTAGATCAGCCTATTTCCGAGCAGGTTATATATACAACGTCATGAACAACACAGATGTAGGTGATGGACAAAAAAGGACAACTCTAGTTCTTCCTGAGAAAATAACGACAAGAAAATGCCAGTGACATTGTTTTAGTATTACTACTAAAGTTACTAATGTTTCTTTTAGCCACATAATAATTGTCACATGGGATACGTGTATTGTTGAAAAATTTAAGATCAAATCGCTGATGTAAAATCAATATTTAGAAATATTTTGAATATAAAAAAATGAACTTAAATCTATAATTACCCCATAACTTTACATTTTCCCCACATTTATAAATATATTATATACACAAACTTTTTTTTTTATTAAATAGATGATTATGTTAAAATATCGTTGATAAAAGATCATAATTTGTAGAAACGTTTTTTTAAATTAACAATTTCATAAAAGTCAGTATTTTAATAGTAAATACAGATTTTTGTTTTTTTTTTTATAAAGTTTAACAAAATAGTTAACAAAAATAAAAACTAGAGAATCGGCAAAATTTCCAATTATTTTACAATTTCTATATCGAGGAAAGTTCTGGATAAAATACTTTACTGTTTTTTTTTATCTGAACTCTGGGTGGTTGAGAAAGTCAAACATCGCTCATTCAGTATATGAAGACTGACATTGTCATAGTTATTCGAAAATGTAACAACAAGAAAAACTTTCAACACTGTAAATGAACGATGTTTTAAAATAACCTGAAAGTATATAAATATAAAATCTCGACTCTTTGAGTCAAATAAAAACATTAAATTATCGAAAAAGAATTAATCTATTTTTACAGCTGCGTAAATTTTTCTAACGAATGCGTACGCCGCGAAGAATCCTATCGTACCTGTCAACAGCCAAAACGTGAATACCATAAGGCCCGTGTAACCGATGTAGAGCAATGTCGGTATGAACTCCGTTATTTCTAGAACGGTCATGAAATAGAAAAGGGAGTAACCTAAGATGTAGAGCGCGCTGCCTCCTGAAACGATGAAGCTGCGCCACCACCAGTGATAGTCCTAAAACAATAAAGCCAATTATATAATCTGTTAAAATAATAATAATAATAATGAACAATATTTAACAAAAAAAAAATCAATATGTGAACAAACCAAGGGCGGATATAGGCTCACCAGAAAACCAAAAGATTTTCCGGTGCACCAGACCTATAAACAATGAAACCCGCTTCCGTGGTTTTTTCTTATTTTATTTTTTAACAATTTGAAGTTTGAAAATAATTGGCGCGACGCCGTTTCATGTGACTTCCAGAGCTGATCCGAGAGTAGGATTCCCAGGCGTCCCGCTTTAGGCATAATTGTCCGTCCCTTAAGCGTCACGCCAAAGTAAGAAAATACCCCGCTTTTTACCCAGTGTCACCCTAACCACAGGGCTAAATGGGCTAAAGCCCTGGAGCGCCCCTCAAGTTATTTCGCGAAATAGTAAAACAAAGTATAAGAAGTCTATTCAGAGTCGGTATTTTTAACGCAAGTCAAAGGACTGTGGCCTAACCACTACCGATTGACTTGACAGTAATCCCTTTCCGACACCACACTACACTCCTCATCTATGTCCCTTTGTCGAGTGTCAAAATCGGTACAATGAGCAATCGTTTGGTAAATTTTGTCCTCACGACATCGACTTCTTGTCGAGATCCTTAGGGTACCCGACTTCTTATATTATAGCATAAGAAGTTAACAGTTTCTGCGTTTTAATTACGAATAAATCTTAAAAATTCAAATAGTACCCACCTACAAAATTTATTTTTATTATAAAATAATTTGAATTTGATAATTAATTTAATTTTGTATTTAATAATTTGATTATAATATAAAATTAAATACTATAATCATGGTTTAAATACTTTTAAAGTATGACAAACATTTTTATTAAACTATTATAATATAATCAATATTCAGAATACCTACCTATTTATTTAAAAATGAACCTCTATAAAATGGGTATTACCTAGGATTCTTGTAGAAGGTAATCTAGAAGGTAATTTGCTGAATTAATTGTTTTTTATTTAAAAAGGTGAATTTAAGGACACTTTTTTATTCTGTTACAATGTGTATTAGTATTATTTCTATCTAAATCATTTTTCAATTATTAAGAGGGGTGCATAATTTCTAGTAGCCCAGGGGCGCCAAATATCTTAGGAAGGCCCTGTTTTTTATCTAAATGCCACGCTTTTTAAATACAGAATTATAAATAAAGGTTTAAAGACCTTTTTTTTGAAGCCCCTCAAAAAAAGGACCAAGGAGAGCTCTCCACTTAGGTTGTTCTTTCTTTTTTCTTTTTTAGATCTCTCCAATAAAAAAGACCTGATTTTATAAAAATACCTGTTTTTTTAAATTGATCCCTTGTCGCAATCCTATCTCGGCCCCTATATACAAGGCCGCCGAGAGCCAGATTGAACAATTTTGTTGTGAAATCTCAAAAAAAAAAATCCTCTCTTGTGCTGAACTTCTAAAAAAAAAATAAAAGACGTCGTGCCGCTGTGCCCTCCTTAAGCCTCTCCCGGGAATTTGTGCCTGCTACTCCCCCCTATCGACGGCCCTGTCTGTATACATCTAATTCCTTTATGTTCAAAATGTGGATAAAAAATGGCGGAGTCCCATCTATTTGTACTGTTGGCACCATCTATAAACAAACTGCCAATAAAAGGAACATAACACAGAAATCTATCATCAACATCTCCTTGTTTGTAGACTCGTCCGCAGATGGCGAAACAAGCATTGTAAAAAATTTATTGGTTTCGCCATTTTATGTCCACATTTTGGATGAAAAACGACTACTCAGAAAAATAAAATGATTTATGGTCATTAAGAGAAGAAAACAGAGTAATACAATGATAAAAACAGAATAAAATCGGCACAGTCGGTTTGAAATGTGACGATTTTCTTTATAACTATGAAATGAGAGTTGCTATTAATCATGAACCCCAAGACAATCCGCTATACAATGTTGCCATCAATTCTGAAGAATTGAAAGCCATAGAAAGTGTTAATGGTGTTTATTTTTAATTGCAGGTTATAGAAACTGATAATACTTAATAAACTAGTTGATAAATCTCGTTTTTAACTTACTATAACTTTTTAACTCTATAGATTTTGATTACCTATTAATTTACGTTTTATTTCTCTTTTGATAAAATGTTTTTCATTCATATGCATTGCAATAGTTTTGTTTTCATTTTTATGTCGAGCTTAATTGACGCTACTTCTAATACAATTTAAAATCAAGCCCCTCTATATCAGCCGGCAAACAAGGACATAAATAGAACTTGATCATATATCGCATTACTTGTTTCAACTGTTAAAAAAATAATAATTATCCTTTGTGTCATATAGAGCACATTATTGTCTTACTTTACATTACATTTTTTTTTTGTTATAAGTTCTAATTACACAGTTGAATCTTCTCATTAAAAAGAAAAATTAAGTTGTAAAAGTTAGTGATAATAATTCAAATAGACTGTATATCCATCAAGTGTTCAAAATTTACAATTAATAAGTTTTTTATTGCAGAAAATGGTTTGTTTTCATTTATACCAATACAATAAGAAGCTCGGGAGCAATTCAAAGGGAATCATTGAACAATTTGTAATTTTATTCTAATTTTTCATAGGTAACAACATGTCATAAACTCTTCATTACTTAGGCTACCTGTCTGAAATACATGTTTCTATCTATATACTTCCAAGAAATTTTAGGTTATATTAGGTTATTTCATTCTTCTAAATTTTCAATATTTTCGTGGCCTTTGTCTTGAAGAAATTTGGTATTCTTCTCTTTTATTTGTTCTTCTTCTCTTTTATTTGTTCTTTGGGTTGGTCTTTACCTTATTCAATAAGTAAAGACTTGGCCAAATTATCGATTAAAAATAGGCCAGTGATTTCACAATGATAAAGATGAAGAGTGACAGGTGACTGATGAAATTTGAATTTAAATTTCTATTTGTTGGGTAAATATTTTATGTACAAAATATTTTCATTTTCCAAAGAAAAATAAAAGGAGAAGGTTTGAATAAATGGTGGGACTAGTTTCCTTATTGGAAATTTAACCGTAAGCGCTTAGCGCGCTGCTATCACTAAATTGAAACCCATTTTACACCCATAAAAAATGTTTTCAAAAATAAGGACAGAGAAATCAATAATTTTACTAATTTAACCCTTTAAATTTCACTTTAATAGAATGTGTGATCAAATACAGGGATAATCGTTAATAAATGTAAGTTAAAGTTGAATTTAAATATTATGAGATGTCCTAGAACACGAGATAGAACCTCATCATAGTTTTATTCATAAAGACCATGATGAAAAAGTTATTGTTCAATTTTTGGGTAATATTCATTATTATATTTATCAAATAATACCCAAATATAGACATATGTTCAAAAACTAATATTATATTTATGCCAACTTGTTAGTTTTTGCATCCTTCATCTATTAAGAGCATAAATCAGATGTTTTCTATTTTTATTGAAATTTTTATACCTTTTATTGCAAGAAAATATGTAAGAATTTAAAAAAGTTATAACTCTGTTAATTTTTAATTTTAAGATACACACTGCATCTTTATTTTTGTTTTGTTTTAGATATTCCTGGGTATGGAGGTTTTTGGAATGTGCAAAAATATCTATCTGAATTGGGGTGTGTTTCAAAGCCCACCTGTACTGAAGCTGAAGGCTTATTGTACCCAAAATATACATTGATTGAAATAGATGGCTAGAGGCAGTAAAGGGGTTAATAAGTATAAGAATATTAGAATTAGAATGACTTTTTATGAAAATATATCCAGTTTTTTTAATAACAAAAACCTTGTCATGTGCTATGCTGGTTATTATATTTTTATTTTTCAATAATTTAGTGTGTTATGTTCAGAATATGCAGTTAGAAGATAATGAGACACATGTAATTACATGGTAATTCTAAATAAATTAGACTTGTTAAAAATGTGTTTTATTTTTACCCAATTTTATTTTTCAGTTAAAACAAGGGACATTTTTCAACATTTACCTACAACAAAAATTTACTAAATTTATTGCTTGTTTAGTAGTTGTAAGTAAAATTTGTCAAATATGTAAATGTTACTTTAAATATTATTTGAGGCTATCAATCAATAAAAATCGAATCGTGCATAGGTAAAACGTCAAAATCGCCTTATAACGTTACAGAAATACCCTTTAATCATTAATGCTTGACATATTGAACTCACCTCTCCACATAACTGGAAATATACCATAACAATGGATATTTGGGAACAGGATATCACAAGGATCACAAACACCAAAAACAAGAATCCAAAAAGGTAGTAGAACTGATTCTTCCAAATGGCAGTGAATATGAAAAACAGCTCTATAAACACAGCTCCGAATGGTAAGATGCCAGCCATTAGAGTACTGAAAAATAAATAATTAATAACAAAATAGTTTCTTAATTAATTTCTAATTATTACCATAGCATTGGATTCATATACCAATGTTGTTCTGGGACCTGTCTCGGTATTTGATTTGTTCGAACTGGATGTTGATATGGTTGCTTCCTATAACCAAAGTAGTATCCGAGGTATACCAAAGGCAAGGATATAAATACCCACATCAACAAAAGACTGATCATCGCAGAGAATGGTACAGCACCGCTGCTAGCCTAAAAGGAAATAACATTTATGCATCAGAGTTATTCAAATGTTATCAAATCTGTTGTCAAAAACGTGATCGCAGGTCGTAAAAAAAATATGGCACATAAGATTTTTGAAATTTAGATTCCGAATTAGACATTCCTTTTTTTTTATTGCCATGCTTTTTAATTCTTTTTAGTGATTACATGCTCTCCCAAAGAACTATTGTCAATAAGTGATTCTCACTTTATACAGTTTAATTACCAATTTTCTTGTGTCCCCCGTATATAATACCCACTCTCACGTGACCTCATGTAGTTGCAAATGTTTGGAGCCTATCTATTTCCCAGACAGCGATACATTTTGAAATTTTAGATTATGGACCCAACACTAGATACATAGCTGCACTACTTGGGTTTGAATTTGTTATGATGAAGCCCCTACTGTAATTTTTGTGATAAAATATGCGTATTTCCTCTAATTTCATAAGATTTTTAATTTTCCAGATATTTTTCTTTAATGGTAATAAGTCAAATTAAATATAAATAAAATATTTGATTACCTTTCCCCAAATAAAGAAGTTCAAAAAGAAACATGTAAGACCAACAACTGCCGGATAAAGAGAGGCAGTCAGAAAAGCTGCCCTTTTCCATTCTCGTCCCTTCATTGTTTTATAAAGTCTAGCAGATAAATATCCAGCAACGGCTCCGTGGATCATGTAAAAGGTGATCGCAGCCGTAGTAAGAGCTCCACGTGAGGCAGGCGATAACATTCCTAACATTGCGAAAACTAAAGCAAACAAAAATATATTAATAACTAAATGAAAGTGGAATAAGTACTTAAGTGGGTAAAAATTGAAAATATTTTATTAAAAATTAGGCTGAGGCGATAAAGCAAAATAAGTTACAAGTTATAACAATCATTAAATGATGTTAAAAATTACTGCTAGGATACCCACACTACATGGGATCATTGACCAAATACAACATTTAATAATAATAATATAGGTCTTTATTTTTTTCTACATCCATAATAACAAAAATACAGTAATTAAACAAGGGTGTAAGAAAAAAAAAAGCCGAAATCAGGTGGATGTGTCATATGTTTCAAAGAAACATAGACACAACTTCTGTTTTTCATCTTAAGCTGTATAAAGAAAAAAAATCCTAATTTCTAAAAACACATGTTAGTAATTGGCAATATAACTTTGAAATTATAAAATTATAACGGGTAGTGGTAATAATAATGTTAATAATAATAATAATAAAACAACAATAATATTATATCCCAGAGAGTAAATTTAATTTCAATGCTTTTTTAAATGATTGGATTGATTTATTTTTTATAGATATTGATAGACTATTATATATTTTAGGCACCTGGTACGTGAAAGAACGTTTAAATATTTCAGTGCGATGTTTGGGTGTAGTTATATCATGTTTGTAGCGAGTGTTCTGTTTGTGTATAGTTGACTGAATGGTAATCTTATTAAAAAGGTACGTCGGTTGTTTTTTCAGTAATATTTGTAACAGATTTATGTTAAAATCTCCGAGACATAAAATGTTATCAAATTCAGGTAATAAATCCCCAACAGTTTCTTCAGAAAGGTTTATAAAGTTATTCAGTGTATAGTCCGGTGGCCTATACGTTACACAGATGCCGATATTCATTTTATTTATGTGTATTTTCATCCACAATTGTTCAATATTATTACTTGAATCTATGACACTAGTGCAAATATATTTTTTTACAAATATACAAACCCCTCCACCTCTATTCAATACTCTGTTTCGACGTACCAGGTTATATCCATCAATATTAATAATATCATCACCAATGTGTGGTTTTAACCATGTTTCTGTGATACAAATAATATCAACATTATGTTGAATTATATACTCTCTGAGATCAATAATTTTAGGAAAAATGGAACAAATGTTAAGATGAGCAATTTTCAAAATTATTAAGACATAAAAGAATAGTAAATTTATGATATATAATATAGGTGTAGTAATGGTAATAAATTGACCCAATTATTTTCAATTTACAATTTTATGAACTAAACCAAAACAGAAAACAAAGCTAAGTACAATGGCAAATTCCCCCACTAAAGATAAAGGAAATAAACATTTATTAATTAATTGAATATGCTTAAATATTTTAAAAATAAATTAATATCTAAATTGTAATAAGAGATTTACCAAATTATTTTCTCAATTATTCACAAATTCGAGTTATTGAGGCCAAAATTGCATATTTTCACATACAAAATTTTGATAAACCAGGTTCAAAAGAAAAAAGTCCTAATAGTAAATTAATAATAAATAAAAAAGTTAAAAAAAAAAACTATTTATTATTTGCTAAAACTGCAGCTTTGGCGTTTCGGGTTTTAGGAATATACTGAATTTTTGAGCGCTTCCTTTTTGAAGTTGTAGTGGAGTCTTTCTATAACTTGCTGCGTAAGAACATGTTGTTGTTCTTTGTCTTCTTCCAGCTCTGAATTTTCTGATGATTCTTCTTCCAATTCTAGAAGTTGTTCTACAGAGAACAATTGGTTATCAACGTCTAACTTTCCTTTTACAATTTTTGCTACGTGATTTTGGTTACGGCAGTCTTCAAATGACGTAGTAAGATTTTTTGCTTCTGATGGTTTAGTTTTGTTGTCTAAATGTCGGATTGAATTGACATCATTAATTGCGAGCGAAATCCCTAGAGTTGAGTTGAGGATATGCAGAACTTCTTCTGATGGATTAATTTATTTTTAACTGGTATTCCAAAAATAACAATTTGAATCATATAATTTAAAATAGGTACAATAAAAGGTATATAGGTTGGTAAAGGCACCAAAACCTCATTAAAACCCTTAATTAAGTAAATTATTACATTTATTGATTAATTATAAAATCGTCTGTATCCTTAAACTTTCTTTGTCTACATCTGTACCCAAATGGCGAATGGCAGGTGACAGCGTACCTATTTGTGAATTTTGAGATGGGTAGTATAAATATTTAAATGTACTTAACAGTTACTGATTTGCTAATGTCCATTTCTAAATATCAATGCAATACTGAAACCACCTGAATCTCTAAAAAAGTTATCTAGCTTTAAACAACGAGTTTTCACCAGACAGTAAATAATATGATTAATAGGGTTCTAACCAGGAATAGGAGGAACCTAGTATTTTCTTAATGCCTGACCATAAGGTATTAAGTTGTTAAGTTAAAAGTTGTAAAATTTTCTATGGTAAATTAAGTTTTTGTCTGCTTATTTTAAAATATTAACTGTTACTTACATATTGTTATCAAAGACATTAAAAATATTTGCATTCCTGAGCCCACTAGCGCTGCGAACAATCTAGAATTTCTAGGAGGTCTGAAAACATCTCCATGAACCAATTTCCAACCAGTTTCCTCTATGGTCTCATCATAGCTTTCATCAGCATTATATTTAGCAATGTCTCTTCTCAAAGTTCTAACCATAATCATGGTCAAAATTCCTGAAAAATAAACATGAATAATTGTTTACAAAAACCTAGCCAGGACACATTTTTTTCTTTTGTTCTCAACTTTTTTTTAACTTTTCTATGGTTTGTTTTCAATTCCAAATGCATATTTTATCTAACAAAACAAAAAACTACTAACCAGACAGGAAAAATATAACAACAATGGAATTGATAATAGAAAACCAATGGATTTGGGCATCTGTCATTGCAAGATAAGTATCCCATCTGGAAGCCCAGCTGACAGTCGATTCCTTCCACTCCACCTCGTATGTAAAGTACAATTTTGTGCCGGCTACAGGATCGACTACCTGCGAACGAGGTTTGCTAGTGAAACGACAAGTGTTTCCTTCAAATTTCATTTCGTCCATGTGAATGGATTTGGCAGTGGCGCGAAAACCGACAACTCTGTATACATTACTGAAAGAAAGAAATAATAAAAATAATGTGTAATAAAACAATCAGTTAACACTAAAAATAGAATTTTTTTTATTGATACAAAATTGACATAAGTCAAAAAATACGTATTGTAAGAAAATGAGATCAAAAATAGCTTAGTATTATTTTATAATTTTCCGTTTTTAGTGAAATATCAGTAATTTTTTTAATGCTTTGTATAAATATTACTTTTCTCTTTGTATATACAGATAAATTAATATTATAAAATCAAATTTATAAGAAAATGTCAGCGTTTTCCGAGTTTTGCTCCTTTTTAAGATTGTGAACATAGTCCTACAACAAATTTTGATTTATAACATCAATAATAACTGTAAAGTGGTGTTTATCATAAACAAAATTGTTAATATTGAACAAAATAAAAATACTATGGAAAAATACAAAAATAAAAATTGTTTTGAAAATAATACAATAATAATAATAAAAATTATAAAAACTGAATTAATATTTTTTAATGCGATTATTTTTAAATAAAATCAACGTCTTTTGTTGTTTTCTTTTATTTTTATTAAACTATTTAAAAGTATTGGTACTCAAAACGGACTTAACTTCATAGAATTTCACATAAAAAGAGTAGTGTTGGTGTAGATGTGAAATTATACTTACCTCAAATTGTAACAACTTAAAAATGAAAAATAAACAAAAGTTGTTTGGAATATTTGTCTATTAAAAACAAAACGCATGGGCAATAAGAGATGCATTAGACAGCTATTGATATTGAAGTAAACTCAGGCCAATGATCTATTTAAATTAAATACAAATCTCAATATAGCATTTTAATGTCAATTTTGAAAACTTAATTATTGTTGTTTATTCATTGAGAGTTTAAATATTAAACACTTTAAAGATGTATTTCAAAAAACACACTGTATAGACTCAATAAAGAATGTTATTAAAAAAGTGTATAGGATAATATACACATATCCAATTTATATAGTTTGACAAATTTAATAAATACCTCAGTAGATCAAAAAAAACCTTCACTATGCATCTTTGTAGATCTCGCAAAAGCATTTGATACAGTTGACCACAACAAACTACTGGAAACATTAGAAAATATTGGATTTAGAGGAATTTCCTACAAATTGTTTAAAAGTTATCTCCAGAATAGAAAACAATCTGTCAGCATCAATGGTACCTTAAGTGATTCTGAAGTTATTACATGTGGCGTTCCTCAGGGAACAGTACTTGGCCCATTATTATTTAATATATACATAAATGATTTATATGAACAACAAATAAAAGGTGAAATTGTCAGTTTTGCAGACGACACTGCAATATTTTACCAAAATAAAAACTGGGAGTCACTCAAAAGTACAGTTGAAGCTGACTTCAAAACCATTGTTAACTTCTTTCACTATAAAGCTCTTACAATAAATTACGAGAAAACATTTTACATACCTTTCACATCATATACTACTTAACAACTTGCCAGAATATAATAATCTTAAAATTTCTGTTAATAGTAAACAATCAATAAAAATACAAGCTGTAAAAAATATTAAATACTTGGGAATATACATCGACTCTCATTTAAAATAGGACATCCAAGTGAATTATGTTATAAGAAAATTACGTTTTATGGTATATAAATTTAAAAATTTGTCAAACTTTTTAAACATTCAGTACCTTAAAATACTGTACTATTCACTTGTAGAATCTCATCTGTACTACGGACTTATTGCATGGGGCTCCGCTGGAATAACGCTCCTGGAAAACCTCCAAAAAATTCAAAAATCTATTTTAAAATATATGTACAAAAAACCTCGTACTTACCCATCAGAATTACTATACCATGATACCCAAATATTTAACATGTATCAACTATATGCCAAAACAATATTATTATATGAATATAAAAATAAAAATAAACAGAAACCTATCATTCACCCGTATAGCACGCGACACAAAACTGATGCAGTTGTTGTGCCTCGCACAGAGAAAAGAATAGGACAAAAATGCTTCACTTACCTAGGGCCTAAATTATATAATGATATTCCTTCTGAATTCAAAAAAATAAATTCCTATAATCTCTTCAAAAATAAAATTAGTCACTGGATTTCACAAATACCCATCATCAAAGTAAAACAATTTTTAAATTCAAATATTGCTTGTTATAGTCTGAAAATCTTTTAAGTCTCTCAAAAAAAAAATGATAGAAATGTTCATAAATTTGCTGAAAACATTATTTCATGTTTTATTTTTTATATTACTTACTATACACTTTATTAATTACTGTCCCATGTTACTTGTTTAAATTAATTTGAAATGAAATATATAATTCAAACTTATAGATAATAATGGAAATGAAAATATTGCCCACGCTCAGGCCTTCCTTTTGTGGGTGTTTTCATCTTTATTTGCTATCTTAAAGTAAACATTGAATAACTACTGTATATTTATATGTGTAATAAAAAGAAAATGTGTTCATCTTATTAAAGTATTTAAATAATGTATTTTAGTAAATAAAAAAATTATTATTATTATTAATGTAAAATTTAAAAGAGAAACAAAATCTTACTAAAAAACATAATAGACATGTGCTTCAGATATAATTACATTTGCCGGTAAAAGAAAGAATGAATTTTAAATCAAAATGGGTGAATAATCATGCAATAAATTAATTATATTACTTGAATCTTAAAGTAAACTGGATAACAAACACTATGAATACTTGTAGAATCAGATAATGACCTACTCCATGTCTCATTTTTTGTTTATGTATTTGTATAATTAATTAGCTTTAAAGTCAGACTATGAATATTGCATATGTATGTACCCCCTTTCCCCCTACATTAACCCATTTATGGCAAAATGTTCATTACTTACGGTTGAGGATTATGATACAACAATGTAAGCTTAAGGTGGTTGTTGATAAAACTTCTATCTCCAACTGTGTTTCCAAGTCTGTAGCCATGTTCTAATTGATTTTCATTCGTTTCTGGGTTAAAATTCTGTGTAGCTGCTGGTAAATTATCCACTAATCTAAAGCAATTAAAAGGTTCTTACTATCAACAGAGAAATATATCAAGTTAGGTATAGAATAATACGATTCAAAAAGCTGAAATTGTAAAATTTAAATCATATTTTTTATTGCAATATAAAAGGATACAAAATGTGGAATTTGTTGTCTTATTAAATTGATTTTATAACAAAGTAACATTATTGCATAATAAAAAATAACACAAACCAAACAGACCATTACCAAAAGTTATTCATTTTTTGTAATAACAAAAACTCCATTAAAACTGTTAATTTGCATGTTTCAATGTCTTAGATAAAAAAGAGATATTTAAATTTTGAAAAAAATGCATATTTAACAGTACTCTATTAAAAACAAACAATAAAAAAAAACCAGTAGTTTAACTGTATATTCACAGGGATTAACTTTATCTTAATTTTGGATTACATTACTGCTTTTTAAAAATATATTAAGTGCTATAATTGCTTAAATTATATCAATATTAGTAATCTATTTTGGTCTCAAGTTGTCTATTATTTAAATTATTATTTTGAAACTATAAAAGCATAATTATTGATGTATAAATGTATGATTTTCCCATTTTAATTTAAAATTATTTAAATACTTCCAATCTTTTGTTAGACATTAAAGAAAAGGGTCATAGTAATGCTTGAAACATTAAATAAATATTTACTTTCCTTTTTTATCTCATATATATTTGGCCTTATGCATAATTATAATTAAAATGTATTAAATGCTACTTACAAATGAACAAAATATTCATGTTGGATCCTATCTACCACTGTCTGAGATTCCCTAACGCTCCAATGAATAGGTTTATCAGGCGAATTGCAAAGTAAACTACAGGGTGTGGGTTCAGCCATTTTTACAATATAGGGAGTATTTACAATCCGATCGCCTCTTAAAACTTCTCCCAAGTTTTCTGATTTATAATGAATAGCCTCAGAGCCCCCTTTTGGCAGACAAAATGGTAGGGAGTAATATTCATAAGGTAGTTGAGTATGTATACTTGTCATTTTTACAGCTTTTACTTCGATTGGGTCACCTTTTTTGAAGTCCGTAGGTGCCATACCAGGAACATAAAATTGGTAGCTTAGTGAAAAACATGTTACTAGTAATAGGATTTCAAAAAGTTTATGGAAATTCTGAAAAAAAAAATGGGATTGAGGTTATGTCACATATAATTTTTCAGTACTTACAAGAGAAATCATGTTTGTTTATAACCCTTAATGTATTTATTAACATGTATTAAATGTTTCTTGTTGCTAAATTTTGTAAAAATTCATTTTATTTAATGACAAATCTACCCGCAGAAATTTTCTTGACAGATTTTAAGAACGTACACATAAACTGTTCTTTTGAATTTAAAAATTTTAGAACTAAACTTTATCTCTTTTCAACTTGTTAAAAATCTGGTTTCTTTGTTTCTTATTCGTAATCACGAATCGCTAAACTAACAGACATTTTATTATGTTCGTTATATTTACTCTGCGCAGCATTCTAACGACTTGTCAAACTGCTGGAACTAGTTATCTGTGGGCATTAATATGGCATTGCTCAAAGTGGTCAGAAAATGTGTTTCAAAACCAATTTTCAGTCTTTGAATATAGTAAAAAAAAATAAATACCTACATTTTTACTCCAAAGCATATTGTTTATTTTGAAAAACATAGATGATCAATCTATATAACTATCTATATCATTGACATCAAATCACCAGGGGTGCTATTTTCAAACTCGAGAGAATTCATTTCTCTCAAGAGAAATGTCATACGTCAACGTAAAACCGTATTTTTAGGGCTCTTAGGGCCAGTGTGAACTCACTGACTGTTTCTCTCGGTTTATTTAGAGAGAATTAAAATCTTCCTAAGAATTTTAATCCTCGATGCCTTTAAAAACAACATTTCCACATTGACGTATGACATTTCTGATGAGAATCTTGAGAGAAATGAGTACTCACACAGTTTGAAAATAGGTCCCCAGACATACAGTTCATTTTCCCTAATCTATGACCTACAGGGTTGCCATATCATATAAACCACAGGCAACCATTTTCTTTGGAATTATTATTTATTACAATTTTTTTGGTAAATCAATGGGATTTCTCTGATCTTCTATCATATTCATTAAAATGAAAAATAAATTAAGGGTTTTTGGTGGTTCGGACAAGGAGTGTTTTTTATGCTGTGATTCGGAGTTAACGCATCAAACAAAACAAAGTCCTTTATTCAAATGTCAAATATTGTCAATGTCAAGAATTAAATTTGTCAGGTTTTTTCAAAATTAAAATGAAATTTGTGTTCGCTTAATTACATCATTTTAAAACAGACATAATTTAGTACGTCCAAGATAGTTTCCAAATAAATATGCAATCTGCTTTTTCTAAGAACGAAGTAATAGGACTTGTGGTGAGGTTAACCTTAGTTTCAGCTGTTGCCTTTTTAAGTATAAAATGGATAATGAATCAAGTTGATCCTACAAATAAAAGTAAAAAGAAGGCTCGACAACGGGCTGAAGAACAACTTAAAAGGTAGGAAGTTCTGGGGTATATATTTATTTTATTTATATAAATTTATTTTACTTGCTTGGGGGAATCACTCATGCTTTTTTTTAACAGATTAACATCTACTGGAAATGCTCCACTGATCATTGAAAAGTTAAATGATTATGAAATGATGATAGCTGCACATCTGGTACATCCACAAGATATTAAGGTTACATGGAGTAGTATAGCAGGACTTGAGAGTCTAATTCAAGAATTAAGAGAAACTGTTATTTTACCAATTCAAAGAAAGGAATTGTTTGCCGATTCTCAACTCACAACTGCACCTAAAGGTAATAATGATTCATAAATATTAAAACAAAATAATCATTTTATTTTTAGGTGTTCTTCTACATGGTCCTCCTGGTTGTGGAAAAACTCTTATAGCAAAAGCAACTGCTAGAGAAGCTGGCACACGTTTCATCAACCTAGATGTCTCTATCCTCACAGATAAGTGGTATGGTGAAAGCCAAAAACTAGCAGCTGCTGTTTTTACTTTAGCTGTTAAAATACAACCATGCATTATTTTCATTGATGAAATAGATTCATTTCTAAGATCACGTACGAGTTCAGATCATGAGGCAACTGCTATGATGAAAGCTCAGTTCATGTCTTTATGGGATGGGCTTATAACAGACTCAAATTGTACTGTCATCATTATGGGGGCCACAAATAGGCCACAAGATTTGGATAAGGCTATATTAAGGAGGATGCCTGCCACTTTCCATGTACCTATGCCAAACACAGCCCAAAGGAGACAAATTGTTGGGTAAGTAAATTGTAGAAATACTAAAATTTTTATTCATGTTTTAATTTGTCTTCAAATATACTTTTTAGCTTTATTTACTGCATTATATCTATTTTCATCTGTAGTTTGTAGTTGTCTTTTGTTCAACTTAACATTTTGACTCATTTTATTTATTAAAAAAAATATATATAATTGATGTTAATATTTCTCTAAAAATAGACCTATCCTCCCTTATTGATGTTATTTATTACTCACTGGCAAATCCTACTTCATTTTAAAATTCAATTTGATGTTATAATAATTGAATTACTATTTTGTTCTCAGATTAATCTTGGAAAATGAACCTGTCGGACCCGACGTAAATATGGAAGCCATAGCTAAATTAACAGAAGGCTTTTCTGGTTCAGATCTTCGCGAACTATGCAGAAATGCTTCCCTATACAGAGTGAGAGACTACCTTCGCAACCACATAGAAGAGAGTGAAGAGGATGAAGTATATCATGATGCTCTTCGTCCCATCTCAATGGAAGACCTCAAATTTTCATTCAACAAAATGCGAGAGGGCAAAGTTCAGTGTGGTTCATTGCAATTACAGACTAGAATAGATCTTGATTAATTAGAAGTGATAGTAAAGTATGCTGTGTATTATTTAAGTCAATACAATAAATTGGAACTGTGTTATTGAAATTTATATAATTTAGTTGATGAAAAAATTTCTCTTATACAGCCCTAGCGAATAATAATTATAAGTAATGGAAAGAGCACCAGTAATGACTGTCAAAAATTTTTGATAGCTACTTATTTGTCAATTGCTATACTTCCACATTTTTAAGAGTTCATTGACATGTAGTAAGTATTCTTCTATGTGGGAACATTAGATAGATTTCACTTGCTTTAAGAATAGGCCTGGCCCATCATCAACTTTTTGACTGGATACCCAAATAACAGAAGGAAATTTCAATGAAAACTATCCACATTAAAAAAAATTAATCCTATTTTCATAAAACTTAATAAAAACTATTAAACACTGAACATCCCTACTTTGGACGATTCAGTGAAAACCTTAAAATATAAACTAATAAGCCCCTTTTTTAAATGACAAATAAGAGAAAAATAATCATTGTGTATAAAAAACCTAAATGATTAAAAACGTTATTCCCAAAAAATCACCCAAAAGAATTTAGAAACAAAAGGTTTAAGAAAAGAAATATAATAACAAATTTCACCTCCAACGACGGTGGGCAGAGCGCTATTGTTGACGGTCTGGGCCTGTCCTTAAAGCAATAGAATTATATTTATTATTATAATAATGTTTCTTTCGAGAGGTAGGTGATGTTTAGAAACAAAATAAAAATGATTGAGAGATAGTATACTTAATACTATAATAAAAGTTACTAGCACTTTTGTGGAGTTATTTTATTTATACCATCATCATTGCAATATTATGTTTTAAATTAGTTTATTTTTACCAGGAACGTTACTGTTAAGTATAAAATTTATAAATCCATTAAAATTACTTTAAAAATTGTCAGGATTTACATTATTTTTTTTTTAATCTTCATAACGTAATATTTGTGGAATGAATGACCGAAGTACAAATATTTTCGCAAATAAATGTTATACAGTGCTGGCAAGATCAAATCTGTAGTTGAAAAGGTATGCCGGTCCAAAAAAATAATTGTTTGACCATGTAGTTGTTATAGCTTTAAAAAAATAAAATAAATATTACTCATTTGACAGATTGGAGGGAAGAGTGGTTCATTTGTATTTTTACATTTAGGAACCCCCTGAATAATGCCTTATTCTTATTTTATAAAATTGTACTTAATTTCAAAATTAGAATCCTTATTGATTTAATTTAATCACTTTTCCTTTCCAACTTGTTATTCTGTTTAAAATTGTGTAAAATCCCAAACATGCTTCGAGTTTCATTATTTCTAATAAAAATATGTTCTTTACAAAATTTGTATGATTTTTGTAACCCATAATTTATTTCAGTAGTCAGGTTTTCAAAACTAGAATATTTAAGAATTCGCAATAGATTCGAAATTTACTCAATCGCTCGGAATATAACCACTTAAGGTCTATAAGCATTCCTTATACACTGTTCAAGGTACTGGAAAAATAATGGCGGTACAAATAAGACTTCACGACTCTCAATATGATAAATTGCCTACAATTTAGTCAGGCTGCAATGCTTAAGGTCTTAGATGAACAAACTTACATATTAGTACTCACAAGTATGCTTAGATCCATATTTGTCATATAGGATTTAGTAGCTCTTCTTTAAATCTGCTTAAATCATACCTAGACCAATGAACAAGGTCGTTGTAGGTAAAAAAAAAAGTTCAAACGGTATTATATTCTCTCGCGGCGTACCTCAAGAATCTATTATGGGTCATCTCTTATTCTTTTTATATACTTCTCAATTTCAGAGATACTTTAAATATATGAAATCATATTTTTAGATGATACACAATTCTATCTTGAATTTAATAGTCATAAGATCCTCAAACTTTTCCATTACAGTCCATTTTAGAGAAATCATGTATATGACAAAAAGTTATAGAGAATAAAATCACAAACAACTCTTGTTTGTACCTAAAATGTACCTAAAAGTAAAACAAGAGTACTATTAAAAGTACTTGCGGTCATATTTTGACAGATAACCCAGCAAAATCGCAATTCTCTATCAATAATTATTTAAAAAACAGATGAGTACAGAAATCATACAGTTGAATCTTACAACTCCAAAGAATCTGAAATTGAATAAGCATTCAATAATATAAATGATCAACTAGAGAACATCAGAATTGTCCACAAAATTCTGTATATCAATTAATATCAGTAAATCAAAATCTATATTATTTGAACGGAAGTTATCTAAGAATCATGTAAAAAAATCTATAAAACAAAATCAGGTATTTTCAATTTTTTTACATATATCAGATCTAACTTTTAATGATTTTGAAAATGGATTCAAAGTCAGCATCAAATTATCTAAAATATTCCACATTTAACCTTCCTTTCATCTCCTATTAAGGCACTTGAATTTGGGACACATTGTACATGACCTGGGCTTGGTGTCCCCCTTCATGAAGGGATATAACCGCCACTGATGTTTTCCCTTAATTGTTTGCTATATTGGTGAACATGTTTCCTTAGCTAAATTTTGGCCAACTTTTTGCATTGAATCGTGAACTGTAAAGTGTGGCTCTGACAAAGATCACAACACAATAATTATTTTAATCTCTTGTTACTTTTCTAACTTCGAACCCGGTGGTAAAGCAGGAATCTTTAGGGAGCCTTAAAGGCGGGATAAAGGGAAGGTCAATCAAAAAAAGAAAATAAACAGATATAAAAATATCGGTACTCTATTTTTTCACGGTTAGCCATAACTACTACTCCTCTTTTAAAATTAGATTTAATAATAAAACTAATCATACAGGTAAAAAGGCATCCCCATCTTGTATTATTATTATTATTATTAAAAGGATCATTCTCAAAAAAAATATGATTTCCGTTTGCGAAATTATTCCGTTTTCAAATTGTTCCCGCATCTTCAACTCAACCTTGTTCAAAAATTGTAACCACTGGAGAAAATCGCTTATCCAGAGATCGAGTTTAAAAAGTAAACATAAAAATAAAAAGTTACATTACTGTAAGGATATATAATTAGACACAGTTTCATCAATAAATTAAAATTGTTTGAACAGTAGTTATGGCTGTTAAGGCTATGAGTTAAAGATGCGGACAATTTTTTATTTTGAACGAAATAATATGCAGTATTTTCTTCAAAACAGCTCAATTTATACAAACGGCAAGATAATTTTAAATTATGTTAGTCTTAATACTGTAAAAAATAAATAAATTTGGTTTTGTACCATTTGAGGAACATGTCGTCTCCTCAAAAGCAGATGAATATTATTATTATTAAATGTAAAAAAAAAATCATTTTTGTATAAAGTGAGACAACTAGCATTAATATAAAGATTACTTATTAAAATACACCATCTAAAGACAGTAAAAGAGGCAAAATTGAAAATAAGAGGATCAGAAATTTAGAGATACAGTCATTGATAGAAATGAAAATCAATTAAGATGGTTTAGACATTCCAAAAGAATGATACCATAAAAGATCCGAAAAATAAATATGAGAACGGGAAAGAAAAGAAAACAGAACATGAAATGGATAGAGAAGAACAAGGCTTTATATAAAAGAACCAAGTTGAGTGTTGTTCATAACCGAAGTTACATAATTGAATTAATAATATAATTTTTATTTTTTTTTAGAATTAAAGACGAAAAAATCTTTAATGCAAATAAAAAAAATTGTTGATGGCGGTCATGAGCAGGTTTTTAAATATTTTAAAGGTGTTACAGCAAAAACAATTATCTCTGTATAATTTGTAAGCTTTAAGAGGTATTATGGATTTGCTTTTGTCTTTTTGGTGGCAGAATAAATGTGCAAGCAACTGTTTTACCATTTAATCACGATTTAAAAAAACATGATAATAAATTTAATTAATACAGGGTGGGCCATCGATAATGCCTTGGTCTGTTTTCAAAACAAAATGTATTAAAAATAATTTCAATTGTGCAGGATTCTCGAAGAAAGTAGTACCTTAAGTTTTTTTTTTTAAATTTTGTATTTGAATTGCCCCCGCTTTTTCATTATAACAATACCAAATGGTATGGGATTATATAGGGTTTTCTACACGCTATAACCAATATTATATAAAAAGTGCATCGGTATAAGAAGTTGACTAATATCGAAAATCTGTAGTATTCAGGTCATTTAAATCAATATGATTTTAATATAAAACTGGTTATAGCATGTGAAATACTATACATACTATTTGGTATGGTTATAAAGGAAAAAAACTTTAATATAGGTATATCTTTTTCCTGGAAAACCCTGTATAGTTTTGAAAATTTGAAATGTTTTAACTGCTTTTGAGGAGACGCAATTTATAGAACATTTTTTGATTTACTGACGTAATTTAAATTTTTAAACAAAAATTTAAAAACCATTCACTCATCTAAATATATTTTTTCCATTTTAGTTGACAAAGCACATATCACCCACCAATGTCACTTGTCATAGCAATAAATTAATAATACGGATCTTTTATTAAGACATTTTTCTAAAAAAAGGTACTATATTTTGAATTATAGAGAAAAACATAAAATAGGAACTTTTTATTATACGACATATGAGCGTCAAATCATTCAAATAAATAAATATTTAGTTCCTTTATTAAAATAAATCACTAAATCAATAATTTTGTACTCTTGAAATGAAAATATCACAAAATTGTCCCTTAAAAAGATAACTATAATAAAGTTATCTTAAAGAAATCATGCATGTACCCCTGCAAGGAGATACTATAAAATTACCCCTAAAATAAAAACAAAATTACTCCTGAATGTAGAAATCAAGAAAATAGTATTCCAATGAAAAATTAACAAGTTAAATATCTCTGAAAATCCAGTGTCATCTATTAAAATCTCAAAAATAATTTGTACTTAAAACGAATGCACCATCTTATTAATTGGCTTTTACAGAATTCAAATATCTCAAACAGTTTCAGAGATATTTTACCCTATTTTACCTTCAATGCAATTATCACAAATTTGCCACTAAAAGATCATTGAATTATCCGTGATTGAAAATAATATACAAAATTGCATCTTCCAGACTATTTTTAAATTATTCTGGTATTCATATCATTTCAAGCAGGTAAAAGTGTTAAATCGTATTTATTTCCATTTTCGGTTATTTTACCAGTGATGTAATTATAAAGGAACGCTGAACAAATGCTCCTAAAACTATGTGAATGGGGAATTCTCCTCAGTTATTTTTTATTTTCAAAAAATATAGAAATTGTGGTTTTAAATTTAAAACGCATTGGAACTGTATCGATGCGTAACAACACTATAATATGATATATGTTCTGGTTAAGCCTTCCACAGATGCTGGCATATATACGTGAGCTAGATGGTGACATATGGGTAATATAAACACTATCCCACATTTTCTATCTCAAATTTAACTATCTAGTAATTATTTTTAAGATTTTTTCAATATTTCTTGTTATTTTTAAATGTTCTTTTACTAGGAGAATCCCACATTGTAGGAACAATCATTCTGGCATTCCTTATCAGTCAATAAAATCATAGAAATGTGTTTAACTTATTATATTTTCAAGCAAAAAACATTTCTAAAATGTAATTAGCATTTTTGTTCTAGGTAGCAAGAATATTATAATAAAATGTTAACTATAGAAGAAATAACTGTTATTGAAGTACGCTATTCTATAAGAAAGTTACGGTCAAACCAGATCGAATATTCGGTTTTTTGTAAACAAATTCCATTAGAGGCCTGCCTCAATGGTGATCAGCTACGAAATCCGTTCATCCGAGTTTTTTTTTTACAAAAAGTCTAATATTCCCCCAATTTTTTTGAAATAACGCGTTTATTTCTTCATAGAACAAAAGTGACAATGAATTACTTTTCATCAAAACTTTATTTTTAATAAACTTCTGTCAAATTTGTTGGCAAACATTATACGAACCTTTCATTAACGTTCCTGCAAATTTATTTTTGTTTCCCTACTTTTTTTTTCCAGCCATACAATCCGTAATAACGATAAAAGACGGGGGAATTACCTTGATCCATCTCGCACTATATAAATAGTACTTAAAATGAAAATATTCTTTCAAATTATTTACAGTACACCTAAAATGTACAATCTAACAAACTTTATACAGATAATTAGTAATTAATGAAGATCATCAACTTTTGTTTGAATCACAGGGTTCGTGTTTGGGCAGCAACGAATTACCTTCACCGCTGTCCCAGTCTTCGTCGTTCGTATAATCGTCGGACGAGTCCGCCGAACTTTCGCTCGGCGTGTCTTGCGCTTGGGAGTTTCGCTCGTAGGACGTGGGACACTCGTCACGAGGAATCCTTTGAAGACGCAATGTAAGCTAAAAAACAAATTGGAAATTAGTAAATTCGGTAAGAGGGTCTCGAGGAGGTAAATCACTTGTACCAAAACGTACAAGTCGTCGAAATTTTCTATACATTTTTACAATTTAGAGAATTTCGATGAAAATTCTTTATGATTTTGTCAAAACGTTATATAACACCTACTATGCAAAACTTATCAATTTAATTGAAGGATATCTGCCAATAGGGATCAACACTAAATATTCGGAAATTATATTCATTTATACAGAGTGATCCAATAGTAAATTAGGCAAATCTTCTATAATATAAAAATGAATCGCAAAATGTGTTGGTAAGCGCATAACTCAACAACGCCTGGACCAATTTTACCAATTATTTTTTTTTAATGTTCGTTGAAGTAAAAGGATGGTTTTTACGGCGAGAAAAATTCGAATAATTTCCGGGAAAACCCTAAAAACAGTCCTTTTCTTTTTCCCGTACAAATCTATATAACTTTTTTTTTACTAAAAAATAGGCTAAAATCTTTCAAGAAGTTGAAAAAAGAAGCCCCTAAAAATTTGAGCTCTTAATATTATCATTTAGTGGTGCCTGTTCTTAACTTTCCATTTTCCATCTAAATTACATGGAAAAAAATGTTCTTTTTTCTTATTTTTGTAGCTTGATATTTGAGCATTGTAAAAATAAAGTAAAAAATAATTTTGGCAGGAAATTGAACGCTCTACAAAAAGTTATAATATATTTTTTTTATGGAGTGAGCCGTTCTGAAGATATTCAAACTTAAAGTTGCAAATGTATGAAATTAGGACTTCAACTATAAGAAATAGTATACAGCTGCAGCGGTACCTAGCAGTTAGTCTTCAATTTTGTAATATTTATTTTGTTTTGAAATATGTATATTTTTTATTTTCATTAAGCGGAGAACTTGTTTTCCTAAGGGAAAAACGAATCCCGGGATTCCTTTCCAGTGTGTGCCCCACTGCCGCTAGTGCCCACGAACCGCCACTGACTATGACAGAGATTTGTTGAACCCTGTATATAATTTCCAATGAATGATCATTATTATTGTACTGTTTTGGGCGAAAAATTTAATTTTCTTGAGGAATATTAAAGAGACTTTGATTTGCTGTTCACTTTTTTTTGATCCATCTGCTGCATTTATTTCAGATCGGCGTCTCCTCGGAAAATATCAATGTAAACCAGAAACCTGCCAGTGTAAAGTCAGATGCAAGTATTTACTGTGGGAGCTACTGTCAAGGAAATAAAAAACACCAAGCTAGATGACACTCTAGTCTCATAATAAATCTGAGAAGGTCGCGGTGGACAAGTAAAAATAATATCAAACTCCTTTCAAATCTAAACTATGTTTCATGAAATTTTTTATTTCAGTTTTTATAGATTTAAAACGAGAAAATTAGAGCTATACTAATCTATTAGAGAATTTATAGTGTCAGTACATTTTTGTTGAATATAATTTAATGGAATAATTACCTTAAAATTGGCATTAAACATTTTGTTCTGCTTATCCTTCTTGTTAACGATATCCAATTCATTCTTCTCGAATGTCAACACATAACAAACGTCCTCGCTGCCACCGTTGCTCTGCAAGAATCCGTTTTCGACTTCGCAAATGAAAAACGTATTGAACCAAAATTGGAACAATTTCTCCTTCCTCATCATGGTTTTGTTGAAAAACTCGACCTTTATGTCGCCGGTGAGCGGCAGACAATAATCCAACTTGATCGAAAACGGCAGATCACTCTTCTTCACCTCGAAAGTATCATTCTTCCGGAGTTTCTGCACTTTAACGCTGAGCGTCGGTCCTTCCTTGCAGATAGTCTGATGCGAAATGGTGAGGGATAAACAACCTTGCCCGCCTGTAAAATTCGGCACTGGGTTAAGTATAAATTCTTTTATGTACATGGAAACCGGTGTGTAATCCAGTCGGTTGCGCAATAGTGTCTCGTAGTACCGCACATAACGCACTTGGCTGGGTATTGTAACGCCCTTCTTGTCCTGAGTCCTGGTCTGCCCGTAGAAATTGAGCGCTTGGTCGGCGGTTTTGAACTTGCGGCTGTGAAGGAGGTAGCAGCATATCATGGTCCCGGTCCTGCCTTTACCTGCCTTGCAGTGGACCACCGCCACGTTTTTCTGGTCCTTCGACAGCCATTCGTTGACGTCGTTGCAAAACGGTTCGATCGAATCGATCTTTGGTGGATTGTGATCGTCGAAGGGAAAAATTTTGACTCTGTTGTGGAATTTTAATTTGTCATAACTTCTTTCTGAGCACAAATTGTAGATGTAGTAATGATCCGGATGCTTTTGATCTAGAAATTTGACTACGTCGTCTATGTGATTCCTGTACACTCCTTCAATCTTAGAGGCTGGGTATCCCATTGCTATTATATTATCAGTAATATCTAAATACGCGCGTTAAGGAAATTATCAAACATAAATGTCCCAAAATTCAAGATATACTGAAATGCACTGCACAATCAAAGAAAACTTATTTTCTTTGTCCCTAAAATATGCTTTGGATCTCAAATATTGTACATTGTAGTTAAATAATTTTCATTATACGTATGAGTCGGGGTCAATGCCTGTTCTGGCTTTGCATCACATCAAAAAATAATATGTGTTAGAAATATGAAGACTTGATATAAGAAGGCGAATTGGCAATGACGAAATTTTAAATTTCTGTCCTTATTTTTATAAAGTTCGGTAAATTGCCTATAGTTGGCAGATCGAACATCACTGACGTTCATTTTCTATATGAGTCAATGTAAAATGAAGTAATTTTTAAAAAATTGATGAAAAGTATCAAAATAATGTGAAAAAAGTACCTAAATACAAGTAACAAGTGACAAAAACATTAAAGCAAGATTTACTTCATTTCACATTGTAAAACAAGATAAAAATCACATGTAAAACTAAAGAAAACACAATAAGAAATCAATTCAATGTCTTTTTAAAGCTTCTAATAATGTATGTATGCCTAAATATAATATTTATTATAAACTAGTCACAACACGTATCACGGAGTGTAGTTTATTTTATTACAAGTTTCTATAAAATAAAATTTTACAATCATAGATCCTGACTTACAAACAACAATAATTATACATTAAATTTAACTTACTAGAAAAGAAAATTTGTTTTTTTATAGTTTTAATGTTAGATAAAGAGTTGCTACCGTTATTTTTTTGTTGAACCCCAATTTTGTCATTGTAAATGTTTTTTATAGAATCCTAAATTCTTAGAACAGTGGCAGCATATATATAGTTCCTAAGACCGATCAGGCACTTTCTAAAGATGATGCTGTTCTACAATTTTTAGAAGGTATTTCCAAATATTATGAGACTCTTTTTACTGATGGTACTGTTAGCAAAATAAAAAGGGGAAAGCCGAAATTAAAGGATGTAAGAAAAAATTTAGACACAAAATTGTACTTACCTAAATTGCATTTTATATAGATAAAATTAAATAATTTATGAATTAAAAGCTGCGAGACTTATTCGAGTACGCCGATTCGCCTCCTTCTCTTTTCATAGTTAGAAAAAGCAATTTGTTGTATATCAATTTTGCTCACTAAGCAAAAACTTTTGAATATAGCACATCAGCCTACCTCAGTAGTACAATATTATTCATTAGGACCTGAGTAATATTTGTTATTTTAATTATGCGCACGTCTTATGGTGTTTTTTTTTTTACTCTTGAAAATTTTCCAAAACATAACTGCGACGTACCTATTGCTATTACCACAAATTTGTAAGAAACATTTTCTACTACGACTTACCAGTTTCATGGAAAATTGAATAAAAAAATTGCCAACTGCCACCATAAACAGTAAAACTTGAAGATGATATTGATGAGTCTGTTCGTCATACAAAAATATATACATGCTACTTAAAAAGATAAAGATAAAATCAAACAATAAATTACAAATTATTAATAAAATGACAGTAGTAAATTGCTTAATCTTCAAAATATTCTTTCAACCTCAATTTTTGAATTAATTTATTTATAAAATATTATTATGTATATTGCAACTAAATATTGTTTAAACCAATAATTATAAATTATTACAAATGGCTATAATTAAGAAAAAGGATACAGGTCAGATCAAGGTTGAAGCCATCCTTCTTGTATCTATTTCTTCTTTTACTAACAAGTCCTTTGATCGGATTTGTTAGATTCATATTAGAAAATGACGTGGCCATTATATCGCCCAGAGTTTCTATGGATTGATCAGTTTTGCTTTCAGAAAAAGCAGTTTCAGATGCTTGTTGCACTAAATATGTTTTAATACCATGTCCTACAAAAGAAACAAAAGTGAAACGAAACCTAAAATTTTAGTGGTTATTTTATAAAAAAAATCTTTAGAAAGTTACCCATTATAAACAAATTTGACATCAAGGAAAGTAAAAAAAATATTCACAGATGGATCGAAAATATCTAAAAAGTTATTTGTCATTTATTAAACATATATTATTAAAAAATAAAACTGATACCAAGAGACTTATAATCATAGCAAAAAGTACAACATTTATGCATTACCATTCATTGTAACATAGTCTTATGTTTGAAACTTTAACATAGTTTGTATTTGTAACATTGCTTATTTTTTTTTTAAGTATATTTTAGCCCAGTTTGGATGACGAATGGTTTGGAACACAAATCAATATTAATACCTTTGTTTAGTTACTTTTATAAAGCACCTTATCCCGTTTACCAAATTTCAAGAACTAATATGATACAAAGAACAATATAATTAATTTTTCTTGCTATGTGTTTTACAAGAACCAAACCCATAACATGTAAAAATTAGCACTAAAATTGAAATCATGCTAGTGATGTGTCAATATGTTTTATTCCACATAAAAATTCCTTGAATTCTGTAATATGAAAATGTTTAATATCCTTAATCATTGTTTAAAATAAGTAATGCATTAATGGACAAAGAATGTGCACAATTTTTGTATCATTATAAATTTTAACATTTTTCATTAGTCCATTAAAGGTATCAAACTATTTGCTGTTTTAGGAAGTTTTAGACAACAAAAGATTTTTAATTATCATTAAAAAAAATAAGAGAAAAATAAAAATGTTGGCATCAGTACAAATAAAACAATGACCTTAGAGCTTTTGAAGAATTCAAGCACATTGAAGCTGTAGTCAAAAGTGTGATTGGCTTTTAAAAACTGAGAGTTTTATTATTAACTTTAATAAATTTTCAATTATCTTGTTTAAAAGCAGCAATTCTTATTACAACCTAAAAGGCTTATAGGAGGATGCAGAAATCATGATGTAACCAGGGCCGCCAAGAGCCATGGTGGGCCCCAAGGCAAAACACTGACAAGCCTACAAACTCTTTAAGAAATAGAATTTATTCATCTTTGAGAATTATACACTATACAAAGACACTAGATACATAATGTAAAATCCTATCAGACTAGTCAAAAAAGGGTTAAGTAAAATACATTAAAAAATAAAATAAAATAAATACAATAGACAATTCATGTTAAAATTAGTTTAAAAGTTCAAAAAATCTTCTATACTATAAAATACATTATTTACAAGAAAATCATTAAGATGTTTTCTTAAATCATTATGACTAATTTGATGATAACCTGTAATATCTTCTAATATGTTACTGAACTTATTGTAACACTTAATCCCAATATATTTTGGTAAATGCTGGCTTATTTGTAGTCCTGAAAAAGGTTGATGGATGTTAAATTTTAATCTAGTATCATATGAGTGTAGGTCTTTATTTTTCTTAAATAAAAGATTATGATCCACCATATCAAATGCCACTGAGTGCTTGATATATAAACTCTAGGCAAGCTGCAATTGCAGTAAATGTTGACTTATTTTTTTCTAAATCCATTTTGAGTATGTGGCAACATATTAAAATTTTCAAGGTAATTAGTGAGTCTAATAAAGTATGCTGACTCAAATATTTTAGTTATTTGACTAGATATACAGATTAAATGATAATTTTCTATATTAGATGCAGATCCCTTATTTTTGTAAACGGGAATTCCTTTAGATTCCTTCATATTTGGGAATAATCGAGAAAAAAAGGATTCAATAATCAAATGTGATATGGGTTCAGCAATACAATGAGCAACCAATAACAGAATTTTACCATTTATTTCGTCAATACCTTCAGTGGGTTTAGAAGTAAGTTTTTTTGATTATAGTGATGATTTCACTAGGAGTTGTTGGAAAAAGAAAAAAACTTTTATGATGTTTATCAATATTCATAGTATAGTTAGGTACAATACTATTTTTATTTTCATTAATAAAATAGTCATTGATATAATTTACTTTTTCTAAGGGTGTTAATTTGTCATCATTTGTAAGTTTAATAGGATGAAATGAGTGTACTTACTAATTAGGTACTAAAAATGTTTGTAAAAAACCATAATTACTTTGTGAATTGCTACAATTTTGACCCTGATCAATTATTGGTATAGCAGCTGAGAAAAATTTATCAAAAAATATTATCTAAGTGGCCTAGGCCTACTTAAAAAAATCTGAAATTGCATTTCTTCATTCTATTATTATATGACTAGCACTGAGTACTCTCTAAAGCTGCCATGCCCCCTCCTGGGCCCTGGACTAGGGGATTTTGCCCATCTCTTTTGTCGGGCCTGAATGTAACAACCAAAAATTATTATTTATTTTTGTATATTATAGTCAGGTACCTAATAGCAAATCAAATAAAGATGTTTCTTTCTTTAAAACAATTTCTGGAATATTTATAACTTTTTTTGTAAAAATAATGCATCCTATCCTTATCAGATAAACAGAATATAGCAAATGGCAACTCTGATAAAATTGTATTTTTTATTAAGTTGGCTTTTCTTTACATGAGTTAAAAACTAAGAGATATCAAAAAGGTATGAAGCTTCTTTACTAGAAAGTTAATTAATAGCTTGACGATAGCACAGGTATTTGTTTTGGATGTTCTCTCCTTAAAATACTTGACAGCCATTTCAGTTTCCAAAACTTGCAATATTTACTAGGTTTACAAACCACTATTCAAGCTAACTCAGTTTCTTTCTAATAGTTGGATGTTATTTAGCAAATATATTTTTATGTGATGACTTAGCTGTGTTTTTCTTATTGTAATCTAACCCCACCTATCTCTATGGAATTATTATATTTATGCATTTCATTCCAAACCAAAGTTATACTATTTTATAGACCTACCACAAAATATGGAATTTGAAACACATAAAAAAACAATTATATCACCTAATTTTGCAAATTACACAACACCCTTGGTTTAACAATCACTATGAGTAATATATTCTAAGTAAATGTGTCAAGAAATAATTAAATATTTAACTATATTGTGAAATAGTATAAAGGGTTTTGTTTTATATAACGTTTAAATAAAAACCATACATATTTAGATAAATTTAATATTTAATTGAATATTCCAAATCATGACTTACCAGTAAACACATTTTACATAGGCTAGACAGTTTTTAACTTGTTTATTTTAAGCAATAAAAAAATAAGTGAAGAACAAAATGATAAATTTAAGCAAACTTAATCAGCAATATTCAACATTCAATTGGGTACTTAAAAAACATTTTAAATTTTTAAATATTTAAATAAAAAGGATAACATCTAACAACCAATCAATACATCATAAACTTGTGAAAAAAACAGTCAATAAGTTAGTTCCAAATTTATTACATTTTGCTATTTCAAGTAATGAAGAAAAATAAAACGATTTTGTTATTAGTAATTAATAAGCTTGTCAATACATTTATTTAAGGGTGTAAAAGAAAGTGGCAAAATTAAAATATGAAAATAAATAGTTGACTTACTAGGCTGCTGTGCATCCTGGGATCTCCTAGTACTAAAACACTGACCCATAAAATACCATCAGCTTCTTTTGATTGATTATATCGGAGATTTATAATTCTTAGTAGTTTGTATACCATTGTGAATTCAAGAACGAAACTTTAAATCTCTCACACTGATTTTCCATAATATGAAATACGAAAAAATGTTCAAGTATCTTCATAATGTTTACATGAGGTAGAAGAAAGAACTTTAATTCACAGATTTATAAGTACCTCGGCGACAAATAACAGTTATAATTTTATGTTATAATAAATAAATTGTTAATCTAATTATCTTGAGCACATTAATATTTTGGAAAAAACACATTTTTGGGAAAAATTAGAGAAAGAGAAAATTAAATGAACTGACTGAACTGTCAATTTCCCCTTCTACTTGTGTGTGTTAAATCTTTTGTGAAGAAGGAGTTCTCATTTTCAACAGATGTTTGATTCTATCCAATTGATAGCAGTGATTGTCACTCTATCCTTTACTAACTAGTGTCTATTGAAAAAAGAAAATATAACAAAGTCAATAACGCGTTCAGATATTTTCAAGCGAAAATTGATTTTTTTTTTATTTTGCGGTTTCAGTTTGATTTATTTATTATTATATGCGTTTGTGCGGTTGATGTTAATATATTTTTTTTACTTATATCAGACTTGTTCTGGTTATATTCTGGTTTCTTTAAAATGTAGGAATGTACTGCAAACTGTCCGAAATCCAGTGAAACTGTTGAATACAACTTATGCGTCTCGTGAAACTTTTTAACTTTCCACTGGTCATCTAGTCATCTAGTACTCAGACAGTATACTCTAACATATTTCTGAAGAACCAGAATATACCTAGTAATAAAAATCTAAAAAAGTATAATTAAATTAAATTCGGAACGCAATTACAGAATACAAAGATACAGAAAATAAACCTATCTCATTTCTACTTATAAATTATGTAATTTTATCTCTTTCTTATCTGTTCTGTTTACTCGATTGTGATTTGTTCAGTTCGTGTTTTGTTGCTTGTGGCTCCACCTACCTTTACCAAGTGTTCATTAACAATGGCGGTGAGTAAAAATTTGTAGCTAAAATTTTTCTTTAATCATCTATCCAAAAGCTTAAATTTTTGAAGAAAATTGTAACAAAAACCTTACCTTTCATTAATACACTTAATTTAGTATTAATATTTTTTCTTTATGTTTTATTTTCGAAATATTAGCATTACCTAACCTAGAACTTATGTTTTGAAATATTTCAGAATAAATGTAATTTTATAACTAAAATATAAGATTTATTTGTTTTAGCCCGTAGCGAAGCCAAAGGATGCTAAAGATAAAAGAGATGTTAAAGATAAAACCAAAAACCACATGAGGGAATTGCATATCCGAAAACTATGCCTAAACATTTGTGTTGGAGAATCTGGTGACAGACTTACTCGTGCCGCTAAGGTAATGCCTATTTTCTATTAAAAATCATGCTTATATCTACAATATTTTTTATTTTAGGTATTGGAACAGCTCACAGGCCAACAACCAGTATTCTCAAAAGCCAGATACACTGTCAGGTCTTTTGGAATTCGTAGAAATGAAAAAATAGCTGTACATTGCACAGTCAGAGGTGCCAAGGCTGAAGAAATCTTGGAAAGGGGTTTAAAAGTTAGAGAATATGAATTGAGAAGAGATAACTTCTCAGGTAGGTTTAACCCATTTTTTAATGAAATTGTAAAGCAATTGTGTAATTTTTTACTAATTATTGATTTCTAATAACTATATTTTAATATTATTTAAATTAAGTCCATATTTCTCTAAAAGTTAAATCTATAGTGCTGCCAAAACCAGGAAGTTATTTTTTAAAGATATCTAATGATTAACTCGCATCTGCTTGTTTGATCAATTGTTTTCTAGTATTTTATTAAATTGTTTCAATCTATAACATGAATTCTTAATCAAATCACTTTTATTTTTGGCCAAATTATATTAAAAAACTGTTGTTTTGTTTTAGCATCTGGTAATTTTGGATTTGGTATCCAAGAACACATTGATCTTGGTATCAAATATGACCCTAGTATAGGTATTTATGGTCTTGACTTCTATGTTGTATTGGGACGACCTGGATTCAATGTAGCCCACAGGAGAGCAAAGAGGGGAAAAGTTGGATTTTCTCACAGGTTGACTAAAGAAGATGCCATGAAGTGGTTCCAACAGAAATATGATGGTATAATTTTAGCAAGTAAAGCCAAAAAATAAGATGTTTAATGTTAACATCATTAATAAAAATATTTTGACAAACTTTGCTTTTTATTTAATTAAATTGGTTTAAACTTTTTTGGGCTATTTACAGAAAATAAACATTTCCCATGTGATGAAAATGAGAAGGTAAGAAGGAAAACTGACAAAAAAAATTAAAATATAAAATGTTTTTATTCCAAATTCTTTCATAATGTTCTAAAGAAATAAGATTTTTAAAAACTGATTTAAGTTTGATTTATTTAGATAAATATTCCTCAAATTACATTACAAAAGCACTTAAATAGAAACTTAAAACTAAAATAATCAAATTATAATGTTGGTGTTCTTCTGTACCAAAATCTTGCTCTAAAATCGTCTGAGCAAGTCAAAAATGCAGCCTGAGTTGGTGAATGAGCTATCAACCTAACAGCTCCATTGTGTCCCAAAGACATCAGTTGTTTTCTGGAAGCATTCCTGGAGTTCCAAGCACAAAGAGAAGTTGTAGCTTCATCTGGAAACAGTACATAATCTTCTGTGTGATTAAAGACAGCTTGAGCTTCATATTCTTGTTTACCAGTGGTACCAGCACCTAAAATAATTTAAAATGAGTCATTTGAAACATCACATAGGTCATAAATGTTTTTAAAAAAACTCACCTGTATATGCAATTAAACACCTGCTAGTTGTTAACTCCCACAACTTACAGATTGAATTCTTCCCAGCTGTTAACAGATATTTACCATTCTTTGAAAATTCCACTGAGCAAACTTCCAAACCATCATGTGCCTTGATAATAGTATTTATGCATCTATTAGATACAGCATCCCAAATCTTAACGTTTCCATCTTTGCTACAAGAAGCAAAGAGTTTGGCATCTCTGGACCATTTCAAGTTTGTGACGGTGCCTGTGTGCTGGTGTCTGGGAAATGAGCAGACAAAGCAGTGTAATGTAGTCATGTCATATAGACGAATGACTGGGTGATTTGTAGCTACAATCATGTGGTCGCCCAAAGGGTGAAAGGAAATAGCTCGTACTGGTTCAGATTCCTGAATTAAACATTGAATTATTTATTTTTATTCAACAACATACAGGGAAATCTCCATTACAATACAACAATTTTAATGATTAAATCTTTAAAAACAAGCATTAACACTTAAGTCAGTTAAATAAGAGGTTATAAGTAATAGATAATTTATAAAATATCAATAGAAATATTTAAAATATCAAGAGCATATTTCTTGAAGTTATTAAAATACATGCCAAGAATATTCAAATTCAATGAATTTGCACTTATTTGCATTCTTGTTAGAACACTAAATAGCCATAATTAGTTCTGTGAAATAGAATTAAGAATAAATCATTTTGAGGGGTATATCTTACTGGTAATCTGAATAAAATTACTTTATGCAAAATAATTAATCTGTTCTACCCCTTAAGACATTCTAAATATTCAAGATCCATTAAGTTTAATATGACAATTACAAGCATAGTTGCCAAATACTAAATGCATAACATAAAATGGATTACTCTTATGATAAAATAATGTACCATCAAAGTACCTTTGCAGATAACTGATTTGGGAATAAATTATTTTAATATAAACCTGATAGAACATCATTTTTATTTTAATTAAAGATTCAAACTCCTTCCTGAATATCTAGATTAAAATTTATTATGCATTAATTTCATAAATTAATCTCTATTCTGGAAATAATTACATAGATATTAAGAGCCAATTATAACACATATTTTAGATTAATCCAGGATTACCTTTTGTTTACTCTGAAAATCCAAATATACCTATACTTAAATGCCTATAACCTTCCTAAGAATTGGAAATTAATCAGATTTGAACATTTTAGTAGCCTGTTTATTGTATTATGTAGTGTCACAGTAGAAAAAAAATTGTTATTATAGATAATAAAGAGATACTAATAGAGGAAATAGTAACATTTACAATGTATGGGAGGTATTACAATAGATGAAATATACATAAATACTTACAGTAATAGTTTTGAAAGCCTTTTTAACACTAGCCTTTGAAATGTCAAACAACTTTATAGACATATCCTTGCTACCAGAACATAAAAAGGGCTCTCTTGGATGAAATTCCAAGCATGTAACCTCTTCCATATGGTCATAGAGTGTTCTAATAACTGGATGTCCCTGTTGTTCCCCTCTTGATGGATCCATTTCATCAGGTGCTGATTTCGCCAACATTCTATCTACATCCAGAATTTTAATACTAGCATCCACACTCCCAGTAGCAATAAGCTGACCATCTGTTGAGAAACATCCTGCTCTACAATTTCCTTTGTGTGAAGTAACATATGCGGTCTCATATAGAGCAGGCTCTGGAGCTGGGACATTCGATTCAGTTTCAAACTCCAAATCTGAAAAATTCCCAAAATTACTCATCCGATTCTACTTTATTCATTTTAATAGACACATTTACCTAATCCTGGGCCGATATTGTTGCTTCCAAAACCAATAGTTTTTGGTCTATCTTTAAAACCAGGTTCATGTTCTAGACCTGTTACAATTAAATGATATAATCTATCGCTTGGTGCATTATTTGGTTCTGCTTGCACAGCTTGTATAAGTGTCGTAGCAATATTTTGATGCCCATCATATAATAGCTGGCTGAAATTATTAAATAATTATAATTGGAACAAAAGTAAGGTTAGAATAAATACCTTATGATAAGCTTATACATGAAATCTCTGCTTTTAAAAACATTTGTCGTGTCTGGAATCTCTTCGCCAACAGAACCATTAGATGTATTTAATGCTGTAGTGTTAGTCATTTCGGTAATTTTCTTTTTTAATTCAGAAATCTAAACTGAATCGCGAATTACAATTTACAGAAAGCAATCGGCAAACGTAAACAAATATTTTAATGTATAATTGGTTGCATACATACTTCTAACAATCTGTCAAATTGCTAGTTTTTTAGCTATGCAACTCAAAATGCAGTATTATAGTAAAACAAATTGCCTACTTTTTGAAAATATTTTAATTTTTCTAAACATAACCTCGTAAATTTACTTAATTATTTTTATCTAAACTTTTGAAATTAGCTTGAGATTATTATTTTGCGTATCATTTAGTTTTGAGATGATTTAACACGTTGTAGTAACTAATTAGCTAAGTATAATCTGTTATATATTTTACATTCCATTATGTACTTATATTTTAAAATACCTTTTGTACTTATTTTAAGTACAATCCCATATTATGTTAGTTCTAATTGCGGGTGTAGTACAAATAGAAATAGTCAGTGCAAAGATGATTTAGATCCAAGTCACAAATACTTAAAAGAATCAAACGAAATTCCAGACAATAATGATAATGAATTGCTTAATACGTCCGATATGGTTCTAATAGAAGGAACAACTTTTGAAATGGGTACAAACAAACCCGTTTTCGAATCAGACAACGAAGGCCCTCTTCGAAACGTTACGTTAAAATCCTTTTACCTAGATAAATATGAAATTTCTAATCAAAAATTTTACGATTTTGTGAAGAAAACAGGGTATACCACTGAGGCTGAAATTTTTGGCGATAGTTTCCTCTTTGAAATGTGCCTTCCAAAAGAAGATAGAAAGAAGTATCAAGATATTAGGGCTGCGCAGGCACCCTGGTGGGTTAAGATGAAAGGTGTTTCTTGGAAACATCCAGAGGGACCCGATTCTACCATAGAAGGCAAGTTTCTATAGAAGTCCTTTATTTAGCATTCAATAGTAAAATATCATCTGGTAAATATTGCAATATAAAATTATCAATAAGTGCTATAGTTAATGCTTAAAATTAATAGGTGAATGAGCACTTTTTTCACATGTACTGGTAGCTTATTAAGTTTATAAACATTAAACAAATACAGTTTTTTCACTGCTATGAGGGTTTGTAGAATATTAAAGTTTTAGTCTTATTAGGTATACACACAATACTCACACTCCTTATAAATTAAATTGACTACATTGTGTAGGGGGTAAACAATATAAAAAGAAAAAAGTACCTATACTTAATCATAAATAGAATTCCCTCACAGCCTTGAAAATATTACTAACAAATGCTTGATTTGAATATACTGGAAATTAAATATACCAAATGTAAATTAAACCAAAATTATCTCTTAAAGTTTAATCATTAAAAAAATAATATAATTTATAATTAAAAAAAATCCAGTTTTTGTAATTTGTAATGTTGTCATTCTAGATTTAATGAATCATCCAGTGATACATGTTTCTTGGAATGATGCTGTAAAGTATTGTGAACATGAAGGAAAAAGATTGCCAACTGAAGCAGAATGGGAAATGGCTTGCCGTGCTGGTCTCAAACAAAAATTATATCCCTGGGGCAATAAACTAACTCCTAAAGGCCAACATTGGTAAAGCAATATTTTACATAAACAAGAACACTTATTCTGTATTATTTCAATAGTAATTAATAGTATCTGACCATGTTTTTCTTATAGTAATTGCTGCCCTTTGTTTATAGGGCTAATATTTGGCAAGGTGAATTTCCTGATACCAATACTGGTGAAGACGGGTTTATATTTACAAGTCCTATTGATTCATTTCCACCAAATAAATTTGGGCTGCACAATATGGCTGGAAATGTTTGGGAATGGACACAGGATAACTGGCAAAATGATCCTGTAAGTTATTTTTAAAAATGAGTGTTATTTAGAAGAGTGCATTAAAAATTATACTGTATGTTCTTGTATCATAGATAATTCTATAGAATAGTAAATATTCTCTTAGTATTCTATTATTTCTGTAAATGAAAACGAATAATCTTCAGTATTGATGTTTGTTAGGGTACAGCAGAAGAAAAAACAAATATAAACCAAATGCATATGATATATTTACACCAGAAATGTAACAAAAATATATATACATATATCTAATCACATTTCAACATTTTAGGACACAAAAGTGAAGAAAGGTGGTTCGTTTTTATGCCACGAATCGTATTGTTGGCGATATCGTTGCGCGGCTCGATCATCTAATACCAAAGACAGTTCCGCTTCCAATTTAGGATTTCGTTGTGCAGCTGATAAGATATAAATTTGCTTAAGGTTCTTGCCTGTTGAAACCAAAATTTACGCCTATTTGATAAAAGTATTACAAATATATTGTGTGTGACGTTTTTTCAAAACATAGCCCAGTCAAAAGTTTTATTAAAGGGATCTTTAGATTTTTAGCCAGTTAAAATTGCCGACTGAGCCATGTTTATAAAAATATGATAGTGAAAATCAATATTCGTCATTAAATACTAAAATTTGCACTATAAATCAACAGTATATAACATCATAATGTGGCTGTTATTATTGACAAAAACTGTAAACATAATAATTATGATAAAATGTAAAGAAAAAACTAGATATTTAGACAATAACCTAAGCTTCAAATTATCAAATTCTGGCAGTATACCATTAAGTACTTACATGCTCCTGCCAAAGAGTCTTCCAAGTGTTTATATTTTTAAACCGTATTGTACAATATAGTATCTTAATAAAAAAACTATTTTTTACTTTGTTTCTTTCTATTAAACCCTAAACCAGTGATTAAGTTGGAATGTAACTACATATTTCAATACTTAATGCTAAACAAATGTACTTTAAATATCTCAACAGTTCATAATAATATGTATTAATTCTCACTTTTATTTTCAACGCCATCCATTGCACAGCCTTTTTCTATTTTGCAGTATTTTTTTACGACAAAGAATACCAATTATTTCATATTTTATAATGCAGGCAGAAATTTCAATTTTTTTTTTCATGTTTTTCGTTGTGTGATATTCTTTGTCTAAATTTAGAACAAAAATAAAATTGTTTTAAGCAACATGGGACATATAAAATACGAATAAAAAAAAGTTATATCTGAAATGGAATTGTTAAATAATTAAAAAAAAAAAAACATGTTTAATGACATTACTTATAAATAATTGATTGAGATAATTCAGAACCGATGTTTCTTATCATAATATACAATATTAAACATTTAAAAAGTATTATTTTGTTTCCTAATATTTTGGAAAGCGAAATGTATAATTTATTAGAACTTTATATTTTTACATCAAAAGTGGGACATTTATCTAGTAATAAACTAATTTAAATATACATTAAAAGGTATTTGAGAGCATCTCATATTCCTTTGTGCTCTCGTTAAATGATGAGACAATAAAACTACAGATTTCTAATTTACATGTATTATTTTCAAAATGTTTATAAAACTGGACAGCAAACTGAATTTTAATTTCTATCCAATGACTAGGCTAATCGGAAAAGCATTTCAAAACCATTTGAAATATTATCCTAAAAAATCTTAACAGGAATATTTAAAGATAATGTTATGCTTATATTCAGGCTAGAAATGTTCTTAAGGGCAACATTAAAATGTCTAACAACAATAAAAAGATCAATAAACAAAATTTAGACACAAAAAGAATATTTTGTAATAGCAGTGAACATTAAAAAAGCTCTGTAAAATTATACATTTCCTATAAACACTAACCCATTTTGCGAATTCCATATTTTAATTTCGACAATCTAAACACAATAACCTCAGTTTATGCTTAACCTAAACGAATTCTCTGCCTTAATGCTAGCTATTATTTTTTGAGCAAAAACTTGAGCACTGTCTCTCAAAAATCTAGGTACTGGAACATACTTGTAAATGAGATAACCCCCAAAGGCTAGTAAGGAGACTTTGTAAGTCTGTTTAATAACTTTAGAAGTCATGGATGGAGGGGGAATCTCTATGATAGCTTTGACGTATTTTCCTTGTTCTTCAGGCCAAAGTTTTGTGATACCGGGAACATGACCTATACCAACTACTCCGACAATGCAGATAGGCTCTGCATGACCTAAAATATGATTCATGAATAGTACTTTGAAATCTAGGTATCAATATCCATAAATTGAAACTAACCTTCAAGAGCTTGCTTGGACTTTGCTTCAGCAGCTGATTGCAAAGAGCTCGTCAAGAAAATATCCCTTTCATCAAGAAAAACTTCTCTGAAAGCTGGATATTCTCCTGATAAATCAGCTAAGAGCTGTTCCAGCATGTCTCTTTCTTTACATTTTTCAATTTCTTCAACACTAAAAAGATAAATTATATTTTCTTCTTTCTTTGATAAGTATTTTTGGTTTACTTTTGGAACAAGTGGCTTTATTTAACTATTATTTATAATAAAGGGAAACTATTAGAAATATTGTAAAAGATACTATATAAATAATTAATAAATTATTTTAACTTTTCTTGTAGATGCCAATATACACACAACCAAACTTATAATGCAATTACCCAGTATTTTACAGAAACATCTTTTTTTTTTTAAACATATTCACTATTAAAAAATTATACCATTATTTCACTTTATTTGTCAAATTTTTACAATAAAATATATTGAAATAAACTATAATATTATTATTCTGATATCCAATTGCATTTTTATCATGAACAAATATTTTTATTAAAATAATTTTGTAGGTATTTTTTTTGTTCTGCCCTTTTTTAGGGTACTGAAAATATCTGAAAGGATGTGTCCACTAAAGACAAGAATAATACAGACAAATTGAATGTACAATAATTATTCTATAGTGCACAGAATTTCACATCCCACTGATAAGGTAGTTCAGTGTTTGAAGGAATAAAAAGAATTACATGTAAAAATTGGTTTATAATGAAACTAAATAATGCAATGTTCTGGATTATAATTTATGAAGTTTAAGCAGCCTTAAAATAGTAGAATAATCTTGATCAATTCTATAGTTTAATAAATTTATTATAAAAAAATCAGTGAAATCTCTGTGAAGCCCTTCCTAACATTTCTAATGCTATGTAGTTAGGGATAACAAGTTATTCTGATAAATTTTCTAGAAAATTGTGTATTTAAAGGTTAAAAATCCTATTGAAATCAATTAATTTTATTCAAATGTACAATCTACTTATTTTTGTAGTACTTTTGAAGTGATTACTGAAATTTCTTCAGAGGTATTAAAAAATAATAAAGCATCTACAGTTGAACCTCGATTATCCATGCAGCATTTTAAAATGATCACCCATGAGTAGATTATCTGTGGCTGACGTCCACAGCTTGGTAGATGAATACAGGTTACTTATGGATGGCCACTTAACAGGTGATGGGCTTACATTTAATTTTGATACTAAAAAAAGTATTAATTACAATAAAATTTACCTTTTTTTGCCACACTTCGCTGCTCCTACATCTTGGCTTCCACTCCTACTCTGCTATCTAGTTTTTTCCTTCATTAATGCAAAATTAATTTTATCTTGTATCTTTTTTTATTTGTTGTTATCTCCTTTAGATTCACATTCAATATAAAAATACAAAAACCTTTCTTTTCTTTACAAATCTAGATGACTAACCCTTCAAAATTTTTTAAACCCCATTTAGCATTTTATGACCCATCAAACGTTGAATAATCAATTTTGATAACAAAAAATACTTCAATAAATTATTTTTGAATCAGATATGTCAATATATAATTATTTTTGTATCATTCAATGTACACACTTTGTTTCTTTGACATAAGTATTTGTCTAAATAAATTATAAAAAAATTAAAAATAAGGTTTTTGGGTTATATATGTTTTTGATTAACCAGCAAAGGCTCTGTCTGAGATAATCAAGGTTCTACTGTATAAATAAAAATACCGGTTCCAAAAATCTCACCTTACAGGATCTCTTGATGTAAGCAAGTGCCATGCCAATTTAACAGTTTGAAACCAACTCAATCTAGCCAAAGCCCTTTGGAGTGTAATATTGATTGGACGATCTCCTAAATGAATTCGACAATGAGGGATTTTTTGAGCCTAAGAGAAAACACTACATGTCTCAGCAATATTTAAAAAAAAAAGAACATAGACCACCACAAAATTTAAAAACAAAAAATATAAATAACCTCTTTATAAGCAACTCTAAATTCCCCTCCTGGGGCCATTCCAATTTCTTTTGTCAAATGGGCACTCATATTCAGCAAAAGTAGATACATTAAACCATTGTAAGTCCCATTTGTTCTAATTGTGGATATAATCTTCTGTAAATCGATATTCTTTGCTTCTTGCAATACAGTTTCTTCATCAAGAGATAATATATTTGTTCTTGAACTACACAATTCTAAGACTACTACATGTGGAAGAACAACTTTTATGACCTAAAAGTTGTTGAAACTATAAGTATTACATATATTTTTCATTCAGTAGTAAAAATACATCAAATCTTTATCCCTACATATTTCAAACATAAAGATTTATTTAATTTTAATGCTTTCAAGTGAAGTATTTTTTTAGGTCTTACCTTTTCAACGTCTGCTTGTGATTCTTTACTAAAATGTGCTGTACCGATAAGATAAACTTTGGCACCAGTCTTTTCATGTCTTAAAAGGGTAACAGTTTTAGGTAGATTTTTATCAAAGTCTGTATCCGGCTCAGATTTATTGCTACCAGAAGAATCGCCATCTCCGTAACCCAATATTTCGATGGGATCACTTTTATCTGAACCTGAACCGTTTTCTGAATCAGGATCTATCTTAACAGTACTTTCTGTGAGTTCTAAAAAGCATCAGGTGTTTTTTCAAAATGTTAACAATATGGTAAACCGCTATAGAACATGTAAGCAGGTAGTTGGAATTCTTACCAAAATTTGTTAAAGAACTATCCATATCTTCCTTTTTTTAATAGTAACTATTGTATCAACGTAACAACTAAAACAACAAAAAATAAAATAAATTTTATTCCAATCTAAAAATTTCAGACTGACATTGACAGATGTCAAATGGCAGGTGATACCGAAAAGAGTGTTCTTTTGAACTTCAAAGTGTGCTTCAAGTGTATGGAAATGAGTTTTCATTGGATGAAAGTACACAATTTATATTCTTGATTCTAACTAAAATCACTGCTAGAACGCAATTCTGTATTGACATTGACAATTAAAAGGAGTTTGTGATTTTTTTGTCATTTTGTATGTTTTTCTGGAGCCGCAATTTTCATCAGTGCTATTAACACCTAACACTTAAAAATGGTTCGAGGAATTGTAAGTACTCATAGCATCTTTTTTTCTTTTTAATAAAAGCATGTTTCTGTTGCAGTTTTCGTTTCTTATTGGAATTTATGCAGGAATATACCTAAGTCAAAATTATGATGTAAGTGTATCAATATAGATTAAACATTGAGTATTGTATTATTAAAAATTTGTTCTAGGTCCCAAGAGTAGATGATCCAACAGCTTTATACCAAAAAATTAAGGACTTTGCAGATAAACACAAGAAATAATATCATCCTTCTGTAATACATTTTATTAATTTTAAGACCTACTCCTATTATAAATAAAGTTTACATTTAACTTAACATAATTTAACACCTCCTCCTAAATATTCGAGCCGAATGGGGGGCTCTACAAATGCTAGCCAATCACTGGCATATGTAGGTAACAGTCCCATACTGTGACATTTATACAAAGCTAGCCCTATATTTACAAAATTACCCAAAACATATACAATCATTTGCAGAATGGCACTAGATGTATCCATCATCTTAAATGTGGCTTTTGTGGACCAAATGGCCTGTAAAGGTCTCATTAGTAACATTCCTACCATCATAATAGGAAATATAGATATTGAATTGCCTGCCATATACATTATAAAAAGATTCATTGGAACCTGTTTCATAGGGGCCAAAGCCAGATCCCAGGACTTCTTTGTTATAAGGCGAGACACATCAGTTTTTTTTGATACTTCACTGTTAGATCCAATAGTTGAAGAACTATAACCTGGTGGTGCTGGTAAAGGTTCCGTAGAAACTCGACTTATTCTAAAAAAGAAAAATGTCTCTTGGTTTGTTTGTTGCACCAAATTTGTAGATTACAGAAAACTAACCTGACAGAATCCAAACTCCATTTACTTCTACGATTTTGTGATTTGTTCGCCATGTTTAACTATGACGTGTAAATGTGGTCCCGGTCGATGGCCTGATTAACTTATCGTAATGAATAAATAATAAATTAGGAATAAAACTGAGAAATGATAATGAATAATAAAAATTCCGAACCACAACTCCTAAACTTTAAGACTGACAGGCATAAGTCACAAGCAGTGTTGCCAGTTGTAAATTTGCTCGAACAGTAGATGAGTAGGGAAAGTGGGGGAAAAAGCACTGAACTAGTTGTGGAAAAAAAGTTGTCAATCGAAAATGAATAATAAATTTGAATACAGAGGGAAATAATTATAATTTGTAGAGTAACAAATAAAAAAAAAAACAAGTAATTATATAAAAAACGAAAAATAAACATTTTTGGCTTTTATACCAAAATTAGAAATTAAAGGTGCGTTTAGGGCCGATTCCACCGTTGCGTTAAACGAAGTCTAAATTACTAAACGAAGATTAAAATGACATTTTTACATTAACAATGCCTTTCTAGTTTTAAGCATAATTTAATGTCAAATGTAACGTTCGAATATATGTAAGCTGAATTTTGATAATTCAAGTTCCAGGGAAGGTATTTTTGTGAGGATTTTGAAAAATGAATGTCGTTTTTGGATTAGTTGTCTTTTTAGTCTAAATAAAACGATTTATATGTATTAAAATGTATTAATTAAATTTTCCTAGTTCAATTTTTTTCTGTATCATTTTCACAGAGTGATATACAAGGGTATCTAACAATCCCGCTACTGTGTAAATTCCGCCAATAATAGCACAAAGGTTCGTAATAAAATGTCCAAAAGATCTTTCTTTTTCTGAATATTTTACCATTAACGGAGAAAGTTCGTATTGGAAGAATATTCCGGGCATTCCAGATTCACCAGTAATCATAGACACAACTTTTTGATGTTTTGTTACTGAGTATTGATTAGAACTTATAATAGTGCCATCTTTCCGAACATATGCTGTAGGAACTATTTTTATGTAGTACTGGAACATTGTAGAACCTGAAAACAAAATTCTGTTAAATTGGTCTTCGCTAAAAACTGCCTAAATACTGAATAATAAAATTGACAATTGACAGTACTAAAGACAATTGACGTTGGAAGTTTTAAATGGTTCTTTTTATCACATGAATTAAAAGTCTAATTTATCACTAAAATTAGCAAAATATCTATTTAGGGTTTTTACCACTAAGAACAATTAACTATAATTTATAAGATTAGAGCTATTTTCTCAAAATTTTATATAAAAAATGCCTGTACCTGGTGGAGTTTATCAGCAACAAGGTGGCCCTTCATGTGTGGACAGAATGAAAATGGGATTTTTTCTAGGATTTTGTGTTGGAATGGCTAGCGGGGCCTTATTCGGGGGATTTTCTGCTCTTAGGTAAATACCAGGTACTTAAATGTCTAGTTTGAGTCACTTACAAAGTTTTAAAAATAGATCAACAAACTAATAAAAGCTGCTTTAAGGGAACAGTGGAGTGAATTGGGGGTGCCAAGTTTTGATAAATAGGTACTATAGGTCTGTTCCAATACATGAAAAAACCATAATATTAGGATACAACTCATAGTTAGATAAAAAACAATGTTTCTTAGATAATATCCAATTTTTATTGTCATAATGTTTTACATCAAACACTAAATCAAGTCCCGGTCAGTAACTAGTAATCAATTATCCCAAATAGGTCAATAACTAAACCTGAAGTTTTAAATATTTAAATCTTAAAATTTTTAACTTAGGATCAAAAAAACAATATTTTTATAAAATCCTAAAAATACAAGCCTTTCAAATATTTTTTGAATTCACTTAAATTAGATACATCCAAATTCATTTATAGTAATTCTTTATTAAAACAAAGACTGGAGCTTTTCCCTTTGGTATTTTTAATTTATTAAATTATGTAGATCACCATTATGGAGACATATTTCCCAAATGTAGTAACTTCTTACATTGGATATATGAGCGAGTGTATAAGTGTATTAACTAGTTATTTTTTGGATATAATCTGGGCATACAGTAGTTAGTACAAGAGTCAAAAACTTTTGTCTAAGATGTTGAAAAACTACAAGGACTCAAATTACATATTTACAATAAAAAATTTCACAAATATTCAGTACATTTAATTTTGATTTCAGGGGTGGCCTTCGAGGGAAAGAATTAGTAAATACAGTAGGAAAAGTGATGCTTCAAGGTGGAGGATCGTTTGGTACATTTTTAGCCATTGGTTCTGGCTTGAGGTGTTGAAATAGTTAGTGGCAGTTTGCAGTAAATTTTGTCATAGACTCAAAAAGAATGCATTGTGATTATTTAATTCTTATAAAATAAATTTTTAGTGACAAGTTATTAAGTTTAACATATTTAATTAACCACATCCAATTGGTAATCAGTAGGTATCACTTCAGATCAATACCCTCTAAAGTATAATTTACTCCTTAATACAGTTTCAAAACATTCAATTATCTTCATATCACATAAGAACAATTTAATTTTCAAACATGGTAAAAGTTATATAACTGCCTTCCTGGTTCTAATGCCTGTGTGAGACTTAAAGTCAGGTACAGCAGGTACATGAGGACACTAGGATGTCTCTCTTCCCCTCAAAATGCACATGTACCATTTTATCACCTGAAAAAAATAAAAAATACCCTCCCTGCCAAATTTTAACTTTTCTAACTGCTAGAGCTTTTTGCTCTACAGTTGTGTCTCAGGGGGGTTGTTTTTGTTATTGCTAACTTTGATATACTAATCAATAAGATTAACCCATGCATCCATCCTAATATTACCATCTCGCAGATTTTATCCTGGTTATTTAAGCTAGAATTAATTAATTAGCCCCAAAAAGCAATTAAATGAGGTAGATTAAGAACCAGTGGTCTAATTTATATCAACCTATTAAGTAAGCCCTTTACCAACTATATTTTCGAAATATTCAGTCATTAAACTGATCTTTTGCACCATCAAAGTTTAGGTCAGTAAATTTTCTTTCATATAACTTTCTCATATTTCATTGGAAACTAAGTTTTATTATATAACAGGAATAAACCTATAAATCAATAAATAAAGCAATATATTTACCTTCCTTGGCATGGACAGCTAGATCTTTTAGAGGATTGTGGGTGTGACTTTCTATTCTATCACCAAATGATAAATGTCTAATTCTATGGGAAGTATTAAAATCATTCGAAGAGAACGGTTGAACATCATGAACATGTAAATGACTAACACTAAAACTTTCTCCTGGAGCTACGTGAAAACTCCCACTAAAATATTTAACAAAGTTTCATGAATAAAAAATGAAGTACAAACAGAAACAAGTATGTTTTGTAATATGAGTGTTACTATTACCTTACTCTATTGACTATTAGGCTTCCATAAATTTGGCAACCCTGTGTAAAAGCAGTTTTTAATTTGTCACTATATTTTTCATCTTTGCATTGTTCTATATTTTCTATATTATCTAGAGCCCATTTTCGTTCTCGATAGGCCTCTTTTACTTCTTCACAAGTGTTGCAACATCTATCAGCTGCACCATAGCAGCTACCACATTCTGTTTTATTTCCAGATTGCTGTAAAATTAAGGAAAAAATATATACTTTGTTATTGATTTGTTAAAAACATAATATTTTGCAAGAAATATTATTTAATACTTTCAGTGTTTAATTGCATGGTTACATACATGATGGTTAATTTTAACCACAAGGGATAGGAAGTTGCAATAAACAAAATATAAACACCCAAAAATTCTTTTTGATTCAAAAAATGCAGTTATATCTCCATTCTATAGTTTGTATAGTTGCTGGGGTTCTGCTTATGACAGCAGTATAACAAACAAAAATTGATATATAAATGTTAAAAGATAAACTAGACAGTATAAAAAAAGTACTATGAATAAAATTGCTTTTCATTATTTCTTTGTAAAGAATATTTTTCCCTTTTTATCTTTATTTGTTCTTATTAACTGCATATAGAGGTACAATATATGTAAATAAAGTCAGTGAAATTCTACAAGGGTTTTTTTTGACATATCCTACATCACTGTATAGTGATCAAAAAGGACTAATACATTTTTTTATTATCATTAATTTGATTCAATATGTAAATAGAAAATATGTATATTTAAAAATCGGTAGCATAAAATTACCAAATGCTGATAAAGTAACAAATTGATAGTATTGCTGGCCTTGAAGTTTCTTTTTTATGGGTTGGTTTACTATTTTTACAGTACTGAAATAGAATAATTATGTTTTTATAGATAAAAGTACAATCGACTATAAAAATATTGTAGTTAAATAATCAATTTCATTATATCTATTGGTAATATTTTATATAATGATTGTACATTTATTCAAAAGTACCTACTGTTTGTTGTATTGAATGATATTATACAGTTTAAAATATATTAGTGTTTACATTAGTCACAGCACCAGCATTTATGGATTTTTTAAAAACAAAATATTTGATTTCTTTTTTTCAAACATAGACACTGTTACAGAACTTACTGTCGTGTTTTTCGCAATTGTAATATTAACTTTATTAGGGTCTGCTATAGGCTTTCCATCTAAATCTAATCTTCTCTTATATATATTGTGATCCATTTCTAAATGTTGCTCTCCTGAAGAGTCCATCGCATCCAACGCTAAAACTATAGAAACATTTGCAAACAAAATTGAATTGTGATATTAATACTTACAATCACATGAAATGTGTGGAACAATAAAGTCTAAATTTATTTGGATATTAGGACTTCTAGAAGTATCCACAAACAATTCTTCAGTAACGTCTGGCGTCATATAATTTAAAAATTCTGACCAGAATAATAAGCTCATTATAATTACACTAATAATTGTAACTGAAAGAAATAAATTATAAATAAATCGATTAAATATTCTGAAATTTAATACTTGCTCCTCCACCATATGTTTGTATTTTAACATCTTCGAGGGTTTTTGGGTAGGCATCAAATTTTCTTAACTTTTTAAAAACATCCCACATTTTTGTTGATATGTTGATGCCAATTTTAAATCTAGTGACGTTGAATATTGTTAGAAATGTCAAAAAAATTAATGGTTAATAAGATCTTCTTAAAAGCCTTGATGGCCTCGATCTTAACAATATTTAGGTGACAATCATGTTTCAGTTGGTTGGCCGGTAGAAAATGGCGAAGGTCTTGTGTTAGTAAGGTAGCAAAAGGACTTTTTTTAAAATAAATTATTTTTAACTTGTTAACTCATAATTTGCTAAAAATGAGCAGTTAGAAGCATTTGAATTTATCAGTTTTCGCCATGAAAACGGAAAGCAACGTGGTAACGTTGATAGGATGTTTGCCAAAAAGAATTTATGAATCAATTTTTTGTGAATTGTCGCTTCGAGAATTTATTTTTTTATTTTATTTTACGTCTTGGTAACTTTACAATCCATCAATTAATATAGAATTAACTTAAATCATTCATAATTCGAAATTACTTAAAATCTCTCCCAATTTAAAATAATTTACATATATAACAAATGTATAGAAAGCGATTATTAAATAAAAATTTACCCTAAGAAAATTTAAAAAGAAATCATTATACGATACATTTTGAACTTGTTTTGGTGTTTTGGTCTAAAAATTGTCTGAGGCCGACTCTGTATCACAGAACCGCGCGAAACGCGAGTATATTGATTTCTCAAAGCGTCGCGATGGTCCAAATGGAGAAGTCGCAATTTCGAAAAAACTAATCAGATTTAAACACGAAAAAAACAATAAAAAAAAGTTATTGAAATTCAAAAATGAAAAAATGTGCTACTGTTTAATAGTGAACAAGAATAATAAATAACGAAAATGAGTAATCAAAATCAAAAAATGGGCTCCATAGTGCTAAAATCGTTATCGATTTTGTTAGGACTGTTTTTTATTTTTGTGGGGTTTATAAAAATATCTAGTGTCCTATCTAAGGATTTACATAAAGATTTGGTAAGTGTTTCAAAAATGTTATTTAATAATTGGATTGATACAAGTATGTATTTTGCAAAATTTGGCTTGATGCCTGCCTAGGCTTGTTCGAAAATATTTTTAAATGTAAGGAGATATTAAATTATTGTGTAGGTACGCGACAGTGGCGTGTCTATGTAAAATTGTAAAAATATAGATTTCCTAGGGTAAATTTGACCTACAATTGTCCATAGCAGATTAAGAATAACTTTCGAAATTGGTTTATTTAATAAATTGACAATAGGTTTCGGCGTACAAAGCCTTCATCAGATCTAGGGTAGAAAATTTGACTAATTAAATGAATATACATTAGATACATTTTGATTATGAGTAACTTAATTATTGACTATTGCATATTTGTTCTTTTTCTAAAAAACAATTAACTGTTTTTAGTACCTGCTTTTCCTTTTATCATTCATTTTTTAAAAAATATTCTAGTTTAAATTTAAATTTTTATTTTTAATATCTATTTTAATTTATATACAGAAGTTTATATTTTCTAATTGAATGTTTTTTTGATTTTCCTTGACCTAGAGTCTAGTTTACACAGGAAGTCCCAGACTGAAACCACTACCCCTTGTATACATTTGAAAAATAAAAAAACTTTGTAGTACTGATTTTGAGTATTTTTATTTTCGTTTATGAAAATGGCCACATTCGATCAGTTGAATACTGAATACCCTCTAGCTAGAATGTATATTTGAAAACTGACTTTTAGTTCTGAGAACGCTATTCGCATATTTTTATCAGATTGTACCGTTTTAGTTCTTTTCCATCCCCATCTATGTTTCGATAGATGTATCTTAGATTCATTTGGAGTTTTTTCTTTCTTTTAGTTTGATTAAATGTCATTCAAAATGCAGCATATTAAAAAGGCCATAAACTCTCTAGAATTTTTCGTTTAATTTTTCTGTTAGAATAAAATGAAGGTTAGTGTCTCGCCACTGTCTACAGACACAATTTTTTCATCATGTATTATGATTGTAAAATGTACATTTTGTGCCAACAACAGCTGTTATTTATTTTAACTATTTCTTATTTGTACATCTAACGATTTACTTTGTTTTTTGGTTTAATAAAAGTGAGCAATTTACTTCGCCAATTAAAGTATATTTTAACTATACAAAACTTAAAATGTTTTTATGGTTGCTTTGCTTTGATCTGTATTTAAAAAATGTAGCGGTGTTACAGTTATATTTTTTCTATAAATGCTTAACTAATTTGGTTATGTTTTAAGAGTCCGTAGGAGTCTTTGATTTTTCTGGTTTTTCGAAAATAAATTTTAAATAAAATGTACATAGTATGAAAGATTAGATCTCCCCTCGTGTAGCAAGGAAAAATGAATATTACTACACTAAGCAAAATACATTTACTGCAAATTTATCGCAAGATTGCAAATATAAATGCAAGTTTTCTTGCAAGTTTGTTAAATATTAATTAAAAACTTTCGGCAAGCTTGAATCTGCCTCACTCAAAACTTAAAAAAATAAACTTAATATACCATACTTTATGGAAACTCGTTCATGTTGCGGGACCTCGCTCTGTTCGTTCCGAAAATATTCACTCGTTACATAAAATAAAACATTAATTCATTACATTAGTTATTTATTGTTAGTCCACAAATTAATAAAAATCCGAATTAATACTTTTTCTTCTTTTCAGAGGAAGGAGTATGTAAAATACGCCAAAGTTTTTCCATTATCAGAAATGTTAGATTTTAAAATTCCCTCAAAATGGTACAGAAGAACTGTTGGAGGTTTGGAAATTCTTTGTGGTACCGCCATGGCCTTTTGGCCAAATCGTAAGTAAATTTTAAATTTAATTATATTATAGTAATTATTAATAATTGATATAATTCCTAAAGGTATAGAAATTAAAAAAAATCTGATCACCATAATTTCATTAATACTACACTGCGTCTTTATTGAATTTACTATTTATACTGCTCAACAATAATTGAAGTGGTTATGTCAAGAAATTCTTCCAGTGGCGGCTCGTGGGCACTAGCGGCAGTGGGGCACACACTGGAAAGGAATCCCGGGATTCGTTTTTCTCTTAGGAAAACAAGTTCTCCGCTTAATGAAAATTAAATATATTTCAAAACAAATTAAATATTACAAAACTGAAGACTAACTGCTAGGTACCGCTGCAGTTGTATACTATTTCTTATAGTTGAAGTCCATTTTTCTGGATTTTTGGCTAGTGAAATAATCGATGACCAGATTATTAAAATTCGATGGATAACATGGCTAACGCGCACAATCTATCTTGGCACATATAGTGTTCCTTAAAAATGTTTTAATACGTTTTAGTGTCGAAAAACATCTTTCACTCTCCACTGTGGTCATGGGACTTGTACACAGGATAGTTAGCAGCTCCATTTCGAAAATGTAATTGTCAAATTGTTCTCAAAAAACATTTGTAATAACGGCACGGCTCCATTGTGTAAAGTATGGACAGTTCGTTTTTGAATTTTATGCTGTTTACGTTTGGAAATAAACTACACATAGTTTTAACGTCCTCATTTGGAAAACAACCTCGGTAGTCTTTAAATTTTTCACTATCAAATAAACTTGCAATTGTTAGGTGTGTAGTAAAACTAAAACGTTCATTTACCTGCACTACTATGGTATCACAAATTTCCTTACATATCCTTAAATTAGGAATGGGGTCCTCCTTTTCAACAAACCGTCTCTTCTTGCTTGTACTTGGACCTGATTTGGTGTCTATATTATTTCTAATATTTTAAATAGCTGCTGCAAAATTTGATATGTTTATCTTAATCTTGAGTGCATCGAGCTGTCTAGTCTGCAGTTGATCAAAAAGTATATCGCAATTTGGCATTATTTTGCTGAAGAAAAATAACCAGAAACTAAAATCTGTCTTTCAAAATTTATCAACCCTTTAGTGTGATTAATAGTTTTTTTTATCGAATTCTGTGTTCATAATTTCTTCGAGACATTTAATCAAATCCTCTTTATAAACATAAATAGTATTGACACACTTTGATGAAAAATTCCATCGTGTAGGAGCATTTTAAAGCATACGACTCTGAAGAATTTAAAATCTTCCAGCGAAAAATTTCTCTTTTATGTTTTCAAATTAGAAAAAATATTTATATCTTTATTTGATAGTTTATCAACTAAGCTTGGAATTTCCAACGCATACCTTTTTGAGATGAGCAAAATAGAATTTGGTCATCCTTGCCAACAATTTGCGAAAATGTACACCATTAATTAAAATTTTGTCCCATTTATATATATATATATATATATATATATATATATATATATATATATATATATATATATATATATATATATATATATATATATATATATATATATATATATATATATATATATATATATATATATATTATTGATTTTTTTCATCATATTTTTGACTGATTTATAAAAAAAGTTATTTTTTTCTGTAGTTTTATTTCTTAACTTTTCCAATGGTCCAACTAACGTTTTTTCGTAATCGCAATAAATAAATTATTATCGTGGTCCAACAAACGCACACCTTAAGCCGAAACCGGCATCGCCTTTGTGAGGGAGCCGGTAAAGATGCCGCTGCGTACATTCGTATCTGGTCTAGGTAATCTGTATCATGGGTACAGCACATCACGTTGAGGACAGTGCCCCGCATGTGACGTATAATCCATCGCATGTGTTCATCTCTTGCTATTCGATATTGTCGTTGTCCTTGTTTTTCGCATCATAATGAGAGATAAAACAACAGAAGCACACATTTACTGTGCCCTGTGCCCACTTAATTTCGGAATTCTCGGAATGTAACTCAACGCCCGGTCGTCCAGTGTCGTACCAACGCGATTCGCGCTGAATATTAGATAAAATAATAACAGGCATTGAGAAAAATATAAAATATGTAAGTTATTTTTTTTATTGGTTTATTATACTGAGCACGTGCCCAAGTGCCTTTTCGGGCAAACCGCCACTGGTAAATACTTATTTCAAATAAAAAACTGCAAGAAAATGTAATCAAAGTTTATTTATTAATGTTATGATGTCGCCAAAGAAACAAAACGTAACTAATCTTCAATGGAAAACATAGACAATTTTAAATTTATATAGAAAAATATTAACAACTTTTCAAAAAGTTATTTTTTTAAGAAATTCAAAACTTTGCGTTACAAAAAACCACCCCTGGCAAAGAAAATTGGTTTAATGTTTTGGGAAGCTGTACTAGCAAAGTGCATATTGTCAGAACACAAAAACTAAAATCAGTGTAGCCAAAAGATAATCCAGTTAAGGGAGTAATTTTATTGTATTGACAGCATACCCATAGCGGTATCTAGACTTTCTAATAGCTATGGAAACAATACATGGCAAATTTTTAATGTTATTGTTATTAGGAGAGATATATTGCAAATTTCTGTAACGTCAGCCACTACTCCTCCTCTTAAATGAAAATGATGGAGATTTATAAAAAAAGTTTAATTGTTGAGCAGTGTAGCATATGTATGCAATAAACAGACATTTTTTTCAAGTAAGTAAAGGACGTACGCAACGTAGTGGATGAGTTAAATTTATATCAAAATAACACGAAATTAAATCAGCTTTTATTTGTAGAATTGGTGAGACGGTGTTTATTTTTGGTTAGTTATTGCAAAATTTTTGACCGCAACCTACATTTTGTCAATGTTAGGAGTCTAAAAATACTACAACACTACAAGGGACACTGTATATACAATTAGTTCTAGATGAGTGCTTCTCATTGCAAATATTTTTTGAAAATACGAGACTTTTAGATATATTCGATTATTTAATTTGTTTCATTATGTATATTTGAAATTTTTTCCTAGCAACATTATGTATTTTATACCAAGCTCTTCGCGTTTTTGTGTATTTTGTTGAACTGGCTGTTGAATATATGTTTTTTTTTCCACATGTTTGCTTCAGCTACCTATATGTTTTGTTTTCATTATCTATTAGAGTTCTTTATGTGTTTATTTTCTATTAATATTTGATGTCCTATTTTTATTATTAATATATTGCCGATGGGGTTGCGGAGGCAATAAAACTTAACATGAAAAAAAAATCCTTTAATGGTGTAGATGCAGATCCAATAGTCTATTGATTAAAGTAATATGAACATGAAAATAAGTGAGACAAGCTATATAACTCATTAGTAGGTTTATTTTATGTCTAATTATTTATTTGTGATTCAAATATCGTTTAATTAATTATTAATGATATATAACAGTTGTAAAATATTAATAATTAGTGTTAGTGTAGTCATAAAATCATTTAATTGCTTGTAAAGGTAATACTTTATTTTATTTGAAAAATCCGTGTTTTAATATATCTAATAAATGCGCACTTCATTTTAGGGGTTTCTGCAGAGTGAATCTTAGTGGATACACCAGTGGCGTATACAAGTAGTGGTAATGGGGGTCATTACCCCTAAATTTGTGTTAGGTTCGGATTCACATAAATAAAAAGATAGAACCTTTAACACATTCATAAATTACCCCTATCACGCTTAAACTCTGGATACGTCACTGGGGTACACTGTATGTACAATTTGATTGTTGAATATTAATTGACAAGTACAAATCAGTCTTTTAATGTGGATACTTTTATCTAAACTCTAAGTTAATCTCACAACTTTATTTATATACTTTCACCTAAGCTGTTTTTGAATGTAATATTTATTTACAAAATTTCAATATTTTCTCTTCATGCTAATCGTTGTTATCATTAATCGATTTACGTACATTACCAGTATTTATATACTTTGCTCAAAATTATTATAGTAAGAGTAAAGTTTATTTGAAATTCATCAAAAGCGCGGATAACAAACACTAAAAATATAATTGATTTAAAGCACGCCTATTTAAATTCATTTACATTACAAGTTATTTATAACAGTAGCTATGCGTCTTAAGTTTCAAAAATATTCTTGATGGACAAGTAAAACAACTTTTTATGATTAATTGTATTATCATTTTAAATTAAATGTGGTCACTTTTGATAAGACAATGAAAATTCATTATTATAATGTTATACAATAGTGATGACATAAAAACTGAGCTAAACAAAGTTGTTTACTGACTAAACTTCTGAAACTTCTTCAAATCTATATTTTAAGCCAAACAAAACTGTAGAAAATATATTATTTACGAGCCCCTATGTATTATTTTAATTTTTTATTTAGTAGTTTATGAATGTCACTTGGATAATAATTTTGAATGTTCATGTCAATTACAATTTGTAATATATTTCAAGTTTAATCGTAGTTAAACTTAGTATTTCCCATGGATTCATTATTTTACAAAAACATTGGATTATGAAAACTAGTCTTCATATTCTAGTTCACTGTCAATATTAGATGCCATCGCGATTCCAAAGTCGTTTAGGACTCCTCCTTCCTGACTATATATATTCTAAGGATGAAACTTTGTCAATGTGTCAAACTGTCAAAGTGTCAAAAATTTAAACCTGACAGACTACAGGTCAGGAGTGGAGCCGGGATTAATTATTTTTTATTTATATCATAAATTTCATTTATGGTTCTTACACCTTATTTTTTAATTTTTGTTTTGTTTATTTACTAAGTTTATATAATGCAGGTTTTTTGACAACTGTTTTTGAGTTACTGATCCGCGCTACATTAATTGATAAACTGGGGAATTTGTCTGACTAGAGTCTGCAGTTATGTTTTAATATTTCATCTGTCTTTTCTAGATAAAATTAAAAACCTATCCAACATGGTACTGCTCGTTCTCACCTTGATGGCAGTATATTCCCACTACATGGTGGCCGACAAGCTAGAAAGGACAGCACCGGCTTTGGTTTTCCTCTTCATGCTCAGCGGAAGGCTCGTGGTCTATTTCCAACTTCAGAAGAGAGAAGAAGAACTTATGGAACCCACTGCCAATGGTTTCAAACACGAATAATTTTTTTACATGCATAAAAAAACAGAATATTAGGCAATATGTATATTTGAAGACTATACGATAAGACTAAAATGATGCTAAAAAAAGTTTTGCGCAATTTTGGACTGAAATTTTATTGATAATAAAAATGATTTTATCCTACAGGTTCAGTTTGGTTCAAAAAAATCTTATATTGCCGTAGCAGAAAAATTGGCAATTATTTTACTATTTTTTTTAGCATCTATTAAGTCTACCATTGTTAAGAATCATACAAAATAAACAGTTGAACGTTATTCCAATTTATTATAGAATGTTTGTCGAAAATTACGTCTCTACAGGGTGTTTTCAAAATAAATTTAACGATATAGGGTCCAATGAGATCAAATGATTACTTATAAAGAATGATAATAAAATAGCTATATAGGACCCACGATTTTTTTTATTATATTATCTATGTTTAAAGATGCCCTTCCTTACACAGGTTTGTGATATTTTATATTTATTTTTTTTATTTCTGGTTGATTTGTTGTGTTTGTAAAAATCGTTTACTGAATTATCGCTTTTTAGAATGCATACATAATGATTTGGACATGCACTAATAATTTAAATTAAACTGTTATTATTTGGAAGATGAGTGAAATTAGCCAAGGAAATAAATCTACTTCTCTGCCATGTTAAACACATAATTTTTCTCTTCAGTTATTTATGTGTGTTTAAAAAACTTGCTCGACATTAAAAACTTTTTTGCAATGGATACAACCGAATACTTTCAATATTTCTTCAAATAAATCCAAGGAGACATTTCTAATTTTTGATCACCAAGTGTATGGAGAGTCTGAAGGGAGATACGAACTTGTTCATTATTTCTGATTATAAGCATAGTAGCTTTTCAATCGCCTTTACCTGTCCCTAATATTTATCAACATGCCAATGACTGTATAACATTAATCAGAAATGCTAAAAATTTTTTGTCACGGTTACGGTTTAACTGAACAGTGTTGCCATGTCGATTAGATATCCAAACTGGACCGGATAAATAATAAATAGAATTATTATACCATTTGTTGAACAAAAGAACTATTACATATATAATATCGCGTTATTTGTTATACAAAAGGATTCTTAAATAAGATTTTTATCAAAATTAGAACACTGAACTGTACTATTGAGGCCTTAAGCAGAGGAAGTTAGTAGAAAAAGTCCTATTATTAGTAGAGTATTGATTAAATACATATTTTTATAAGTTAGATTGTGTTGGAAGTGTTAGTTTGGGTTGGTAATACATGTAACCTAAAATGGCGTCTAAATAGCACAGTAGCTATATTGCTGAAGAGATAAAATTGTGAAAGTGTGGTATTATTACAAATATACGTCAAAATTGGTAAAAAAAAACTATATGTATGGATTCTAAAAATCATACGATTAATTTCAAATAATTATTTTCGTACGCCTATGGTTAGATCAATTATTTCAGATTATCATCGAGTAACTCTACGCTTATGCGAAAAGAACTGTAGTAATTTTACTGGATTAAAATTTTAATAACGACTATTAGAATATTGAATTCTTTGGATTTTTTAGATGTTTTCAGTTTTTGTATTTATATGTATGTACTTATTATATTAACGTAAACCTTGATCAATTTTGATTTTTGCTTTATCCATTTTAATATTGTAGAATTAAGTAGCGTGATAAATGTTTTTCTAAACTGAATTTGTACAAAAAAAAAGACGCAGCATCGTGAAGCGATAGCAACCTCCTCACCTATACCCCCTCGAAACAGAAGGCAACCAAAATTTTATTGTTTCCGTATTTATATCTGATATGTCCCCAACTCTTATACTTTTCATGAACTATCTCAGATACGGTTCATTTTAGGGACATCATGTTTACAATAAAAATGATAGATAATGACATTAGGAAAAGCTTTTAATTGAAGAATTTTCTTCAAGGTGGCCCCGTAAATCCTATATATCAAATATATTTAGGAACCCAAAACGTAAGGATCCAGTATTATATTTAAAATTTTTATGGGTTAGTGGGGAGGTTAAAAAAATATATCTTTATTCACGACTATTTTATATTATACTTATTCATTGGCGTCGGAATAACTTTTCTTGGGAGGGGGTACTTAAAATTTGATGTACAGATCGGGTATACCTTAGTAACATAGGGTGCTAAGTCCCCAGACCTCTTCTTTCAATGCTAATGTACGTATTACATAAAAATAATGATTTTTCTTCAATTCTTCAATTCATGGTGCCTTATTTATTTATTTATGTACCTATCTGTTTTAAAATATAAGTAAATTAATTTTTTATATCTTAAATTACAAAATTTTTCCAATATTTCTTCTAATATAAATACATTATTTTATTTTACATTAAAAAAAATGAAAATAGCAGATATTAAATAATGTTAATAAAATACAAAATAAATATTTAATAGTCGTGCATAAAGTACCTATCTATAATATATTTTGTTATCGCATAAATGGCTATTATTTTACTTGAATAATTTAAGACACTAATCTACGGCCATGGTCGCCGTTCAACAAATTTCCAGGGGGATAAGTCTTATAAGCAGGATCAAAACGTCAAAAGCCATAGCGAAACAATAAAAAATCACAAATTCAGTGGGAGGTAGACGCCCCTCTTGCCCTCGTGTAGCGGCGCCCATGCCTACGGCTAGTGTCGTAAACTTCGTTCCCATGAAAAATAGCCATCATTATATGCTCGTTGAATATTATTCTATGATTCTAATTTATACGAGAAATTATATATAGGATTGTCATTAGATCATTAGTTGTTAACTCACTGCCATATGTAAAAAAATCATTGTATTAAAAAATCATGTAGCCAAATAAATTCATAAACAACAAATATTCTTTTAATAACACCGTTTTGTTTTTAATACAGTAGGCGAGTTCGGATAGTCAGGGGCAGGAGCGGGACAAAAGCGGAGTTTTTTAGGGTGCTTTTAAATGACATTTAAAAGGGTCGTTTGGAGTAAAAAGTATTAAAGGAGTTAAAGGAACTTGGCAGACCGAACGCAATGAGTGTCTTTCTAAATATCATATCAATATTAAATGAGGTAACTCTTTGGTATATTTTATGACTAAAATTTTATACAGCATCAGTGGCGGCTCGTTTCTTGTTTTAATCGGACTAATATTAACGAAGATATAGACTTAGGTCCTTTTGGCAATGCCATTGCGCTTGATTTTTCTCGTTCGTGTCACGGTAATTTGAACCTATAATCATAACTTTAAGATTTCAGTTCTGCACAAATTGATTACGATACTTTATACATTCAGAAATCATGTAAGTGATGGCCTAATTTACAGATTTTTACAATAAACAAAATAACATTATAAAGATAGATGATTATTACACCAAAAATAGATAAAAATGTCCTTATACTAATAAATCAACTATAATTTTTCGATTAAAGTCCAATTCAAATCGTATATTTATAAAAACACTTATCTGTGATATCAAATTTATTAAAAGTAATTTACCTTTAGTGGCTATTCTGTTTTATTATCCTATTTAGTTGCAGGTGAATGGTAGATCATAAAGAAATTTAATTATTTGTTGATTACACTGCTTAATTGCAAAAAATATAATTGTTAAAAACACTACACAAATCCGATTTACCGTCAAACAAGAAAGATCAAGAAAATACACTATAAAATGTCTTTATTAAAGGGAAATAAACCATTGCATCATTTTTAGTTTTTATGCAAATTTGTTGTGAAGCTTTAAATAATGTTTTTTTATCGATATTAAATGCCAATATTAATTGGGTATTCAAAAATTATTTAAATAAAAACTTTAATGATTGCATTTATTATACTCATTGCCAAAATCTATTCTTCCAGTGGCGTAGAAATATTTTTTTAAAATGAAAACTTCAAGTAATAAATGTAATTCTGTATGAAAGTTTCAAAAATACCAACCCAGATGGCCTGTTATCAATTAAAAACGAATTATAGTGTTAAACGAACCTTATAAATCTCGATTTCAAAGTGGATGTGCAAATTCAATAAAAAGAAATAAAATTGTTAAATACTTTGCTCTCTTCGGAATCTGGATACATTTAAATTCTTAATGTCATGTCGCATGCCGCAGTGAATATGAGAAATTATTTTCCGAGTAATAGTAACCGTTTTATCGTAAAGTAAATCAATCATTTTGAAAGGTATGAATGAATGTCCAGATACGATCATTTTTTATAAGTACAGACAAATTATTATAGTTAATTTTAAGAATACTAAAATATAATAGAAAATGTTAAATGTTCATCCTGTTTCTCAGGAATATTAATGTTTTTATTTGATATTAATCAAGTGATTCGTTTGACCATTATGTTGTATTTAATCTTAATCAGTGGGTGTGACAGACCCGGTTCCGTCGAAGAATCATTATTGCTCTGCATTTTGCAATTTTTTTTGTTACCGCTATAGTGGTAACGATCCTTCGTTAGATGCACAACTCGAAAGTAGTATGTAGTTAGCAATGCGACATTAACTAGCTGATGATTAGATAATATTGTGACCTGTATAACAATAATTAAAGTACAACATAAATATAAAAAGAGCTGAAAGTAAATATTTTCAAGACCAAATAAAACTGGAAAAAAGAATTAAAACCATTTGGAAGGTAATTAATGACTTATAAATAATAGGGGACAAGAGTTCGCACTTAAGGAATAAAAATTTATTAGGAAAGTATAAACAAAACAAATTCCAAAAAAATGTTACATAAAGAAAGGTCCACACTTTTAATACAAAATGGCACAGTAGAAATCAAAAATTAAAAACAGTTTTTTAAAAAAAAATTAACAAAAAAATAGAAATGCGCCCTCTTGTCCGCCTAGTCCAGGCCTGCACAACTCAGATTATCAAAGGGCCAGATTTGAAAAACCGTAACAGTACGAGGGCCGCCAAGAGAGGCCTGGGCCTACAAAACAAAATATCGACCCCTTTCAATTATAAACCAACTCCTGCTGGTAAAAAGGTAATGTATAACCCATCCTGCTGATCGAGTTTT